CACTATGATTCATAATTGTTTTTTGGTCTGACCAAATTTGTGTCGTCAAGGCCCTCCACCACCCGACGAAACGAAATAACTTTAATTGTCCTGCGTACACGCGGGTGCGATGCGCCAAACCATTATTTGCTCAGCTTGCCGACGAGGGGGAAGAACAACTAGATCCGTGAAGTGCCATTGAGACTCCGTCAAACATCATCGGGACGACAAACAGGATGGCATTGTGACCTTCTGGATCTTCATTCTAACTTATTTCCCGCCATATGAATGTGGAATATCCACGCTCGGCTACGGAGATGAGTACCACCCAACCTCATTTGGGCGGGGAGACGAACCGCATTTTACTTTCGGAACTTGAATTTTAAAAAACACGGATTTACAGCCCTTTATGAATCCACTGCTGGGTGAGGGCCTCCCCATCCCATGTCAGTCAAGGGGTTTGTATGAGCATACTTCACCACGCTGGTCAGTGGTGAGGTTGGAGCGTCGAGGACCGGCTCAGACGCCAATCACCACTCATGTTGGTCATGACCAGGACTCAAACTCGGGTGTCTGAATTCAGAGCGCAGCGCGTGAACCGCAGCCCAGGCGTTCCACCACGGATGACTATGAAAAATGTTGAATCGCGTTGCTTTTCCTTTGGACTGAAATTCGCTGGGATGTCGGGCGGGCAGGTCGTTGCGCAATCTTCCGGACAGTGCGAATGTGTTTGGAATGTTGTGAAAGCCTATATGTCTGCACCGAATTACTTTTTTTTTTACCATCGCTCGAATCCCACGTTAAAACATTGCAACCGTGTGCTTAGTGTTGACTGCTGCGTTCCATTTCGTTCTGTACTTGTGGTTGTTACGGTGTCCTTTGCGTCTGCACTGTTACTCTGTTTATGATTTTAATTCGGAGTCCTTTGGCCTGGATGCCTCCTCTCCTGGCGATGACAACGCGAGGACGCGAACCGCTACCAAACTTCACCGACGCGTAAAGGACGAGGTCAAGAGGTCACCGCGACCAATGCCATTGGTGCCAACGCAACTCGCAATCTCTCTCGCTCTCTTTTTTTCTGCCAGGGCTGATGAATCTAAACGAGCGAGAGCTCTCTTGGAAGTCCATCCTTGAATTGGCGACGTTGCAGGACTCCCCAGGATGCTTTTACATTCCCCCGAATAAAGCAAAACGCTATGTTCGTCCCATTTACATTTTATGTCTCTTGCATTTATGACATTTTGCATTAACAAAAAAACGTGTCTCCCGAATCTCCAGCACGGCTCGATCCAATACCAAATTACGTCGTGTGTCGAGAGAATGGAAAAGATAATTACAAGTTACGTATTTATTTATCTAAGTAACATTTTATCTGCGTTAAAGAGAACCTCGCGCGATCCGCGTCCTGCGGCGGCAGCACCACACGGTGCCTGGGCGCGCGCCGATCACATCGCTCTGAAATCCATAAAACCCCCAAAAATCCGGCCTTGCAGTTCGACGTGCGGGCAACAACAGCCCCGCGTGCTGGCGATTGGCCGGCTACGACCGCTCCAGGTGCGGCTGCTGAGCATCAGCGCAGGCGCGCGTCCCGGCGCTCTGCGTCCGTCTCGCGTGGAGCGGCCTGCCGACACAGGCTCAGTGCGGCGGCGCAGTAACGTGGGCGGCACACCGTGCCCCGCGTGGAGCGCGGGGTCGTTCTCGTGCGTGCGTCTGCGTGTGCCCGTGCCGTTACAGACGAGGAGCGGCGGCCTGCCGGTTAGCGCGCCGCGCTACGAACCCGGCGAACCGAGTTCGATTGCCGCTCACGGCCAACAGCGGTGGTGATTATCTGAACCGGACGTGGGCCTCCCCTAGGTCGACAACGCCTCAAATGAGTACCTGGTGCAGTGTGTAAACATCGCCACTGGGGAAACAAAGGCGGCCGGGCGTGGTGCTGGCCAACCGCTCCCTCGTGTGCCGTCCCGGGCCTTTGTAGGTGCTGCTCGCTAACAGCACTTGCCCCAACAATCTCTTGAGGCTATATGGGGGATCTTGGTCGTAACAGGTTTGCTATACACGCGGGACGACGTCCTTGCAGATGACATTCTCCACCTGGAGGGGACTTTCCGGATGAAATCTTGAAATCGACACAAACGAAATTAAAGTCGAACTCAAGATGAACCCGAGCGAACGAAAGTCCCCTGCCACGCATTTGTAAACAAAGCAACGTCGACACGCTTGTCAAAAGTACCGTGGCGTGTGGCCTCAACGTGGAAAAGATATGTATTAGGCGACGTTTCAGGCAATCACCCTTCATCGGACGTAACATTTTGAAGAACCATTGCCTGGAACATAAAATGATACGTGCTTGAAGAAGGTTCATTGCCTGCCACGTCGCCGACTGTATATATTTTTTTCCCTTCAAGGTCACAGTGCTGTTGATGAACGCGTTGAGTTTTTGTTGTCTGTGCACCGCTGCCGACGCAGCAGCAGCAGCAGCAGCAACGGCAACGTCACAAAATAATCTCTTTAAAAATTGTAATTGATTGTTCAAACGCAGCGCACACAATGTGTGCACCTAGAGCCAGGATCGCTGGGGGGGGGGGGGGTCGTGATCAATAAAATGGAATATCAGACGTGGTGGACGAGGGCAAGAGGGGGGGGGGGGCGATAATGGGAAGCCGCGGCGCACAATGGGCGGCGCGGGGGGCCTTGCAGTGGGAGATTTTAATTCGGTGCACGCTGCCAGCTGACACACGTGGCAAAAAAAAAAAAACACGAGGCCACTTGGCGACACGGAACAACGTCTGTGGGGTGAGAAAAGAAGCAAACGCGTCAGCCCATATGGAGACAATCGGGTTTAGGCAGAACGGGTGATCGTCCGCCAGCAGGGACGATGGCCCGATGGACGAGACTGGTGATGGAATGGCAGCCTAAGGAGAATAATGGAGTGATGACATCAGCTTACGTCAAGGAGGGGTGAGATGGATCGTGGCATCATGGGACCATTCGGGATGAAATAGACCTTCATCCAACAGTGAACAGATCGTGGTTGCTGCTGGGTCACGGGTCGCTAACTCCTTGTTCTGTGTCGCGTGGCAAACCTCACAGCGCGCGTCTGCGCGTCCCACTTAGAATCGGCATTCTCAAAGGGCCTCTCACAGTGTCTGTACAATGTCACTTCTAAGCCGGGCAAAAACCCATAATCCGATTTCATTTTTTCCGGTCATCGAGTTTCAGCTCGTGTCGCCGCACGGAGAAGTTGTATCATCATCATCATCATCCCGACGGTCGATGGAACCATTCCTCGACGCCAGGATAGTCATCGCACCCACGCTGGGCGAATTGCTTCACAACAACAACAATAATAATCACAATAGAAATATATTTGTAAGAATGTCATTTTTTGGAGGATCAATGTTGCGTTCGTTGCACAGACTGCGTTCAGAATCAGAACATTAATTTATACTGGATGAATCCGATGAGCTTTCAAGCTCTTTTTCACAGATGTCCGGTAAATAAATGTTCAAACGTTGAAGCGGCCTCCGGGGAAGGCGGCTTGGGGGGTCAGACCCCCACCGCGTGGACGGTTTTTGTCTCTCGAGGTCGAGGCGCCCTGCCTCGCCGCTACGACGGATGGCGGCCTTCGACCAGGTCACCATGAACGCGCACCGTTCTCGTCGGAAGCTGAGTTGGGTTGAGGCTGCTCGATACTGAGAAAAAAAAAATCTTACACGCGGGCGTTCGAAAAGCGCAACCGGCTGAAACTGAAACGCACAGAGTGGCGGATGCTCGTTATCCGGTGCTTTGAAGGGCCAAGGGTCGGTGGATCACGCAGAGATTTGTGAAACTCCCATAACCCGCTGGGGCGTGAGGTGACCAGGAGGTTGCGGCACGGCAGGTGGAGTGAATCCATCTGTGCAGCGCTCGCAGTGCTATCCCCTCGGGAGCCCCTCCTGAAATGAGAGCCATGAGACCCAGCGTGGCCCTGCTGGATAACGCGACGAGAAACGCGCGCGCGCCGAATAGAATGTGACACGGACGTGTTTCACAAAGTACACACGCGGGCGAGTTTTTATACACACAGCACGCACCGATTGTACAGGGCAGGGAACTGAGCGGGGGTGGGGGGGGGTAAAGTGGGCACGACGCTCCCGACTGGTGGCAGCGGTCGTGCGCCGGACAAAGATCCCCCGTGTAGCCTTAACAGACTGTAGGGGCAAGTGCTGTTAGCGAGCACCTATGAAGCCCGGAACAGTACACGAGGGGGTGGGTAGCCAGCACCACGCCCGACCGCCTTTGTCTCCCCAGTGGCGATGTTTTACACATCGCAACAGGTACTCATTTGAGGCTGAGTCGACCTAGGGAAGGCCCAGGACCGGTTCAGATATTCGTCACTGGGTGTTGGCCGTGACCAGGAATCGAACCCTGGTCGCCGGGTTCATAGCGCAGCGTAGCGCTAACCGCGACACTATCGGGGGAATGGTCCAAGTGTCTGCCTCAGTGTCACCGCCACCAGGGCCGGCCGCATGGGGGCGGCGGGGCACGGGACAACTCACCGTGTCGGGCCGCCCGATGCCTTCAATCTGAACCGGACGTATTACATCCGACGCTGTGACGTTGAAGCAACCCCCCCACTCCCCAAAGCGCGGGGCTCGGGGCAGTCGCTCCGATTCGCCGTGTACCCTAGGGACGGCTCTGATCACTAGCGACGTTCGCCATGTACCCTAGGGACGGCTCTGATCACTAGCGACGTTCGCCGCGGCTGGAACTCCGGTCGCCGGGTTCATCGCGCAGTGCGCCGACGAGGTCTTCGACTCACACGCACTCGGCCTGACCACTCCGACAAGCGGCAGCAGTGGCACGAATCATCGTGCGCGCAGGTGGTGCAACTGCAGTGGGGACTGGCCCCCGGGCTACGACAAGCACGCCACGCCCCACAGTGATCAGACGCCGTGCTTCAAATGTAGTTTAAGCTCAAAAGCTTAGAAATACTGTGCACATACTGTATATTTGTAAGTAAATTATACGTTCGGCCAATATATTATGACAGATTTTGTTTTTATATATATGTACATACATCTTTCTCTCTCTCTCTCTATGTTCGTACAAAAGCAGAAATTAATCATCAGCCCTGATCTATCCACTGCCGGATGAAAGGCGCCCACAAGCCATCGCCATCTCTCACGGTCTCGCAACACGACGATCCGTCTTGCTCCCGACACTCCAGCCGATTCCAGCGCTCCATCTCCGATGGGCTCGTTCCCCGCTGTGCGACTGACAAAAAAACGCTCCTCCCAGATCCCTCGGCAGTCAATCGAATTGCGACTACCATAAGAACGTGGAATTGGCGCCAATGGCACAGGGCCGGAGGCGACCGTCGTCGCACGCCGGTTTTTCGGGGGGGGAGGTGCCGAACCTTGGCGTGTGGAGTGCGCGTGGGTCCTGCGGTGCGAAGGCCCGATCGGAAATTCACCGCGGTCCCGGCAAAGTCGCACGAACGGACGGCAAACAACAACTTGAGCACCATGTCCCGAGACCACGGTGACCGGCACTGGCGTCGGGGTTGACAGCGTGGGAAACAGACGCACGCACACGAACGCGCGCGCGCGCACGTAACCAAGCGGCACGGCCGTGCGGACGCGAAAACAAATAAACACCATCGCGGGGCAACGGCAGCTCCAGCGTCAGCGAGGGTCGCCCCGAGAGCGGGTCGCCCGTGCCGTCCCAATGGGCACCGCAGGGCAACGGCTGCTCCAACGGACGACGCGACTCCGCCTCTCCCTTGCTGCAGCCTCCTCTCCTCGTGCTGCCCGGCGGGTGGAATTCCCTCCCGTTGGCTCCCTCGCCACGTTCCCGCTACGGGAATCGTCCACCGCTGGATTGAGGCCTCCTCCGCGCAGGTTCCTACGAAGCGTAGAGCAGCGGCGCAGCCCCCGGCCAGTGAAACTGCGCGCTCGGCGCCCCTGCTGGTGGATGGGCCCCCCACCCCCCCCCCCCCTCCCACGAGAGAATATTTTCTGGCCCACTCTTCGACGCCGGCCGGACGTCTTGCAGGAGGTGGCAGTGCTCACACTGTACCCCACCGCGCGCGGTGACCTGCCGATCGGCTAACTGCGGTGCAGCCGTCTCCGCTGCAGCCCGGGTGGACAGAGGCGGTGGTGGAGGGGAGATTCGAGAAACCGGTCCCATTGTTTAAAAGCTGCCGTGCCGGGAGACGGAATCGTAAGCCCTGTGTGCTGACCACGGCACCGCAGCCGATCACCGACGCTGCCCGTTGCTGCCCGCGTCGCATGCCAGTGGGGTGTGCCCCTCTCTCAGTGGAACGTGTCCCGTGTTGCAAATTTGCCATCGATACCCATCGTCGTCTCTCTCCCCAAGTTCCCGTAACCTCGTCGGTCGATCCAAGGAAGGTGTCGGTCCTCATCTCGAGCGCGATCACCGCAAAGGCTCTTTGCCGCTCGCTGGCTGCCCTGCGACACCGTCAGTTACGAACATGAACATTTGTATATAATGTCGCCGCGGCACCTTTGAAAACTCTTTTAGCAAAACATAGTGGAGCCTGCGTGAGCGCTGGAAGATGCCAGTAGGAGTGGAACACGTGGCACCTCCGGAGCGAGGTCTCAGAGTTCATCGCGAGAACGAGGACATCATTCATGAGGAACAACGCTCAAAATCACGGACGAAACAACAACACCGGAAGCTAACATCGCATAAGCAACACTGCCATAATAATTATACAGGCAGGGTACACAGGGGTTAAATTCAAGTCACAAAAGGGTTCCGGGGAGGAGGGCCAGGTCACGCAGGGGTCACGCACAAGGCACACCGCATGCATGGCGACGCAGTGCAGGGGAGCGAGTTTCCACCAACGCCGTCACCTCTCGTCGGCTCCGCTCGCCTGCAGCGGAACTGCTGGAGAGACGTGAACGTGCGCGGCTCGACGGGCGGACCGGAGCCGCGCTCAGCTCGAGCGCAGATGCCACGCTCTCTCATTTTCTTGGAAGCGGAAAGTGCTACCAAATGTCCGCCCCGAGAGCGACCCTCGGGATCGCTGTCGGGCACGGGGCGGTCCACGCCAACTCACCCCGGAGTGTCCCACCAGCCAACGCATTTCACGCAAACGGCTCGGCCCCATCACCCACGGACACGCTGGGCAAGAGGCCGCGTTCTTCCTCGCCACGGTGGCAGTGGTGGCCGGCACCGCCAGACCGCGCGGTCTCGCCCTCTCGCCCTCTCGCGTCGCCCGGCTCAGCCCGCGGCGGGCAGTCGTCGATGCCTCCCGGCGGCGGGGATGTGGCTCCGCGTGGGGACGCCGCGTCACTTGAACTCCCCGCGGGGCGGCAGCGTGCGTGGGTAGCGGTGGCGCCAGCGATGGCGTAGGCGGCACAGCGGAGACGACTCGGGGTCCTCGAACTCTGCGAAGCCGAGCCGGTCCAGCAGGTCATAGACCCCGGCGCGCGCGGCCACCTGGGACGTCACCGACGTCATCACCGTGGTCATCCTCATCACTGTCATCACCGTCGTTGTAATCATAATCATTGCTGTCATTGTCGTCATAACTCGTCATCGGCGTAGCAATCATCTTCACCGTCATCATCATCATCATCACTGTCATTGTCATCATCATCACCATCATAATTATTGCCGTGATCACCATCATCTCCGTCGTCGTCATCGTAGTCATCATTTGTCATTCCGCACCTGGCTCATCCAGAGGGAGAAGGGCCGGTCCCAGTGCGAACCCTTCTCCAGGTGCAGGTAGGTGTTGTAGAGGATCAGGTAGATGTAGCGCTCCAGCCGCTGCAGGCTGCGCAAACACAGAGACGCCCGCTCCTCCTCCGTCTTAGCCATGCGCACCTGGGCCCCGACATCAACATCACCGCCGTCATCACCATCACCACCATCACCACCATCCCCATCACCGCTAATCACAGACATCACCACCATCATCAACAGCAGCACCACCACTCCACTTACTTTAATCGCTACCACCACCATCGTCACCATCGCCACCGTTACCTCCATCACCATCGCGGCCATCACCACCACCGTGACTGCCATCTCCACCATCACCGTATCTTCACCCGTACGCATCACCACCATCACAACCTTTATTTTTCATCGCTTCATTCATAATTTAAGAGATAATCTGGTTGTGAGTTCTGCCGGCTCCTCCTCTGCGCTGGACTCCTTTTGTTCGAGGATTGAAGATTTGAACCTTAGTCGGCTGCAGCAGGAGTCATGGCACTGGCCGGGCACCACTCAGGTCCAGGGTTCGAATCTAGGTTGCAGCCGCCCATCGCCAAACTAAACTAAACTTAAACATTTTTTTTATTTTTCCAGGTAAGGCCCACTGAGCTGCTATATAGCTCTTTTTCAGAAGCGACCTGGCCACAAATAATAGCCCAACGAAGTGGCTTATCACGTGGACATTTATAGCAGCCAAATACTCTAAATGCATGTTTCTAAATGTGGAGGGAAAACCCGGAGGACCCGGAGAAAAATCCACGCGACCACGGGGAGAGAGACATTCAAACTCCAAATATATAGGCATCAGGGTCATGATCGAGCTCCTATATACCATGCGAGGTAGTTAGCATATCACCACCGTGGTGACATGTTAACTGCAGGGTCTCCAGCGTGGCGACTCGCTCAGCCCGCACACCAGCAAGTTCATGAGCCACCCTGTCGAATTCTCAATTGGGTTCCGTTCACAATTTGGCCGAATTCCAGCTTCGAGAATTGCACATGTCAGTTTGATTGACGCGCGACGGACACTCTCTGCAGGGCATATGGAGGGGCGCGCCCTCCCGGAGAAGACCGCGTCTACGAGGAATGGCTTCTTTGGAAGTACTTCTGTGACGTCATCTTCCACGGGCCGTTCTCTGACACGGGGTGGTGCACCGCCAGCTGTCGGAGGTTTCGGCGTGGCTGCTTGTCTCGCGGCAGGAAAGGCAAGAGCACGATTTTAATTAGGAAAAAAAAAACAAACGAGTGAAATGACTAAATAAATTTCTAGATGGCCCCAAAAAGCCAAATAAGGACGTGCTGCTGATGCCAGTGGTGGATCCGGGGGAGGGAGGGGGGTCAATCGGGTGATCCCCCCCTGCTCCTCCACCCCCTACTACCTTCAGACCCTGACAATGCCTTACTTTTTTACTTTTACAAGACGAAATACACTGAACGTTTTCACCTGTTTTACTATTCATGTCGAGCTCCGTCTAAAGAGATTTCCAATTTGGGGACGTTACTGGGTTCCGCTGAGCCACCACCACCACCGCCACCACTACCACCACTACTACCGCCACCACCGCCACCACCACCGCCACCACCACCGCCACAACCACCGCCACCACCACCGCCACCACTACCGCCACCACCACCGCCACCACCGCCACCACCACCGCCACCACCACCACCACCACTGCCACCACCACCACTGCCACCACATCGGCTTCAGCGTCGCCAAACGTGGGACGTCGGGAAAGTCACCAATTCTACCGTCCCTGCCCCCCAACTCTTCCCTGTGATGTAACCACGGAGACTGGGCCTGGCCCACCACCCCGCGGGACCGACGCGGGATGCGTTGCAGTGGGGGTGCGGGGAAGTGGGGGGAGGGGGGTGGTGGTTTGTAACGTCTGCAATTACGCGTGGAACAATGTGGGAGCAGATGGAAACAAAACCACTTGGGCAGCGGAGGGGATTGTGGGAGCCATTCACGAGGTGTGGTTTTGTGACGGTCGTCCCCCGTCGGGAGGTGAAATGTCAGGCTGAAGCAGCGGTCTCTTATTTTACAAGTTTTCTGTTCGCCTATGTTTTCATAAACACACACAATAAAAAGTAACGATCCCCCTGCGCAGCGCTCGGGGTTTTACGGCGTCGCGCCTGCGTCAGCCGTTGCCAAGGGGAGCCTAGCTCCGACCAGAAGGCGCTCCCGGCCAAATATCCAGCGAGTGATGCACGCCGAGTGTCCGGCAGCGAAGTGCCGTCCCCCTCTCCGGAGTCAAAGGTCGAGACGGGGTCAAAGGTCAAGACGACGGCGGAGGCGGCTCCTCATCGCCTCCGTCAAACCCCGGACACGGGGCCACACGGGGCTTCTCCACCGCTGCGCATGGGCGCGCCAGGAGCAGTGAAGACTTCACACCGCGATCCCGGGAGGGACGCCCGGTGCCGGCACCGTGGCGAGAATTTGCGGATGCTCGAGAAGCGAACGGTCGAGCCGCCTCAAACACGCGCCCCACTCGGCCGTCGCCATGTGGAATCGCTGCGGGTCGACGTGACCATCGCGTGAACACATTTCCGAAGGCGTGGGAGAATTAGCCGGCCGAGCTCATACGATAAAAGACTTCTGAATGGGAAAAGAAAACAAAAAATAAAAAAATAAAAATCCCAGGCAAATTGCTTTTTAGCATTGACGCAAATCGATCGCCATCACCAAATGAAAGCGCGACTCATTAGTGACGCTCGAGCAGCCCCGGGTGAGACCGTGGGCCGTCAGAAGCCGTGCCAATTCGCCCACGGTAATCATGGCAATAACAACGTAATTTATCCATGGAGGAGAACCTCCCCCGCCTTCCCTGATGCAGCGCAGGGAAGCAATCGCGAGCCGTGCGGGGCAGCACTGGACAGCTCTTGGCTCGTTTCTTGTCCCAATTTTGTTCAGAGCCACACGGCGCCAAGGGCCTTCACCGCCACCTTAAACTAATCGGCCGAGTCACGGACCCTTGGACGAGCGAGGAGCAGCTCAGAGTAAAGCCGTGCCGTGCGTGCTAAAAGCCGTAATCGGGTAGGGTCGATCGGCAAACCCGGATGACCTTCCCACAGCGGTGGCCACGAACAGGGCGACACGTTCACCTCCCGTCGTGCGCCCACTCCGAGATGAAGAAGCCGACGCCGTGAGCGAGCCCCGCCGGTGCCGGCTCGGCCTGCGACGGCTAGCGGTCGTTGTGCTCCATGCGGGGGCCCGCTTTTCCCCGTTCGCGAATCCGTCTGCTTCGCGTTCCCCCGCGGGTTCGTGGGAAGGGGGCACGAGAGTCCCGAAACTCTTGCTCTCACCATCGCCACCGTGCATCATAACGTTGTCACGGGACACCAGAGTGATCCGGAGGCAACCGCACCACGCGAGGGGATGACGGTAGAGAGACCGGCTCGTGGGCGGGAGCGGCACGGATTGTCGCGTCACGAAACCGCGGGGAGGCGGCCTTCGTGCAGCAGCGGATTGATGATGGCTGACGATGAGGATACGTCCGTGAGGCAACCTGCTGCACTGCCGCCGCATGGCCAGCCTCCGAGCCCGGCACCCGAGCACGGGGCCGAGCGGCCGCGAGCCGTCGCGAGCCGCCAAGCGGCACCCGGCCACGATCGGTCGCGCAGGACTGGGGTGTCTTAGCGGAGTGCGGCGTGGACCTGCGGCGCCCACTCGCATCGGAATCCCCCCCCCCACTCCCCCCCCCCCACTCTCCCCCCCCCCACTCTCCCCCCCCCACTCTCCCCCCCCCACTCTCCCCCCCCCACTCTCCCCCCCCCCACTCTCCCCCCCCCACTCTCCCCCCCCACTCTCCCCCCCCCCCACTCTCCCCCCCCGTTCCCGTCGCCGTTCGCCAGGTGAGATTCTGTATGTGAGGGCAGCGGCAGCGGCGCTCGCAGCTCCCCGTTACGTTCCCTCCCACACGTCAGCGGAGAGGCACGTAGCCACACGCACCGACCGACCACCGTCACCCTGAGTGACTCACGGGGAAATCTTTCACTCGCCTCGGCGGCGTTCTCCCCGCATTGCGAAGGGAGAACGCTTGGGGTTAATAATTTCTGGAGATAATATTGTTAAATGTACCTACAATAAAACCATTGCCGTCATCAGCCATGGTCAATCCACTGCTGGATGAACACCTCCTCCCCAAGCCACATCTCACGATCGGCAAAGCCCCTTGCGCATGAGCCGATTTCATCACTCCGTCTCTTCCCCTTTGACGCGTTCTATTCCTCGGCTGCCACTCCGTTACAGCTTTCTCAACGGCGTCGCCCACCATCACTCCACGCCCTGCCGCGTCCCACTGAGCCGGACCACCGCCGACCCTCCGACTGTTTTCCCGGACGACCTTGCAGTGTAAAAAAAAACAATAATTCTGGGAAAAATGTTCGACCTTGCGGAGCAACCGGTGTTAAAAGCATTCACCGGGTACAGCGAGGGTCCACTCTGCGTTCACGTGGCCATGGCTCTAGTACCCAATGCAACGTCAATCGTTAAAACCTCCGGTCCACGGACCGCACGGCGGCAACCGCGCCGGTCCGCGCAACGCCTCGCCTGGATCCACGGCGCACCGTGAGTCACTCGAGGTGATTTCGCGAGTGACTCACGGTGAATGTTTCACTAAACCGGTGTTCTCCCCGGTTATACGTTTACTGCGCCGCCGCGCGAGGTTAATGTCGTTAATGAGCAATCGGCTCCCCGCCCGGCCCGGTGCCCCCGGTGTTGATGCCCTGGTGAAGGGTCAGCACCGGGCCTCGTCACCGAACCGGCGCTGACGAGGGGAACGTGGGGGGGGGGGGGGGAGCTAATGGAAGCCTCGTTTGTGGAACTGAAGAGGAGCGCGAAGAACAGAGGAGGACGGATAAGATGGCGGCGGGGGCCGTGGTTGTGAGGGGCGTCACTGTGGCGAGATGTTAACTACCTCGCCTGGTATACAGGAGGTCGTGGGATCGATCTTGACCTTGATGCCTGCTGTATATTTGGACTTTGCGTGTTCTATCTTCCCGTGGTCACGTGGATTTTTCTCCGGGCCCTCCGGTTTTTCCCCCCGCATTTAGAATCAACATCGCGTGCTCAGAGTGTTCGGCTGCTATACATTTCCACGTGATGATAAGCCACTTTGTTGAGCTATCATTTGTGATAGACAGGTCGCTTCTAAAAAATATATATATACAGCTCAGTGGGGCCTTACCTGGTAAAGCAAAAAAAAAAGTGTTTGTTGCGGTTGTTGTTGTGGTTGCTTGTGGCTGTTGTGCGGTCACGGTGGCTTCGACGGTTGCGGCACCTTGCGGTAGGTGCAGAAGATGACCTCGCGCAGGTGGTAGTGCATGGGCGTCATCGTCTCGCTCACGGCGTCCAGCGCCGCGTCCACCTCACGCTTCATCTCTGGCCCGTCCGGCAGCATCCGCAGCAGCTCCAGCACCGCCTGGCGGCAACAGAGGCGTGGAGAATCCATCCGTGCAGATCTCCACCCGCCGACGGCGGCGCACACGGAGCAGCGTGGCGTCGGGGGGTCACGTGACCAGTCCACGTCTCCCATTCGTCGTCGTCATCATGTCATCATGTCACGTGACCCCCCGACGCCGGCACACAACGGTCTACTCTTGAGGACGACGTCAGGGGATCTTGAGAAGAGGATGCCTCCTCGATATGACCATTGTCACGTGGTCAAATCAAGAAGGCGTCCTCGTCTAGCAGTGGATAGATCACGGCTGATGATATCGAATGGGAGACGTGGACTGACCTCGAACTCGCCCTTGGTGTACTTGGCATCGGGGACGCTGACCATCTCCTCCTCCGTGTCCACGGGGAAGCCCTGGCAGGGAGAGGGGAGACATCGTCGCCACCGTCACCACCCCGGGTGTCTCGGCCGTCAGCTCCGCTACGCGAGTGGCTTCGCGCTCGCCGGTCATGCGTCGAGCGAGCGTGGGAGAGCGGCTCCGGTCCGGTGGCCCAGTGGTGGAGCAAGTGGCTCCACCACAGTTCAACTCCCGATTGGGGTTGGGGTGGGGGGGGGGGTGACTCATCCCATCATCCCTCCCTCCGGTGGTCGATAAAACGTGCACCACTTTGCGGGGCAGTCAACAGCGGTTGTCCTACGTATAGACTCGCCCCCCCGCTGTAGGACAGTGGAATTTCCACCACTGGCTCAGGGCTGCAAATAGAAGATGCGCACCTCCTCAATCCTCATTCGTGTCGGAAGTCACTTTTGAAAAGTCAAACGAGCTTGCTTGATAAGACTGCATCTCTCCAAAGGGCACGGACAGACCCATGCTTGAAATGACACTCGGGGACAAAAGGAGGAATGCGTGGATCAGGGAACATGAGCAAGTTACAAACGGCATTTAAATCCCCGATGCAGCGGTGGCAAGAACAGGATGAAGAACAATAAAATCACGGAGAGATGCACAGCTGCAATTACAATGAGACCCATGCAGACCAGCGATTTTACCCACAATGCTCCACACATCAAACGAGGTTGTGTTTGCATTGCTCTCTGTGTCGCATGGGGTCCCGTATTTTTACATGGTGTGCTCGTACCAAAACAACAGAGTGCTCCTGCCCCTACTTGTCTGGCACTCCCTCCCAGCAGCAGTCTGTGGTGCTCACTCCCTGCTCCTGTTAGTGGTTAGGCTCAAGGCCCGTCCCCTGCTGTGACCGAATATCCCCGACCCCCCCCCCCCTTCCCGTATCGCGTCTACGCGCACGGTCTAGACAGCCGTCCTCTTGCAGCAGTACGGCGTCTCGAGACGCAGTTGCAGGCGGGAAGAGCGGTCGCGAGCCTAGCGGTCGCGAGCCTATCGGAGCGAGCAACGGGTCGCCGACCTTGCACGGGGCGCCCTTCCATCTAGCCGGTGGATTGAGGGCCTCGCTCTCGCGGTGTCTTGAGATCCGACGCGCGACCCTACACGTCTGTCGTGCCCAACATCTGCTCCAACTCCGTGGTTTTTAGAGACCCAGACCGGGCAGGCTTCACAGCCGTAGAGGCCGCCGGAGTTACCGCACTCGACAGAAATGCGATAAGGGCGCAACACAAGTCATGGTGAGAATACAAAACCAAACATGAGGAACGGATAACGAAGCGTCATTATATTCTCCATAAGTATATTTCTAGGAACAGCTGCGGTGAATGCTTAGAATTGACAGTTTGGACAATGCGGCAGGCGAATGTGTGTGTGCGTGCGTGCGTGTTTGTTCAGTGTGTACGTTAAACCTGCTCTCTGCTGTGGGGAGCGGTTAGTGTGCCACGTTAGGACGATTATTTGAACCTTGTCCCCGTGCCTCCCCTAGGCCGGTGCGGTGTGCAAACATCACCAATGGGGAGACAAAGGCGGCCGGGCGTGGTGTTGGCCACCCAACCCCCTCGTGTACTATGTCAGCCTTCATAGGTGCTACTCAATAAAAGCAGTTTCCCCAACAGCCTGTTAACGCTACGTGTGTGCATGCAGTCTGCTCTCTTGCAAAGCGTGTTTTTATAACGCAAAGTTGATATAACGCGATGACCGTATTTGGGTATTTTGGGAACACATTTTTTTAAATAATGCGGACGCCCCTTGGGTGCAACGCGATCAAGTGGACGAACTGCGTCTCGCGAGGACGGCCGCCTCGGCGTAGCATCATCACGCGAGGTCGGGATGCTGCTGGATGCTTCGAGATGCTAGTCTCTGTTCACCCCACGTGCGCACCTCACGCGTTATCCTGGACCGTGCTTTGCCCCGCATTACGTGTTAATGATCACAACGAGATTTTTCCCATCACGCGGCGTTCTTCGGGAACGCGACTACCGCCGCCTTATAGGGCAACAGGCTGTTCGCCGAACTTCTTTCGCACCGTACGCAGCCAACCGCGTGCCAATCCGAGGCGCTACACGCTGGTGACATCCGTCTGGGCTCCGCGTATTTCCATTGCAACCCGCGAGCAAGTGGGAACCCGGACCCCGGAGGGAGGGGGAGGTGGGGGTGGGTACCCCCACACGCACATTGACGTGCCACAGGAACAGCACGGTGGCGGCCATGGCGGTGGTGGTGCGGCTCCCGCCGCTGTGGCAGCTGAAGAGGAACGCGGCGCTCGCCTCCTCCGCCAGGGTCACCTTGAAGAGGTCGAGGAGGCGGTCGAAGTCCTGCGGCCGGGGGGAGAGACGGAGGAGGGGGGGGCGCGCGCCCGGTGCGCGTCGTTTAAGCGAACGGACGAACAAAAAATGTGCTCGTCCATGAATTCCATTTGGTGGATTCCGTAAACGATTCACTTTCTTTGAAATGACGGGAGCGATAAGCACAAGTGCATCGGTCTCTCCCCGATCGGAGAATCACTTTCTCGTTCGCTTTCTTTGAAAGATTCACTTTCTCTGAAGAATGTATAATCTCTTCCTTTGAAAGTGGATGTCTGAAAGACGAGAGACCGATGCAGCCGCGGGGACGGCTTCACACTGCAAGTAAGGTCCCATGATGTAGCTGCTCGACCCGAGCTCTCAATGTCCTGTTGGTGGCGTTTTCTTTGTGCTGTTCGCCTTTTGGCGTCCTCTGGTCTAACACCGTTTGAGACGAGGCTCTAAAGAAAGCTGTCTCTGGTGTGGACCAATCAGTTTCAGGGACAATACATCATCATATACTACCAGAGCGTGTGTTTTGTTTGCATGTTCACCACAAGTACGTGCGGTTAATGCAGACATGACTCCTTGCAAAAGGTTTCTGTTTGGTGTTTTAACATCTTAACGCAAATATTTTATTGCCAGAAAGGGTAAAACCTATTTTTATACGGCTTCACCCATTTAACACTCGTGCCCGTGCTTTCAATTTATTCGGTGAACGCGTTTTTGCCTTCTATGATTTCTATTTTCCTAATTGTTCACGTTATCGCTCCCCGTTCACTTTGGTGAGCCAGATCCCTCCTGTCAGCAAGGCTACCCTTGTTGAAAGAGCTTTCACCGCTGGCTAAACCAGACTTTACTTCATTCTATACGACCCGTGGCCACACGGGGCCTCCCGCTTTCACGCAGACTGCAGGCGTTGTATGTTTAACACGTAGTAGGCTTCCGCGACCAATATCATCCGTAATATAGCTTTTTTTGGGGGTTAGATCGCGTAAATATATAAATGTGTGTCGTTAAACCCACCACCACCCGACACAGCCAATTAGTAAGGGTTGTCACGTAAACAGAATGTGCAAATTCGTTACTAATACAGTACTAACCGGTGTGTTGGAGAGCAAATCCACAACATTTACAATCTGAGTACGACGTTTCGCGGGTAATTCCAACCGGCATCATCAGGCGAGAGTCAGATTTGTTGTTCGTCTCTGCAAAGATCTTAGCCGCACTAATTGAGTACCGGAGGGGAATATTTTCACCTTGGCAACAACCACTGTACTTCTCATGTGAGCGCCACGCTCAGTCACTCCTGAGTCACTCCTCAGTCACTCCTCAGTCGCTCCTCAGTCACTGCTGCGTCACTTCTGCGTCGCTCAGTAACTTCTTGCGTCACCCCTCAGTCACTTCCACGTCACTCCTCAGTTGCTCCGCAGTCACTCCTCCAACCCACGCCCGGCGTCCGCCCGCAAACCCCCACACCTCGCGAGCCCCCACCTGCTCGGAGGGGGCCGCCCCGTCGGGCAGGGGCAGCCGGTGGTAGCGCAGCTGCGGGTGCAGCGAGCGGCGCAGCGTGGCGTGCACGCCGGCCGGCGTCTCGCACGCCCGGAACGCCTTCACCTGCTTCTCGTCGTCCTGCCACGCCTCCAGCCAGCCCGGCGCCGCGAGCACGCACGCCTTGAGCTCCCGCTCCACCTCCTAGGGCACGCAACAACAACAACAACAACAACCACAACCACAACAACAACAACAACAAAACGGGGCCCGCCCCCCACGGGCAGCGGGGCGCCGTGGGTGACGTGCGACGCTCTCCTTAGGGTAACGTGACGTTCTGTGAGACATCGTGGGTAACGTGACGTTCTGTGAGGCATTGTGGATAAGGTGACGTTCGGTGAGGCACTGTGGGTAACGTGCGACACTCTCCTTAGGGTAACGTGACGTTCTGTGAGGCATTGTGGGTAACGTGACGTTCGGTGAGGCGCCGTGGGTAACGTGTGACGCTCTCCTTAGGGTAACGTGACGTTCTGCGAGGCATTGTGGGTAACGTGACGCTCGGTGAGACTGGAGCGGAGGTGGAGTTGTTGCCGTTGTGGTTCTCGGTGTTGGATGCTCGTGGCTCCGGGTAAAGAGAAGGCTATAAACTCCACTCCCAGTTTACCAATCTCAGGTGGCAATGCACGCAGGCTGATTTTACCGAGACTCTGGAATTAACAGACAGTAGCTTCTCACACAGAGACCCAAGGACTCACATATTAATCCACAGACCCCCTTAGTGATGCATGGACTCACATAAATGCATAGACTCACATAGACATCTCTACAGTCACAGTGAGACCCTTTCTTTTGAAATCGAATTTCTTTAGAACTGCTTATTGTGTTTAGTTTGTTGTCCTTCCCCCGCTCCTCCGATTAGCATGGTTGGCTACGTACGATGCGAAAGAAGTTCAACATACACACGTACACCAGACAGACACAGGTGTCTCCACCTCGTCTGGAGGGATGAATTCATCCCGGTCACCAATTGCCATGCAATAAAAACAAAATCCATGCCAATGAATTTGCCGCTCCTCTCAATTTTGTAAAAATTCCAGCTCTCAAAATAAAATAAAAATCGGGTGTCTGTCATGGGACGTGATTCTGTAGCTGGGGGCGAGCGGGCAAGCGCTGCCCCCTACTGAGCGAACCGGCAATGGGCAGCACTCAGAGGCAGCTCTGTGAAGCACGCTTCTGTGGGCCAACAGCAAACTCGGGATGACGCCGACATTAGTTTTCTCGCGATTGGGAAGATCAGGAATTGATCGTTTGGCTCATTCTCGGGAGCTGAGCCAGCGACTGCGAGGTCCTGAGTTCAATCCCCTGATGAATGTCACCACCTCACTCTTGCACATGGGCCGATCTCGTTGCACCCGTGCATGCGTGTGTGCGGTGCATGCGTGCGCGCGTGCGGTGCGCGAATGCGGTGCATGTGTATGCGGTGCGTGTGTGTGTGGTGCTTGCTTGCGGGCCGTGTGTGCGGCGTGTGCGTGCGCGTGCGTGCGTGCCGGCCGCTCTCCTCACGTCTATCTGCTCGGGGTTGCTGGCGGGCAGCACGATGGCTGTGTGCGGCTGCGCGCGCTCGCGCGGCGTGTAGGTGTTCCCGCTGGCCTCCAGCACGACCTCCCCGCGCAGGTTCACACTCGCCACGGCCCCGTGGGCCCGCCGCTCCCCCGTCAGGTAGCTCAGCACGTGGGACAGGCCCTGCTCACGGCGGGCACCGTCATCCAAACGTCGTCGCCGTCACGCCGAACATCGTCAGAGAAACATCGCTGAACATCAACGCGGCCAGACCGAACGTTACCAAACATCACCACCGTGCCCAAAATCAGCAGCACGGTCAGAAAACCACCGCACCGCACCGCCACCACTCAGAGACACTGTGACATTGACGGCGACCTCACGCACGCGTCCACGCAAGCACGCGACAATGACAAAGGTCCCCCCGTGTAGCCTTGACAGACTGTTGGGTCAAGTGCCGTTTGCGAACACGTATGAAGGCCGGCACGGCACGAAAGCTGGTGAGTGGTCAATACCGCTCCTGGCCACCTTTATCTCCCCAGTGCAGATGTTTGCACACCGCACCAGGTACTTAACAAGAACTCAAACTAAAGGAGGCCCAGGACCGGTTCAAATATTCGCCACTGTTATTGGTCATGAGCGGGAATCGAGCTCGAGTCGCACCGCTGCCACACACACACACGTGGACACGTACACACACACATACACACGCGTGGACACATACACACACACATACACGCACGTGGACACGTACACGCACACATACACACACACATACACGCACGTGGACACGTACACACACATACACGCACGTGGACACGTACATGCACACATCCACGCACGTGGACACGTACATGCACACATACACGCACGTGGACACGTACACACACACATACACGCACGTGGACACGTACACGCACACATACACGCACGTGGACACGTACATGCACACATACACGCACGTGGACACGTACACGCACACATACACGCACGTGGATACGTACATGCACATATACACGCACGTGGACACGTACACGCACACATACACGCACGTGGACACGTACATGCGGAGCTGGGCTGGGCCATGCTGTAGACCGGGAGTTTGGGGACGCGGCATGCGTACATGCACACACATGCACACACACATGCACACACACATGCACACGCACGCACACGCGCGTGCATACACGCACACACACGCGCGTACACACACGCGTGCCCACACGTGCACACACGTGCACACACGCACACACACACGTGCACACACGTGCACACACGCACACACACACGTGCACACACGTGCACACACGCACACACACACGTGCACACACGTGCACACACGCACACACACACGCGCGCGCGCACCTCGGAGCTGGGCTGGGCCATGCCGTAGACCGGGAGTTTGGGGACGCGGCGGAAGTTTGCGACGTGCATCTCACGCTTGGAGCTCATCACGTCCAGGTCGACGTGATCGTCCGCCACCTGCGTCGGACAACCACTGCTGACTTCCCCGCAAAAAGTGGTGCTCATTTTATTGACTTCCCCACCCCCGAAGGGATGATTGGCCGAGGCAGATCCCGACCATGATTTGAAACTCGCAAGCTTCCGATTTGCGAGCCACTCGCTCTACCGCTGAGCCACCTGGCTGGACAGAAAACAAATATCCCCAGTGTAGCCTCCATGGACTGTTGGGGCAAGATCTGTTAGCGAGCGTCTATGGCCAGACAATACACGTACATACAAACATACTCATGGTATCTGTCCGTGTTAAGGGCATGTGTGCGTGTGTGTATTATGTGAATGAAGAGCGGTAGTGGTTAGTATACCGAGCGATGAACCCAGTGACCTGAGTTCAATTCCTGCTCACAGCCAACACCGGTGATGATTATCGGAAACGGACCTGGGCCTCCCCTAGGTAGATTCAGCCTCAAATGAGTACCTGGTGTGCGGTGTGTAAACATCGCCAATGGGGGTGACACAGGGCGGCCGGGCGTGGTGCTGGCCACCCACCCCCTCGTGTGCCGTGCCGGCCTACATAGGTGGTGCTACTCGCTAACAGCACTTGCCCCAACAGTCTGTGAAGGCTACACGGGGGGGGGGGGGGATCTTTTTTCTCCGTGTGTGTGTGTAAATGTGCGTGCGCGCGTGTGTGTGCGCGTGTGAGCAGTGACCAGAATGCGCGTGCCGGCGGTGATGAGCTCCACCGGCGCCCACAGCTCCGACACGTCGCTCCGTGCCAGCAGCCTCAGCAGCTCGGGGTGGCGGCGCATCCACACGCTGAATGGCAGCGAGAAGGCCAGCCTGAACTGAGCGCAGCGCCACACACACGGATACCCCTATAGCGGCACACACACAGATAGTCTCTATAGCGGCACACATACAGATAGCCCCTATAGCGGCACACACACACAGATAGTCCCTATAGCGGCACACACACACACAGATACCCCTATAGCGGCACACACACGGATAACCCTATAGCGGCACACACACACAGATACCCCTATAGCGGCACACACACAGATAGTCTCTATAGCGACACACACACAAATAGTCCCTATAGCGGCACACACACACACAGATACCCCTATAGCGGCACACACACACAGATACCCCTATAGCGGCACACACACGGATAACCCTATAGCAGCACACACACACAGATACCCCTATAGCGGCACACACACACAGATAACCCTATAGCGGCACACACACATATCCCTATAGTGGCACACACATACAGATATCCCCTATAGCGGCACACACACACAGATACCCCTATAGCGGCACACACACACAGATACCCCTATCGCGGCACACACACAGATACCCCTATAGCGGCACACACACATATCCCTATAGCGGCACACACACAGATATCCCCTATAGCGGCACACATACAGATATCCCCTATAGCGGCACACACACACAGATATCCCTATAGCGGCACACACACAGATACTCTTATAGCGGCACACACACACAGATACCCCTATAGCGGCACACACAGATATCCCCTATAGCGGCACACACACAAATACCCCTATAGCAGCATACCCACACAGATATCCCCTATAGTGGCACACACACAGATACCCCTATAGCGGCACACACACAGATATCCCCTTTAGCGGCACACACACAGATATCCCCTATAGCGGCACACACACAGATAGTCTCTATAGCGACACACACACAGATAGTCCCTATAGCGGCACACACACACACAGATACCCCTATAGTGGCACACACACGGATAACCCTATAGCGGCACACACACACAGATACCCCTATAGCGGCACACACACAGATAGTCTCTATAGCGACACACACACAGATAGTCCCTATAGCGGCACACACACACACAGATACCCCTATAGCGGCACACACACGGATAACCCTATAGCGGCACACACACACAGATACCCCTATAGCGGCACACACACAGATAGTCTCTATAGCGACACACACACAGATAGTCCCTATAGCGGCACACACACACACACAGATACCCCTATAGCGGCACACACACGGATAACCCTATAGCGGCACACACACACAGATACCCCTATAGCGGCACACACACAGATAGTCTCTATAGCGACACACACACAAATAGTCCCTATAGCGGCACACACACACACAGATACCCCTATAGCGGCACACACACACAGATACCCCTATAGCGGCACACACACGGATAACCCTATAGCGGCACACACACAGATACCCCTATAGCGGCACACACACAGATACCCCTATAGCGGCACACACACACAGATACCCCTATAGCGGAACACACACAGATATCCCCTATAGCGGCACACACACACAGATACCCCTATAGCAGCACACACACACAGATACCCCTATAGCGGCACACACACACAGATACCCCTATAGCGGCACACACACATATCCCTATAGCGGCACACACATACAGATATCCCCTATAGCGGCACACACACACAGATACCCCTATAGCGGCACACACACACAGATACCCCTATAGCGGCACACACACAGATACCCCTATAGCGGCACACACACATATCCCTATAGCGGCACACACACAGATATCCCCTATAGCGGCACACATACAGATATCCCCTATAGCGGCACACACACACAGATATCCCTATAGCGGCACACACACAGATACTCTTATAGCGGCACACACACACAGATACCCCTATAGCGGCACACACACAGATATCCCCTATAGCGGCACACACACAAATACCCCTATAGCAGCATACCCACACAGATATCCCCTATAGTGGCACACACACAGATACCCCTATAGCGGCACACACACAGATATCCCCTTTAGCGGCACACACACAGATATCCCCTATAGCGGCACACACACAGATATCCCCTATAGCGACACACACACACACAGATATCCCCTATAGTGGCACACACACAGATACCCCTATAGCGGCACACACACACAGATACCCCTATAGCGGCACACACGCAAATACCCCTATAGCAACATACCCACACAGATACTCCTATAGCGGCACACACACAGATACTCCTATAGCGGCACACACACAGCTATCCCCTCTAGCAACACACACACACAGATATCCCCTATAGCAGCATACCCACAGATACCCCTATAGCGGCACACACACACAGATACTCTTATAGCGGCACACACACACAGATACCCCTATAGCGGCACACACACAGATATCCCCTATAGCAACACACACACATAGATATCCCCTATAGCGGCACACCCACAAATACCCCTATAGCGGCACACACACAGATACCCCTATAGCAGCACACACACACAGATACCCCTATAGCAGCACACACACACAGGTGAGTCCCCACACACACACAGGTGAGTCCCCACAAACACACAGGTGAGTCTCCCCACACACACACACAGGTGAGTCTACACACATGCACACACACACACAGGTGAGGCCCCACACAAACACAGGTGAGTCCCCACACACACAGGTGAGTCCCCACACACACACAGGTGAGTCCTCACACAAACACAGGTGAGTCTCCCCACACACACACAGGTGAGTCCCCACACACACACAGGTGAGTCTCCCCACACACACACACAGGTGAGTCTCCACACATGCACACACACACAGGTGAATCTCCCCACACACACACAGGTGAGTCCCCACACACAAACACAGGTGAGTCCCCACACACACACAGGTGAGTCTCCCCACACACACACAGGTGAGTCCCCACACACACCTGCTCGTGCAGGTAGAAGTTGAAGCAGAGCAGGTAGAAGCAGCGCTCAAGGCTCCCGAGCAGCCGATGCAGGGCGAGCTCCCTCTCGCCGGATCCCTGCAGCCGACGCCGGCGCCACAGGGCCGGCGTCGGCACCGGCAAAATGCGAACGGTGGGAGAAACGAGACGGCGGGGGGCGACGCGATCGGAGGCCGTGCCGAGCGCCATCGCCCCGACCGTGAAATTGAAACGAGACAGCTGGCGACACAGCAATGTGATCGCCTTCCGCCATTACAACGGTACGGATACCAAATGTGCCATATGTTACTACTATTGTTGTTGTTACGATTCATTTTCAGGGCTGGACGGAAGGAAATAACAAACACTCTGCACAATCGTCAACAACACTGCCTTTCTTAAGTGTAAAATGAATATACATACTTGTCATCTCCACCCTGTATGGGTGAAATGGCGAGAGATGACTGGTGTGGTGTGCGATAACAGGGTCTCAGTTTGTTTGAAGGGAAAAGTGTACAAGACGGTGGTGATGCCGCTGATGTTGTACGGGGCCGGGTGCTGCTGGGGCACAAGGAAAGAGGGAGGACCAAGCTATGGCAGTCACAAAGATGAGGATGCTGCGGTGGATGTTGGGTTTGACGAGGAAGGACATGGGGGAGGAGAGAAATTAAGAAGTGAGAGGAAGACTCAGTGTGGTAGAAATCACAAAGAAGATGAGAGAGAGAGAGAGAAAAGGCTCTGGGTGTGGTTCGGTCATGTGGAGAGACGACAGGGAAATTGCGTGGGTCAGAAGGTGGCGAGTGATGCAAGTGGAAGGACAGAGATCAAGAGGAAGGCAAAAGAAGAGGGGGGGGGGGGGGGCGATGTGGTGCGATCGGACACAGTGGTAGCCCGAGGATCGGTAAGAGATGGCGCAGGACGGGGCAGCGTGGAGACAGGGCAGAGTGGAGACAGGGCAGAGTGGAGACAGGGAGAGCGTGGAGACAGGGCAGCGTGGAGACAGGGCAGCGTGGAGACAGGTAGAGAGTGGAGACAGGGAGAGCGTGGAGACAGGGAGAGCGTGGAGACAGGGCAGTGTGGAGACAGGGAGAGCGTGGAGACAGGGAGAGCGTGGAGACAGGGAGAGCGTGGAGACAGGGCAGCGTGGAGAAGGCTGGCAAGGACAGTGGACCCTACACGAGTGGGACTAATGCGTGAAAGAAGAAGTCTTATCATATCCATCGATTGTATGAATTTGAAATGGGGGCATATTACCACATGGTTATTGTAAATAGCATGGATAAGCATGGATAAGTAGTGCTTGTGCAGATAAGCCAATATATTAAGCTAAAGGTCAAATGTTTTAGTATTTTTTACCTCATTTAAGTAAACTACATATCACAAGGACAGTCTCCTCGTTCATTGAAATCGATGGAACGGTCTGGGAGGAGTTCTCAAGGCAAAGATACACAGATTAGCCGATTATGGCGATCCTGGATGGGGATGTGTTAAATACTCGTTAGTTGAGTTGACCAAAATCTAAGTATAGGACCGCAGAGCTTTGGGCAATTGTTGGCACCGGTTCTGGATGCCCCCCAGGCCGTCTGTGGTTTCCCACGCGCTGAATCTCCCCTCCGTCTCCGAGAGTCAGTGAGAATCACGCGCGTGACTAATTCAACATCTTTCTTTCCCATTGTAGATTAGAGGACTCGGGTTAGGGGCCCCCCGGCTGTGGTTCTTGCATTTCCCATCGCTCTCGATCGAAACCCCGCCCTGGCCGGGGTGCGCGGGGGCACTGGGTAAGAATCACCGTGACCCTGACGAGCGGTCGGGGGTCTCGCTGATGGGCAGCTTCCGCTGGGGGAGGGAGGGGGGGGGGCGGTAGGATGGGGGGGGGCTCGTTTAATTTCCCGGGAAAAGTACACGGCCGCAGCGGTGTGTCGGGTTTCTGTTTGGTTTCCCCGCTACCGTGGCTACGGGCTGTCAGCTTCGGAGAGTTTTTTTTCCTCTTTCTCTCACTCCCCGAGTCGGTGAAGAAGCGGCACGCGTTTCATCGTCGGCACGGCCTCTTCGCAGCGGCCGGGGGAGGCCTTCATCCAGCAGTGGAATGATCATGGAGGTGTCAGAGACGACTTCCTCGCATACGTTTCGGTTGATGGCAACTTGGAAGTCCGCGTCCGGATTATTTAGCCGGGATATGGATTCAGTTGGAGTGCGGTGGATTCGTGCTTCAATGCATCCCTTAAATTTCTGGAGTGGCCCAATCTGCCAGCTCAACCGACAATCCCGGGCTTGAATCCGAGTCTCAGCCGGCCAGCCGCGGTCAGACTGTGGAGAGCTGACGCTCCCGCACCGGTCACCGATGGGCGCGCGAACAGGAACCGCCGCGCTCGATCCGGAGATCGCGGTGTAACCACGGGCAGCTGAAACTCGGCCCCTAGGCTCGGTGTCCCTGAGCGCCGAGCCAGCCGGAGCAGAGGCATTGGCCAGGTGCTGCTCGCTCACCTGCGACTGGCGATCATCCGCGACGGCCTCCAGCCTCTCCTTGTCCTCGTAGACGGCGCCCGACAGGCTGCACAACTCCGAGCACATGGCAACCGCACAGTCCACCTGCAACACCCGCAACCACCACCACGCAGCAACCGCACAGTCGACTTGACGAGACAACGATGGCACAACATCCAAAAAGCATTGTCCCAAGAGACAACGTCATGGCAGTCAACGAGAACCAACAACCACACTGCAGGGTGGCGTGGGAGAGCGCTGTGTGGCACAGGGTGGCGTGGGAAAGGGCGGCGTCACGTGTCCGAGTGAGCGCACCTCGTCGAGGATCTGCTGCGCGTCGGGGACGATGTCGAGGAAGCTCGTTATCAAGTGGAGCCGTGGGATGGGAGGGGTCTCCGCTGCTGCGCCATCGCCAGGCCTAGCGGGCGCCAGCACCACCCCCACCGCCCACACGCACGCACGCACGAAGACATCAACCCCCATAGTAAATAAAAAACGCACTCGCCATTCTTGTACGGCATCTCGAGGGACGCGATGGCGTGTCGACACTGTATACGTACATGGACGTCTGTGAAAAAGAGCTTCATAGCCCATCGGATTCCTCCAGTCTACATAAAGATTCTGATTGTGATGTGTGTGTGTGTGTGTACACACACGCTGTGTCCAACCCAGGGCCACCAATGGCCGTTTCTTTGGGAGGCCCGAGGGGGAAATGCCGTTTGAAGCCCCCCCGGCCACCTCTAGAGGCCCTCCACAGCTGTTTCTGCAGCCCCCTTGCTCGTGTCCAGAGGCCCAGGGAAGACTGCCCCACCTCTCACTGCGGCCCGCTCAATACCCTGCATCGCCAGATATAATCCCCTCAACGTGCTGAGAGTACGGGAGTAGGTTGTTTCGATAATCACGCGAAGGTGGGGTTGTCAACCATCCTCCCGGATTGACTGGGAGTCTCTACCGGAATCAGCATCGATCTCCTCCCGGTGACTGCTGAGATCACAACGGGAGATTTTAATCATCGGATATTTCAAGACAATTTCATTTTTGTTAGCATATATATACGCGTGGCGCCTTGCCGGTGCAAATCTGCCACTCAAAAGTGCCATCATCTCATTTAATGCTCAACATGAAATAAAAATGTTTCTAAACAATGACAAAAATATACGTCCATGAAATAATAAAAACATCTTCTGGAATAGCTTCAGTCAAGAGTTGGCAACCCTACGTGGAGAGAAGATTGCCGGGCGGGGGTGGCGGTGAAGGGGAGCTACGGATTGTGGTGGTGGGGGGGGAAGGGGGGTGGTGATGTTTGGGGGTGGAGGTACAGATTGTGGTGGCCGTGGTTGCAGAAAGGGGGGTGGTGGTGGTGATGGTTGGGGGGAGGAGGTACGAATTGTGGTGGTGGGGGGGAAGGGGTGGTGGTGGCGAGGGGGTGGGCCTCACCGTGGTGTGGCCGGGAAGCCGAGGCGGTGGCCGAGCAACAGGCAGGCGAGGGCCATGCCCAGGGTGGTGCAGCCGGTGCCGCTGCGGCAGGTGAAGAGGAAGGCCGGCGCTGGCGCCACGGTGGCGCCGGTGGCCACCTCGTGGCCCACGAGGCCTGGGCTCTGCTGCACCGACACAACAACATCGTCATCATCATCATCATCATCTCACTATGGCAACATACTCATCATCAACACCATTTTCATTGTCGTCATCAATAATATCCATCACCATAAATACCATCATCGTGGTCATCGTCATTTCCAATCGAATACCATCATTGTCATCATCAACACCATCATCATCACCGACATCATCATCGCTAGGCCCGTATGCTGCTGCACTTAGGACAAAGATGTCATCATAATCATCATATTGACCGTCGCTACAATTACTGTGCATCATTATCTGCATTCTATTCATCATCACAACCATTATTATAACTACCATCATCACCAACATCCCCTACAACGCCATTACCATCACTACGGCCGTGATGTGATGGGTACTATGTTTTTGGGGCAGACGTACACGGATGAGGTTGATGAAGTCGTCAAAGGCCTCTTCGTCAGGAGCTCCCTCCACTGGGAACGGGATCCGGGCATACCTACATCATCACCGCATCATCACCACGTCATTCCCACAACATCACTGCATCATCACCGCATCATCATCACATCATCACCGCATCATCACCACATCATCACCGCATTATCACCACATCATCACCACATCATCACCACATCATTACCACAACATCACCACGTCATTACCACAACATCACTGCATCATCACCACATCATCACCACGTCATTATCAAATCATCACCGCATCATCACCAAGTCATTACCACATCATCACCACATCATCACCACATAATCACCACGTCATTACCACAACATCACCGCATCATCATCACCACATTACCACGTCATTACCACATCATCACCGCATCATCACCACGTCATTACCACATCATCACCAAATCATCACCACATCATCACCACGTCATTACCACAACATCACCGCATCATCACCACATCATCACCACGTCATTACCACATCATCACCGCATCATCACCACATCATCACTACGTCATTACCACAACATCACCGCATCATCACCACATCATCACCGCATCATCACCACGGCATTACCACATCATCACCACATCATCACCACGTCATTACCACATCATCACCACGTCATTACCACAACATTACCGCATCATCACCACATCATCACCACGTCATTATCAAATCATCACCACATCATCACCACGTCATAACCACATCATCACCACATCATCACCACATCACCGCATCATCACCGCATCATCACCACGTCATTACCACAACATCACTGCATCATCACCGCATCATCACCACGTCATTACCACATCATCACCGCATCATCACCACATCATCACCACGTCATTACCACATCATCACCGCATCATCACCACATCATCACCACGTCATTACCACATCATCACCGCATCATCACCACGTCATTACCACATCATCACCGCATCATCACCGCATCATCACCACGTCATCACCACATCATCACCGCATCATCACCACATCATCACCGCATCATCACCACATCATCACCGCATCATCACCACATCATCACCACGTAATTACCACATCATCACCGCATCATCACCACATCATCACCACGTCATTACCACATCATCACCGCATCATCACCACATCATCACCACGTCATTACCACATCATCACCGCATCATCACCACATCATCACCACGTCATCCTACATCATCACCGCATCATCACCATCTCGTCACCGAATCATCACTTCATCGTCACCGCATCATCACCACATCACCAAGGGCATATCCACATCATCACCACATAACCACTATATTATCACAACGGGTATCGCAACATCTTGATGACATCAATACATCACCACGACGTCACCAAAGCATCACATCACCACGGGCACAGCTGCAACATCACCAACTACATCGCTACTTCACCGTCACCGCATCATGACGACATAATCAATCACACCATCACGACGACATCAACACATCGAGTAACGACATCGCCACGACATCACTCCGGGCAAAGGAGCGCTCAAATGCTGAAAAAAAACATCAACTTGGGAGTCGCAACATCACCACAACATCAACATCGCCACGTAACTACGGTACCGAGTTACCAGTTAATCACATCACCCCGACTCGTGGCATCGCTCTCACGTCACGGAGGCAGTGAGATTGAGCGAAACGATCCCAGCTCAAGATCGCCGCCTCCTGGTGGCGGTGAGAATCGGTGTGGTGAGTGTGTGGTGATAGTGTGATGTGTGTAGTGAGAGTGTGAGTGCGTGTATGGTGAGAGTCTGAGTGTGTGTATGGTGATGGTGAGAGTGTGAGTGTGTGTATGGTGAGAGTGTGTGTATGGTGAGAGTGTGAGTGTGTGGTGAGTGTGTGGTGAGAGTGTGATGTGTGTGGTGAGTGTGTGGTCCGTGTGGTGAGAGTGTGAGTGTGTGGTGTGTGTGGTGCGAGTGTGAGTGTGTGGTGAGTGTGGTGAGAGTGTGTGGTGAGTGTGCTGAGTGTGTGCTGTGTGTGGTGAGTATGGTGGGAGTGTGAGTGTGAGGTGTGTGTGGTGAGAGTGTGAGTGTGTGGTGAGTGTGGTGAGAGTGAGCGTGGTGAGAGTGAGTGTGGTGAGTGTGGTGAGAGTGTGGTGAGTGTGGTGAGTATGGTGAGAGTGTGAGTGTGTGGTGTGTGTGGTGAGAGTGTGAGTATGTGGTGAGCGCGGTGAGTGTGGTGAGAGTGAGCGTGGGGAGCGTGGTGAGTGCGGTGAGAGTGAGCGTGGTGAGTGTGGTGAGCGTGGTGAGTGTGGTGAGCGTGAGCGTGGGGAGCGTGGTGAGTGCGGTGAGCGTGGTGAGTGTGGTGAGCGTGGTGAGTGTGGTGAGAGTGAGTGTGGTGAGAGTGAGTGCGGTGAGAGTGAGCGTGGTGAGCGTGGTGAGCGTGGGTAGAGTGAGTGCGGTGAGCGTGGTGAGCGTGGTGAGAGTGAGTGCGGTGAGCCCGTTGCCGGACTCACCGCAGGCCCGGCACGGTGAAGAGCGGCCGACAGAACACCTCCTCGCTGGTCCGCACATCGTCGTCCTCGCTAAGCCGGCACGGCAGCGCCGCTCCGGCGGTGGCGGCGCCGCCACCGCCGCCACCGCCAGGGAAGGCGGTGGCGTCCAGCTCCTCGTACACGTAGTACGTGTTCTGCTTCAGTGACGCAAAGTCCAGAATCTACTCGGGGCGAGGTGGAGGGACATCACCGACACCACGGACATTCATCGCAAGGCGGTCGCAGCATCGCGTGCTTTCAGGAGCGCTCCTGCGGCCGTCTGGAACGCTCTCCCTTCCGATATTAGGTAGGCACTGGAGCGAAATGATTTATTTTGAACTGATATTTGTGTTTAGTTTGTTGTCGTTCCCCCGCACCTCCGATTAGCAAGGTTGGCTACGTACGGTGTGGAAAGAAGTTCAACATATACAGAGTAAATACAGGGTGTTCAACAACGATGGACCCAATTTCAAAGCAGTATATTTCACGATGGCAACATGTTAAAATTACACGTCACGTGACAAACAGTTGAATCAATGATCAAGTTTTACTAACCATTTTATAAATGCTCTATGTGTGCCCTCCGCCTGCTGTACGGACAACATCGAGACGATCGTTGAATTCGTCCCGAACGCCTCTCAAAGCAGGGGCGGAGCCAGGATTTTCAGCCCGGGTAGACACTCAACAAATTTTTATTTCAAGAATGGTTAGAGAGTCAGGCTGTTGAACTAGACGCCATCGGTTGGCGACACACTCTGACGATGCAGTTGCACGGAGTCCGCCAGACCGAGTGTCGTACACTTATACGCAGAATGTCACCCCTGTCACCCCCCCTGGCTCCGCCCCTGTCTCAAAGTGAAGTCTTCTTCCACTGCAGTCACCGCGGCCGTGATTTTCTTTTTGAGGTCTCACAGATTAGCCGCTAATGGTGGCACAAAAACACCACGGCCTTTGACGTATCCCCACAAGAAAAAGTCGCAGGGTGTGATGAAACGCACGCTGCACCGCAATTACGGATTCAGTCTTGCTGAACTGCAGAACGCAAAACGCCCCTTGTGTTGCGGGGTTCACCGCCTCGCGAATGACGTGAGGCTAGGGGCTGTTTGTGCGCTGGGAGAGGCGTCTAGCGGAAATTATTTGAAACTCTATGCCCCGCCCTCTCTGTGCCCCGCCCTCTCTATGCCCCCGCCCTCTCTATGCCCCGCCCTTTCAAGTGGTAAGCATTTCATTCATGGGCGGTTCGTGGTTACAGAGGTATAGCGATTTAAAATAGGGTCCATCTTTTTCAAATATTCTGTATATATATCACGATAACAATCGAGAATTTCTACCGCAAGCAGTGCTCGTTCGCTGTCTCGCAGACAGAGCACGGAGAGATTCAGAGGCGCGGGAAGCCGCAGTCGAGCGGCAAGGCAGCCAGAGCCGGCGTGGCCAACAATCGCCCGAGCTCTGTGGCCCTACATTGCAATGTTTGGCCGACTCCCTCAATGAATGAATGAATGCGTTTATCCGTGCAGGAGAACAACGGAGCGCACGGAGGAAACCCACGCCTGAGACGGCCGGCAAAACGCTCCATCCCCCAACAGTTGGAAGTTCGTCCACCGGGGAGACGAAGCGAAAGCGGCCGCTACAGCGTGCCCACTGAGCGGCCACTTCCCGGTACCGGCGAGAGCGCGGCCTCCCTCCCTCCCTCCCTCCCTCCCTCCCTCCCTCCCTCCCTCCCTCCCTCCCTCCCTCCCTCCCTCCCTCCCCTTCCCTCCCTCCCTCCCTTCCCTCCCTCTCACCTCCCGGCGGATGCTCAGCTCCAGGGCGTCCACCTCCCGGCCGGCCCAACCGCCACGGCTCCTGCAGCGCCCGCCGCGGTGACCCCACGCGGCGGGGCCGGCGTGCGGAGGCGCCGGCGGCACCGGCGGGGCGGGGGGGCGCGGGACGTCGAGGGGGCAGCCCGGCCGGCGCGGAACGAACGCCGTGAAGTCGTCGTCGTCGTCCGGGCCGGTGCGCGGCAGGAAGACCACGGGGTCCCCGCGGAGGTTCACGAGCAGCAGCTCCTGCGGGGGACACCGCGCGCACCCGCAGGCGGAGGTCGCCTCCCCTACCCCCCCCCCCCGCCCCCCGCGCGTAGCTTGCGACCGACCGTCGGTGGGGCGAGCGCCGATAGCGAGCGCCTTGTTGAGGCCGGAACGGCACGCCAGGGGAGGGTTGCGTGGCCACAAACCGCGCCCGGCCGCCTTTGTCTCCCAGTGCTGATGCATCGCAGACAAACACGCACGGACACGTAAATGTGCGCACGGCTCACCCCCCCCCCCCCCCCCCCACCTACTTCACCAACCCGCAGGGGCCGGCGTGGGGAAGTATGGTCAGACAACCGCCATGATCGACACAGCGTGGGGCGGCCTTCATCCAGCAGTGTACTAATAAAGGGCAGTAATATGTGTTCCACCAGATCCCTGGCCACGTGCGCGTGTGCGTTCGTGTGCGTTCGTGTGTGGTGTGGTGTGGTGCGCGTGTGTTGGGCTCTCACGGTGTGGCCGGCGTCACACATGCCCTGCAGCACGCTGAGCAGGCCCGCCGGGGACGGCTGCCCCATGCCGTAGACAGGGAGGCCGTTTTGAGCCTGCCGGAAATTGGGGGCCCCGCGTTGCGATACCGTGCCCAGCACATCGGCCCCCCGGGGCTGGTCCCTCACCAGGAAGTACTTGCCCTGGACGGGGAGTGGAGAGGGGGTGTGGGTGGGGGGGCGACAGATCATCCCAATCAAGGTGCCACGGTGGTGAGATGTTATCTCCCTCGCCTGGTCTGCAGGACATCGTGGGTTCGATTCTGACCTTGACGCCTGCTGTATATTTGGAATCTGCATGTTTCTCCCTGTGGTCCCGTGGATCTTTCTCCGGGTCCTCAGGTTTTTCCCTCCATGTGTTTAGAGAATTTTGCTGCTAATATGAATGATGATAAGCCCACTTCGTCGAGCTATCACTTGTGGCCAGATCTCTTCTGGAAAAAATGCTATACATCTCAGTGGGCTTTACCTGGCAATCGGTCAAATATATATTTAACATCCATGACCGCGCACGGTAAAGATATCAACTCTCTGGGAGGCTCAACCGTGACACATGGTGAGCCAGCAGCTCCTCTCTCGGCGATGCGAATGTCTGAAGGGGGGGAGACAGAGTTACTACCGCTGACTGGAGGGAGGTTTCGTTCACCTTTGTTGTCTCTACAGCCGATGTCTACGAGACGCGCGCACGTTCTCGTGGGGCGGCACGTCGCGATCGCCGGGGCCTTTTTGGGCCGCTATGGGGAGAACCTGAACGCGGAATCCTCGCAACCCGGTGGACTGCAACGCGACAGTGTAAACCAAAAATAACTCCCAGATTGGAGAGAATATGCCACCCAAAACGCTTCCCTTTGGCGGAGGTCACCGACCGAGGTCGTGAGCCACACCCGGCCGGGGATTCCCCGAAGTCCCGCAGGTGACCGCGAGGAGGATAAATCCTTGGTCCCAAGAGGGGAGGATTAAACGCGGCGCTGAGAGACGGGGTCACGTGGTCGGGCGTGACGGGGAAATGGAACCGAGTAACGCAAGATGCGACCGAACGACCATCGCCATCATCACAACCTCCACCCCCCCCCCATTGCATCATCAGCACCGCCATCACCACCATCACAACCACCCACTGCATCATCACCACCAGTACCATCATCACAACCCCCATTGCATCATCATCACAACCCCCCATTGCATCATCACCACCGCCATTACCATCATCACAACCCCCCATTTGCATCATAACCATCATCACACCGCATTGCCCATTATCATAAAAAAAAACTATCATTGCTGGCATATCCATCAGTCATCGCCGTCAGTCACCACCACCTTATTCTCGAAGCTCTCTATCACCCTACTTAACTCCTTTCACCAATACATCTCACCCCCTCAGTCACGTACAGCCTGTCGGGATGGCGGCAGCAGCGTCTACAGCAGCAGCATCGTCGCTGTGGCCAGCGGCAACAGCAGCAGCAGCAGCATTTCACACGGCACATGCAACAGCAAAAGCATAATCATCTCGGGCATCTGCCACTGGGTTTTCAGCCTTCCAAAACGTCGTGGCAGACGCCGTATTCATTAGAGCAGAATAGCAATGTCCACGAATTAGGGTTCGTGGACATTGCTATTCTGCCATGACACGGGATTCGGAAATCACGGGGCATTGACACGTAACGTGGAACACAAGCTGAAACACTACACACGTGCAGAGAAGCATGGAGGAAGAGGAGGAGGGGTGGCGAGTCACGCCGAGATGGGGAGAGCAACACGTGGACCGGAGAAGGTGCTCACGTTCGAGGCGTAACCGGGTCGGCGAATCGCCGCAAGAATTCCGCGCGCGATACGAACGGGAATTATCATATTTTTGTCATTATTATTATTGGCCGCATGCAACGTCGGGTGGGGTTTGGGCAGCGCGCGCCGCGAGTGAGAAGGGACGATGTCCCCGCGGTCGAGACGAACAACGGAGCGGCAGCAAAAGGAGGGAGAGACGGCCGACAGGACGTCCATGGCCGAGACGTAGCGGCGAGGTCACCAGCAGCAGCAGCAAGAAGCGAGACGCCACGACGCTGGACCGCTACAGACGATGATGGCTTGAGGAGGGGGGGGGGGGGTGGGAGGAGGCCACCATCCAGCAGTAGATAGACCATGGCTGTGATGATGATGATGATAACGACGACAATCTGCCACCGCACAGCACCGTAGGCCCTGGCTCACGGTGTGGAGGTGCTCGCTTGTAATGTGAAACCCGCCGGGCTCCGGTTGGGGGGGGGGGGGGGTGCAGGTGGACTGTGAGCCGATGCGGGTGACGGTTCCCCCCGGGGGGGGCTCTGGCTATCGGCGCAGGGACACGTCACGTGTGCCGGCACGGCCAGCCCGCTGCATCCTTAATGGGGGCACGCGCGTGGCCGCGCGGGTCACGTGCCACTAGCCGCTCGAGCCACTGCTGGTGCAAGGGCCTCCACCAGAGGCAGCTCTAGAGAGACCCTTCACCCCAGGCACACGCATTCAACGAAAGCAACACACACAGATGCAACAACACGCACGTGCTAGAGCAGCAACAACAACAACACCAACCACCCCGTGCTCTCACGTCGCGCCGCCGATGTCTCGAACGCGGTTCCCTCGGCTCGCGTCTAACGAGTCCCCAGCGAGTCCGCGCCTGCCCGCACGCAACGCGTTCATCGGCCCGGCCACGTTCCCGCCTCGCCAAATTGGGGGGGAGGTCCCAGGGGCGATGAATTAAAAACAAAAATACCGTCAACGTTTGCCTAAACGTTGACAGAGGCCGATCTCGTTGACAGAGGCCGATCTCGACAACTGTCCCAATAAGGGGTGGGGGTGCGGTTTTAGATTGTAAAGGTAATGAAACAGGGCCCTGTACTATTGGGACAAGACATGCTCTGTCGTTATTGTAAATGGTGAATATTACTCTGATTATATATAGCTGGCATCTCTCCATCGTACTCTTTTTCGTGTGTTTTTTTCATTTTTCGTTCCACTTTGTGATGTCAAGAATTATTCTAAATGTTACACTGATGAAAATCTTTAATAATGCAGTTCGTGAGTCACGGGCAGGCAAGTCCCTCATCACAGCCACCATCACGGTCACCACGGCTTGGTTTCCAGACAGAATTCACCATCACCACCACGGCTCTTACCATCACCATTGCCATCAGGGTAGCCCGGCACATCGCTGTGGCCATCACCATCAACGTGACGACCGCCCTGACCATCCACCACTGTGGTTGTTACAGTCGCCATCACCGTCATCATCAGCGTGGTCACCCTATCGTGTGTGTGTGTGTACATGTGTGTGAGTGTGTGGGGAGCGGTCGTGTAGCGGTTAGCGCGCTGCGCTAGGAACCCGGCAACCCGAGTTCAATTCCCGCTCACGGCCAACACAAGTGACGATTATTTGAACCGTGTCTTGGGCCTCCCCTAGGTCGACTCAGCCTCAAATGAGTACCTGGTGCGATATGTAAACATCGCCACTGGGGAGACAAAGGTGGCCGGGCGTGATGTTGACCACCCACTCCCTTGTGTGCCGTGCCGGCCTTCATAGGTGCTCGCTAACAGCACTTGCCTCAAAAGTCTGTTAAAAGCTAGTCGGGGGATAGTTGTCTTTGTGCGAGTCAGTGTGTGATTGTGTGCAGGCGTGCGCGTGTGTGTGGGGAGGCTAGAGCACTGGTGATAAATATATCTGAACCAGTCCTGGACCTCCTTGAGTAGTAGTAGTTTATTTTTAATTACCCTGTGAGCCAATAATCTCTTAGATCGGGTTCCATCAACCTTAAACGAGTACCTGGTGCGGTGTGTAAACATCAACATTGAGGAGAGACAAACACGGAGCGGGTGAGCTGCTGGCTTCCCACCCTTTCCGTGTGCCGTGCGGGCCTTTATAGGCGCTCACAAAGAGCACTTGCCCCACTAGGCTGTTAGAGGCTCTACGGGAGGGGATCTTTGTGCGTGGCGTGTGTCACCTGGATGAGGTAGTGCTCCCGGTGTCCGTCTGCGATCCGTCCCGTGATGTACCCAGCTCGGGACTTCTCATCGTGGATCTGGAACTCCTCCTTGCAGTTAAACCTGAACACCAACATATTTTTTTTTTATTTTGCCCGGTAGTTGTGCACTGAGCTGTATGGCTCTTGTCAGAAGCGTACAATGATACAGGTTTATTATGGACAGTGCTACCTCGTGTCTTATTTGTCGTGCCTTATGCCGATAATCCCAGCATTATAGAAAATGAAAGATTAAGCCCTAGGTGCACCCCCCCCCCCTTCTCTACATGTTTGCCGGGTCCTAGAATCACCGCTGGGTTAAGTCGCAAGAGGCTGCCCACTCACGTGATGACGACCGGTGCCACCTTGTTGGTGATGATGGATTTTGCCCGATTGCCAGGCAACTGTGCACAACCGCCTCCACCCACGCCACCGCCGCCACCGGCTGATGTGTTGGAGATGATGGTTGCCGTGGAGATGGCCGAATTGGTCCTCGCTGCGGCGGCGACGCTGGAGGGCGGGTGGCGGCTCGCCGGTCCGTCGCCATGGAAACTGGAGTACTGTGCTGCCACGGATACCGCCTGCCTCCCCGTGCTCGCTGTGGTTCCCATGATCCTCGGCCCCTGGAGTGTTGGAGAGGGGAGGGGGGCGGAGAGGGTGGGGGTCTAGGGAGGAGAGGGGGTGGGGGAGGATAAACATTTGCGTGGCTTTTAAAATGTAACAGTTATTCCTCGTCAACCATTACAGAGTGAAATCACACTAAGTTTATTTTAATTAATATGACTTTTATCATATAGGTGGCGCAGTGGTTAACACGTGGCACTATGGAACCCAACGATCTGAGTTCGATTCCCGGCCAATAGCTAATATTATTGGCGTTTAATATCTTAGCCGATTCTGGGCCCGCAAACTCCCATCACCAACCCCTCACCGATAAACCAACCCCCCACGGCTGAAACGGCGTGGGGCGGCCTTCATCCAGCAGTGAATTGGCTAAGAGCCGTAGTTCTACCTTATATACCTAGTCAAACAGATTACCATCATATCTTATCTATCTTACATGGATGTACTGTACGTATGATAATCATCGGATTTCTTTTTTTAAAGGCATAATACTCTGGAGCCGGTAGCGCGTACGTGCAATATAATACGAACTCGCGGATATTGTGCCGCACGGATTCGTGATGTTTTATGTTTTTAAAAGAAGAAAAAAACGTAAACATCAAACTTAAAAATCGACCGTCGTTTCGGCTTTCATTCCGTTTTCATCGCCACGTGGGGCCACGAGGGACGTGGGGTCACGAGGGACGTGGGGCCACGGAGGCGCCAGCAGCCGGCGTCTGGAGGTGCGCGAGGGGAGTTATTTTTTATCAGGCTATGCCGTATGAGAACAAAACAAGTTTTGCTGGCTGGCTTCCGGCCTGGATTCCTCCCTGACTGGCCGCTTGGCACGCAAATCCGCGTATGCTCTCCGCATAATCTCACGGAAGGAGGAGGAGGAAACGTCCGTTTCGACCTCGGCGTGTCGCTACGTGTCAGAGAGAAGGGCCCTCCCTGGAAGATGACTTCAATGAGTTACTTCAGAAGCCAATCCCATGAACCCGTTTATAGATATTTGAGAGCACCGCACCTTACAATGCCATCCAATTATCGCTGCCAAACGAAATTTTCTAAATGTACAATGCCAGGGTTTAGCCCGGTTAGTACTGGAGTGGAACGCTGCTAGCGAAGAGCAGGTGATGTAGGGTTTGAGGGGCTTGGCTGTGAGTTGGCCAGGAGATGTTAAGTTCAGCGATGGATACTTGAATACATCTGTGCGGAGCTGCGTCACCCACTTCAATGTTCTTTGTTCCCCAGTTTCCTTTCCCAAGAAGCCAAACGGCCGTTGTTGGAAGCGGTCAAATCCCCCCGTGTAACAGCACACTCCTGACAGCTACTCCAGAGACCCAGTGAGGCTTCCTAAGGGAAACTGCATTTTGACGATAATTATTCTCGTCATTATTATTTCAAAGTGCAAATTAGACATTACGCAATATCACCGGTTATGTGTCACCGTTATTATTTTGAGTAGTTTCTCAGTCTATTCGTGGATGACTGTAAAACAATTTAGACTAAAGGAGCTATAAAGCTCTTTTTCACAGATGTCCATTAGGGGTGGGTGAAAACGCTACAACAACAAACAATACAAAACACGATAGGAGTGCAAATTATGGGAAAGGTAAACCCACGTAAAATATACAAATTAAACAAAACAATCGTTTTTATTACCAGGTGAAACCCACTGAGCCATTAGCTTCTTTCTCAGAAGCGACCTGGACATAAATGACGGCTCAAACGAAGTGGTTTATCACGTGGAGATTCATAGCAGCCAAATACTGTAAATGCATATTTCTAAATGTGGAGGGAAAAATCCATGCGACTACAGGGAGAGAGACATGCAAACTCCAAATATACAGCCATCAGGGCCGGGATCGAACCTACGTCCTCCTGCATACCAGGCGGCGAAGTAGTTAACGTCTCACCACCGTGGCGACACGTTAACTCCCGGGTCTCCAGCGTGGCGAGTCGCTCAGCCCGCATACCAGCTCAAACAAAGTGGCTCATCACGTGGAAATGTATAGCAGCAAAATCATCTAAATAATTTCAATGAATGTGGCTCGGGCGTCAGAGCGCAGCTGCGACCCGAAGTTCAAATCCGGGTTCCAGGTCCCCGCTACTAAACCGGGTTCTCGAGTGCAGCGAGTTCACGGTCTCGGCCTGGTCACCAGGGACTTAGCACAAAGAAAACTTCGAGTTCAATTTGGCGCTGTACTTAATTTGGGCAAATTCCAGCTCTTGAGACTGTTAAATCTTGTGTTGACCTGTCGTACGATGGGTGAGCATATTATCCTCAGCGACAGAGTGGGTTGGGGGGGGGGAAGTGCGCCCCCCCCCTTTACTTGTGTGGGTCAGAGGTCACTTGAAGGGATCTCAAAGAGGAAGCTCTGGGACATCTGGGGCCCACTGCCCACCAGCGCGAGAGTGCGGATGGAGTCTGCGTCTCGCGACGCCGATAATAGCGCGAACGGGGTGGTGGGGGGGAAGGGTAATTTTGAGCAAAAAGAAGAAAAAAATACAAACATTAAATTAAAACACGGCTGGGGTGCTGTTCATATCGCTGGGGTTACCCAGAATCCTCACACATCGCGAGCCACAGATGAAGAGGCTGTTGCCAGGCAATGCCGCAATGCTGTTGGCCGTGTCTCCATGGCAACGAGCTAAATTTAGCGAGCCGGTGTTTTTTTGTTTTTGTTTCTCGCGTGCATCCTCCTGTCTAGCGCCCTTCCTTCGTCTCCCTCGCTCTCCCCAACATCTCCCCCCCTCCCCACTCGCTCTCCCTCTCATTCACCATCCCTCTAATGCTCCCACTGCTCTCAGCATCTCTCTCATGCCCTCTCTCTCCTTCAGATTGTCTGCCTCTCTCTCTCACGCTCTCCCTTCCATTGACCATCTCTCTATCTCTCTCTCTCTCCCCCTCTCCGAACACCATGTCTCTGTGACGTTCTCTCCATGCCTCTCTCCCTCTCTCATGCTCTCTCGCGCGAGCGGTACCCTAAATAAATAAACCGCCCATTAATCCACGCGGCGAGCGTAGAATTGGATCATATGAACACACCGAACCACTGATTCAACGGCTGCCCAAACACCTGGTATCCAACCCAACCCTGGCTCTCACGACCGCGACATGACGAATGAGTCGCGTCACCCACCACACAGCCACAACGCCATACTTCACCACCGTGGGAAGATATCCCATCACAGCCAAACTCACACACAACCCAGTGGGAACCTTGGGGGCAGACGGAGTCACGTCAGACATATCGCACCCCGCCTGCCCAAATGTTGGACTGGGCAGAGCAGGAATAACTGTGCCTCCATCAATGTCCTCAATGGGGCTAGATGCCTTCGTGCCTTCACCTCCCCTCCAAACTACAACACTCTTCCCACGGCTTCATATATACCCCCCCCCCCCGCCTCTAAATCACACAGGGCAGAGTGAATTCCTTCTAAAATTATCCTGGCACAAGTTCGGCTGCGGCTCCAGGCAGATGTGTTTATGTTATTGTGGGAACGAGAGAGCGATTGTGGCTGACTTATGGGCTACACTGGGACTTGACAACAGCACACTGGGGCTACACCGGGTTGATGGCATCGAACCGGCGTCCTCTGCAAATACCGGGAGCACACCCTGGCATCTCGAGGACTGCGCGCGACACCACACAACCACGGGGTAGGCCAATCTCGGACGCCAAGCGGGGGTTAAACCTCGCTTGTCATGGGACGGCTGTGTTACGTGCTAGGCAGCAGATGGCGGGGCAGCAGAATTCACTGTTGTACCGTACCCTATATGCTCCCGCATCGATGCTGCTCGTCTTAACGACCCACGCTGTGCGGTGTTTTATACATTAAATATGGAGCTGTGGGAACAGTCTTGAAGTTTTGTGGGTGGCAAGTACACGTGTAGTGTAATAGCGCCGCCTGTTGTCCAGCAACGGCAACTGCGGTGGACGAGCAGAACACACTCCGGTGAGCTTATACACGGCTGTGTGTCGGCAGGGCGGAGGAACTGGGGCAAGGGTCATAGAAGACCCCATCTGGAAGCCCCTGGAACCCGCTAGTGGGTTTGAGAAGGGAGGTGCGGCCAGGGCGGAGCCAGGCCGCGCCGGAGAGGATAAAAGCGGCGGAGAGCGGGAGCTCGTGGCTGCCGGTTCTGAGAAGTGGACTCGTCTCGTCATCGTCGCTGTCGTCGCCTTCGTCGCTGATGTCTTCGCTGGATATCGCGCGGCCGGAGAGTTGTTGGCCGTCTCGGTCGGCGCCGTCGGTGCTACACGGTCAGGGTCGTGTTCAGGCTGGGCTAGACGACTAGGGAGAGCGCGAGGGCGAACCTGTGAACCTGAAGGTGTTGAATAAAGAAGGTGCTCCTGAAAAACCTTGTCCCCCACTCCGCTGACACTACACACGTGTCTGTGTACATACATACATGAGTACACGTACATACGTGTACAGCACTTTTTGTGCAATCCACTGCTGGATGAGGCCATCCTCACGCCCGTGCGGGTCACTGGCGGATATTTGACCATACTTCACCACGTTGGTCAGCGCGGATTGGTTGGTGAGGGCGGGTAGAGCATTCATTGCGAACGCATACAAGTGCAGTACAATGAAGGCTTTTGTTTCAAGTTAGTGCGAGCCACGTTACATCCACTGACGCTATCTCAAGGGCTCACCGTTGTTTCCCTCATCGTATTGTTAATCAGCTATTTTATTATCATTATGTTGATGTTTTTTTGAATTGTGAGGTAAATGTTTTTTTTTCATTTCCGCTACCGCGGAGTGGTCAAAGCACTTCGTAAAATATCTGTGTTGAGCTTACTTAGTTAATTTCCATCTCAATGCGGAATTAATCCTCCCATCTTTCCCCTCAATTTTCAACATCGCCACTTATTTTGCTCGCGTTAAGCGTCGTGGCTTAAATTCTTAAGAAGGAAAATTACATCGTAAGAGTTTACTAAGTCACGTATCTCTCCCGACACACGCCAAGTAGCTTTGTAATTAATTCTCGAATTTGCATAATCGCGCATTAAGAGGCCTAATGTCCGGACCAGACCTAGTCTTCGCGATCAGCGATCAACTATCATAATCAGCGTGACCATCATCATCACAAGTAGCATCAGCATCATCATCATCACCACCATAATGAGGTCAGCAGTAAAATTGTTACAATTACAGCAATACCCCGGTTTACATCGGCGATGCGTTCCTGAAAGGTGTGACGATGTAGCTGTCAGCCCATACGCTTTACCCGTATTCATGTACAGGGAAATTGAGTTATCAGGTCCACACAGCGTACAGCCGTTTCAATACGGGTATTATTTTTGTCTATTTGTTTGTGTTTCTCCCTTGTGATGGGACTTTGTAGGATGAACGTTGAGATTTATAAGTGGGCACGGCGTGACCAATAAGGTCTGAACTGGTCTGTAATAAGGTAAGGGCACTGATAAAGGGTTGAGAGGTTTGTAGTGGTGAGTACTAGTGGTGAGTGTAGTAGTGGTAATTGTCTATTTGTTTGTGTTTCTCCCTTGTGATGGGACTTTGGAGGATGAACGTTGAGATTTATAAGTGGGCACGGCGTGACCAATAAGGTCTGAATTGGTCTGTAGTAAGGTAAGGCCACTGATAAGGGGTTGACAGGTTTGTAATTGTGCAGTGTATAATGTAATGTATAGTGTAGTGTATAGGATGAACGTTGAGATTTACAAGTGGGCACGGCGTGACCAATAAGGTCTGAATTGGTCTGTAATAAGGTAAGGGCACTGATAAGGGGTTGACAGGTTTGTAATTGTGCAGTGTATAGTGTAGTGTATAGTGTAGTGTATAGGATGAACGTTGAGATTTACAAGTGGGCACGGCGTGACCAATAAGGTCTGAACTGGTCTGTAATAAGGTAAGGGCACTGATAAAGGGCTGACAGGCACGCGCAGACGCATATCTCAAACGACGTAAATCGAAGCGATTCACGGGGTAGGTGGTGGAGGCGAATGCCGAGAGGCGACTGATATCGAGAGAGGTCGGATGAGGATGCTGTTGGGGGGTGGTTTGAGGCGACGGAAATCAGGTGGCGGCGTTTATCGTAAAGTGACGACGTATTTGCGAAGCGACGTGTAACAGGGGGCAGACGTACGTCGTGGGGTATGGCTGTATCATCGACCGGCAGAAGCAGCAGCAGCAGCAGAATCTGCAGCCTCCAGCATCGTTACTGGTCATCAGCAACAAGCGCGGGCACCAACTTCAACCACCGCCTTTATCACGACCACCACAATCACCTCGACAATCGCATCATAACCACACCTACACAATTATAACTACCATCACCAACCTCACTGCCACGACCACCATAATCACCGCCTCAACCACAATCATTGCCTCAAAACCATCATCACCACCCCATAATCCCAGCCACCGCAATCACCACAGCCATCACCTCAGAACCACAATCACCACCACCACAATCACCACCACCACAATCACCACCACCACAATCACCACCACCATAATCGCCACCGCAAATCCGCTGTGCGGAGTGATATTAAACCTACAAAGACAAAGGACCCCCCCCCGGTATAGCCTCAACAGACTGTTGGGGGCAAGTGCTGTTGGCACCTACGAAGGCCGGCACTGTGGCACACGAGAGGGGGTGGGTGGTCAACACCACGCCCGGCCGTCTTTGTCTCCCCAAGTGGAAATGTTTAGACATCGCACCAGGTACTCATTTGAGGCTGAGTTGACCTTGGGGAGGCCCAGAATCGCTTCTGACATCACGCGCCCCTGCTGTGAGCTGTGCCCGGGAATTGAACTCAGGTTGACCGGTTTATCAAGCAATGCGCTAACCGCCATCCCACTACTCCCACGCATATCCCTGACCACGTACACTGCAATTACCTCACATTACTCACCACACACACACCACACACCACACTCACCTCACACCACACACCACACTCACCTCACACCACTCACCACACTCACCTCACACCACACACACCTCACACCACTCACCACACTCACCACACACCACTCACCACACACCACTCACCACACTCACCTCACACCACTCACCACACACACACCACACACAACACTCACCTCACACACCTCACATCACTCACCACACACACCTCACACCACTCACACCTCACACCACTCACCACACTCACCTCACACCACTCACCACACTCACCTCACACCACACACCACACTCACCTCACACCACACACACCTCACACCACTCACCACACACACCTCACACCACTCACCACACACACACCACACTCACCTCACACCACTCACACCTCACACCACTCACCACACTCACCTCACACCACTCACCACACTCACCTCACACCACACCTCACACCACTCACCACACTCACCTCACACCACTCACCACACTCACCTCACACCACACCTCACACCACTCACCACACACACCTCACACCACTCACCACACACACCTCACACCACTCACCACACACACCTCACACCACTCACCACACTGGCTTCACACCACTCACCTCACACCACACACCACTCACCTCACACCACACACCACACTCACCTCACACCACTCACCACACACACCTTACACCACTCACCACACACACACCATTTACCAGACTCACCAGACACACACCACTCACCACACACACCTCACACTCACCTCACACCACACACCACACTGGCTTCACACCACTCACCTCACACCACACACCACACACACCTCACACCACTCACCACACACACACCACTCACCACAAGACTCACCACACACACCTCACACCACTCACCACACTCACCTCACACCACTCACCACACACACACCACTCACCACAAGACTCACAACACTAACAACCACACCACGCTCGCCATACCACGCCGACCTCCGCCGTCTGTCCAGCAGAGAAGCGAAACGAGCCGTGGCCACAACCTCCATCAATCGCCGATGCGTGCAGCGCAACAGCAGCAACAGCAGCAGCTTCAATAGCAGCAGCAACAGCAGCAGCAGCAATAGCAGCAATAGCAGCAGCAGCAACAGCAGCAGCAACAGCAGCAATAGCAGCAATAGCAGCAGCAGCAACAGCAGCAGCAACAGCAGCAATAGCAGCAATAGCAGCAGCAGCAGCAGCAACAGCAGCAGCAACAGCAGCAATAGCAGCAGCAACAGCAACACCAGCAACAGCAGCAATAGCAGCAGCAACAGCAGCAATAGCATTAGCAACAGCAACACCAGCAACAGCAGTAGTAGCAGCAGCAACAGCAGCAATAGCAGTAGCAACAGCAGTAGTAGCAGCAGCAACAGCAGCAGCAGCAACAGCAGCAACAACAACAGCAATAGCAGCAGCAACAGCAGCAATAGCAGCAATAGCAGCAGCAACAGCAGTAGTAGCAGCAGCAACAGCAGCAATAGCAGCAGCAACAGCAGTAGTAGCAGCAATATGAGCAACAGTAGTAATAGCAGCAGCAACAGCAGCAATAGCAGCAGCAGTAGTAGTAGCAGCAATAGCAGTAGTAGCAGCAGCAGCAACAGCAGCAATATGAGCAACAGCAGCAAAAGCAGTAGTAGCAGCAGCAATAGCAGTAGTAGCAGCAACAGCAGCAGTATGAGCAACAGCAGCAATAGCAGTAGTAGCAGCAGTAGTAGTAGCATCGACAGCAGTAATAGCAATAACAGTCGCAGCATTACAAGCAACAGCAGCATCACAAGCAACAGCAGCAACAGCAGCATCACAAGCAACAGCAGCAATAAGCAGCAGCAACGAAAGCCGGGGCAGCAGCAGCTGCAGCAGTAGCGGCAATAGCAACCGGACGGGAACAACAGCAGCATCAGCAAGGGCATCAGCAGCAAGCGTGAGTATTTGTAAGCGTGAGTATTTGTAAGCGTGAGTATTTGTAAGCGTGAGTATTTGTAAGCGTGAGTATTTGTAAGCGTGAGTATTTGTAAGCGCTCACGGGAGTTGAAGACGAGCGGACCGCAGTATCCGCGCTCTCCTCTCTCTCTGCCCTCGCCTCCCTCCTCATGCTGCTCCTCGCCTCCTCCCGCTTCCCTCCCTCCCTCCCTCTCTTCCCAGTGAGAGTGTGTGTCTGTGTGTGTAGCTGTGTGTGTGTCTGTGTGTGTCTGTGTGTAGCTGTGTGTGTAGCTGTGTGTGTAGCTGTGTGTCTGTGTGTGTGTCTGTGTGTGTAGCTGTGTGTGTGTCTGTGTGTGTAGCTGTGTGTGTGTCTGTGTGTGTAGCTGTGTGTGTGTCTGTGTGTAGCTGTGTGTGTGTGTCTGTGTGTGTCTGTGTGTGTGTCTGTGTGTAGCTGTGTGTGTGTGTCTGTGCGTAGCTGTGTGCGTCTGTGCGTGTGTCTGTGTGTAGCTGTATGTCTGTGTGTGTGTCTGTGTGTGTGTCTGTGTGTGTGTCTGTGTGTGTAGCTGTGTGTGTGTCTGTGTGTAGCTGTGTGTGTGTGTCTGTGCGTAGCTGTGTGCGTCTGTGCGTGTGTCTGTGTGTGTGTCTGTGTGTGTGTCTGTGTGTGTAGCTGTGTGTGTGTCTGTGTGTAGCTGTGTGCGTGTGTCTGTGCATAGCTGTGTGCGTCTGTGTTTAGCTGTGTGTCTGTGTGTCTGTGTGTAGCTGTGTCTATGTGTGTGGCTGTGTGTGTCTGTGTGTGTGTCTGTGTGTAGCTGTGTGTGTGTGTGTCTGTGTGTGTCTGTGTGTGTGTCTGTGTGTAGCTGTGTGTGTCTGTGTGTGGCTGTGTGCGTCTGTGTGTGCGTCTGTGTGATGTCTGTGTGTAGATGTGTGTCTGTGTGTAGCTGTGTGTCTGTGTGTAGCTGTGTGTGTCTGTGTGTGTCTGTGTGTAGCTGTGTGTGTCTGTGTGTGTGTGTCTGTGCGTAGCTGTGTGTGTCTGTGTGCGTCTGTGTGTGGCTGTGTGGGTCTGTGTGTGTGTGGCTGTGTGTGGCTGTGTGCGTCTGTGTGTGTGTCTGTGTGTGTCTGTGTGTGTGGGGAGCGGTGGTGTAGCGGTTAGCGCGCTGCGCTATGAACCTGGCGACCCGGGTTCAATTCCCGCGCACGGCCAACACCGGTGACGATTATCTGAACCGGTCCCGGGCCTCCCCTAGGTCGACTCAGCCTCAAATGAGTACCTGGTGCGGTGTGTAACCATTGCCACTAGGGAGACAAAGGCGGTCGGGCGTGGTGCTGGCCACCCACCCCCTCGTGTACCGTTCCGGCCTTCATAGGTGCTCGCTAACAGCACTTGCCCCTACAGTCTGTAGGCTATATGGGGGATCTTTTGCTTTGTCTGTGTGTAGCTGTGTGTAGCTGTGTGTAGCTGTGTGTAGCTGTGTGTGTGTGTGTGTCTGTGCGTAGCTGTGTGTCTGTGTGCGTCTGTGTGTGTCTGTGTGCGGCTGTGTGTGCTTGTGGGAAGCGATGGCGTAGCGGTCAGCGCTCTGCGCTATAAACCCGGCGACCCGGGTTCGACTCCCGCTCACGGCCACCAACACCCCAGTGACGATTATCTGAGCCGGTCCTGGGCCTCCCCTAAGTCGACTTAGCCTCAAAATGAGTACCTGGTGCGGTGTGTAAAAATCGCCACTGGGGAGACAAAGGCAGTAGGGCTTGGTGCTGGCCACCCACCCCCTCGTGTGCCGTGCCGGTCTTCATAGGTGCTCGCTAACAGCACTTGCCCCAACAGTCTGCTTAGGCTTTACGGGGGATCTTTGTCTCTACACGAGGTGTAGAGATGGAACGGAAACGGATTTCTAAAGAAATCAAACAAACGCAATCGCCAATAACGCTCTGGCATTAAAGGCGACGTTTTTCGGACAATGGCCCATCATCATCATCACACATGCATGTAGAGAGGCCAGAAAGAGCTGATGAGAGTTTGATTTGCATTTTACCACCATGGGACTGTAAAGTGCCTTCTCCAACTGCCCCCGCCCCCTCTCCAACTGCCCCCGCCCCCTCTCCAACTGCCCCCCGCCCCCTCTCCAACTGCCCCCCCCCCGCCGCCTCTCCAACTGCCCCCCACCCCCTCTCCAACTGCCCCCGCCCCCTCTCCAACTGCCCCCGCCCCCTCTCCAACTGCCCCCGCCCCCTCTCCAACTGCCCCCCACCCCCTCTCCAACTGCCCCCCCGCCCCTTCTCCAACTGCCCCCCCCGCCCCCTCTCCAACTGCCCCCCGCCCCATCTCCAACTGCCCCCTCCCCTTCTCCAACTGCCCCCCCGCCCCTTCTCCAACTGCCCCCCGCCCCTTCTACAACTGCCCCCCGCCTCCTCTCCAACTGCCCCCCACCCCCTCTCCAACTGCCCCCGCCCCCTCTCCAACTGCCCCCCACCCCCTCTCCAACTGCCCCCCCGCCCCTTCTCCAACTGCCCCCCCCGCCCCCTCTCCAACTGCCCCCCGCCCCATCTCCAACTGCCCCCCCCCACCCCCTCTCCAACTGCCCCCTCCCCTTCTCCAACTGCCCCTCCGCCCCCTCTCCAACTGCCCCCCGCCCCATCTCCAACTGCCCCCCCCACCCCCTCTCCAACTGCCCCCCGCCCCTTCTACAACTGCCCCCCGCCTCCTCTCCAACTGCCCCCCACCCCCTCTCCAACTGCCCCCCCCCCCATCTCTAACTGCCCCCCGCCCCCTCTCCAACTCACCCCCCCGCCCCCTCTCCAACTGCCCCCCCGCCCCCTCTCCAACTGCCCCCCCCCCGCCCCTTCTCCAATTGACCCCCCCGCCCCCTCTCCAACTGCCCCCCGCCCCCTCTCCATCTGCCCACCCCCCGCCCCTTCTCCAACTGACCCCCGCCCCCTCTCCAACTGCCCCCGCCCCCTCTCCAACTGACCCCCCGCCCCCTCTCCAACTGACCCCCGCCCCCTCTCCAACTGCCCCCCCCCGCCCCTTCTCCAACTGACCCCCCCGCCCCCTCTCCAACTGCCCCCCCCCCGCCCCTTCTCCAACTGACCCCCCCGCCCCCTCTCCAACTGATCACACAGAGATGGGTGACGTGACCCAGCGGCAGCGCGTTCGCCACCGGTTGCTTCAGAGGTTCACGGCTCGAATCCCGCGGCCGCCCTGGTTATTACCGCGGTGGTGTGGTAACCATCGCCGTACTACGCGCCGCCTGTTTCACAGTGGACGTGAAAGATCATCGATGTCATTCGCAAGAGCTGGCCATTGCGTGCCAGCGTCAGGGTTCCACATTTGACCAAATTAAAAACATTTATTAGACCCGCGAATCGCTCGATCGGGATTACACACCGCAGCAGCAGCAGCAGTCCCCTACTGAGAGCAGAATGACGCCCCGCAGGTGTGTCAGCCTCTTGAGTCACCTTGCAACGTCGCTGTCCTAAATACTTGCGCCAATTCACTGCAGGATACAAGGGCTTATTTGTTTGCAAAGAAGTGTGTAGCGTGGTGGTACAACCGCCTGGGGTGTCACTCACCACTCGCTCACGTTAGTCGTGCCGCAAATCCAACTCGGGGCGCCACAATCATCAATATCAAAACGAACTTAATAGTATTGCACAATTCGTGCAAATGATGGAATACAGAGAGCTTTACAGGCCAAAGTAAAAGTGACTGACGCAATATAAACAACAATAATGATACATTTTTTAAAAAATGCCTAACATAATACACTAGATGTATAATAAAAAGCATAATAAACACACAATAATAGCATCCTAATTAAAATCCCTTCTAAAAAGGGTGCGTTTTAAGATTTCGTTGAAAAACATTCACTAATTTTGATGCCCTCAGATCCTCAGGCAGGCCGCCCCAAGGCGAGAATCACACAACCTGAAGGCTGCCTCCCGAACAGCCTTGGTGCTGCCCTTTGGCACAGCCAAGAGACCAGTGCCAGAAGACATAGCGCAGTGCGTTAACCACTGCGCCACCGCTCCTCTTGCCCCCCCCCCCCACCACCATCACTGGCCGTCCTTCGTGAATAGATGTATTTATAAAGAGTGCTCACAAATAGCCACGTGCTCGCTCTCCTGGTCTGCCAATTCAATTCGCTACCGCAGTGACATAAAGTCCCTGCCGTGTCACTCAATGAGACACAGCCATCGGAGACCTCTGTGGTCTCGTTGGTGAAACCCGAAATTAGACCGGAGGGACCGGTGGCTAATTACGGGGTGAGGGAAGGGCGTGGCATTTGTGATAGAGGGGTTCCCAAACTGACCATCGGAGTAACACAATTCTATTTATACTCTTTGGTTCTTTCGGTAAAGTCACGTAGGTAGAAAATAATAATAGATCACGACGTTTCGATCGCCACACAAGCAATCGTCTTCAGGTGGGAGAGAGAAGATTCCTGCAGTCACGAAAGCTTCAAATCAATAAAAAATATATATTTTTTGTACACATCCCATCAGCCACACAGCGACACTACGAAGGGTGGCGGCGAAGTAGGGGAAGCCGTCATCCAACAGTGGATCTTTCATGGCTGAATAGAGTGATGTGCGTTGTGTGTAGACGTGACGTGAAGCGATGGGAGCATTTAACCTGGCAGTGGTTACGAGACAAAGCAGTGTCGACATGGAGCCGGCGACCTCTTGACCTTGACCGAATTTCCCCGCGCTAGACATCGCAGTGATCGGATTGCGCGTGTGGGCCCACCTCCTCCCGCATGTATGTTTGTTGCACTTCTTTCGCACCGTACGTAGCCAACCGTGCGAATACGGAAACCCCTCGCGTGCCGCCGCAACACACGTCGAGTTGCAGCGAAGAAAGTACGAGGCAGATTTTGCGGAAAGTCTGGAGCTCTCGGGACAGGCCTGACCGGTCAGTGCGGGTTATTTCCGACTCAGTTCCGCGTTCTCCGCTTTCTGAGTCGTCCTGAAGCGACAGAGTCCAGCGACGCGTCCGTGTGCATTGCTGCGTTGCTGCTGCTGCTGGTTTGTCGGTGGTGGTGGCGGCGGTGGTGGAGACTTCCAGGATGGCTGAGTCAAGCTTTGCTCGACTGCTGAATTCGGATCATCTGGAAGCGAGGCTGCGAACTCTCGTGTGAGTATCACGGTGTTTACACGCCACACAGTTCGACTCCCTGTGTTGGTGTTGAACGAGGGTGGTGTTTGATGCTGGGAATAATGACGTTGATGGATGGTGATGGGAGAGAATACGAGATAGAGGATAATGGCGAGGATGACAGTAATCGTTGTGGATGTATGTTGGACTTGAACTTCATTCGCACCGTACGTAGCCAACCGTGCCAATGTAGGGCCACAGAGCTCGGGCGATTGTTGGCCACGCCGGCTCTGGCTGCCTTGCCGCTCGACTGCGGCTTCCCGCGCCTCTGAATCTCTCCGTGCTCTGTCTGCGAGAGAGCGAACGAGCACTGCTTGCGGTAGAAATTCAGTAGGCTCACATGACATTGACTTCTCCAAGACAGAGGTTATTTGTAAGCCATCTGGCTACCATGAGAGATTCGTTCAAGAGGCTATCCACATATACAAGCACAGAGACAATTTCAACCGAGAAGATGGATTCTTGCTTTGCAATCATTGGAAAGATTTGATAAAACATTTCAGGTCTTAATTGATTGTTCACGCTTACGGTGGCTTTCAGACAGCATACATCAATTTTTCGTCTCCCCCCTCCTCTTTTCACAACATAGATGGACTCGTCCTTCTAAACAAACTGCAAAATCGCTGCCCGTGGCGCTAACGTGTTTTTTTAAATAAATAAAAACCCGTTTGAAAATAAATAAATAAATGCGAACCACCACTTCTTTCAAATGTTTCTTGCCGTTGGTTTTCACACCTGATGACGACCGTTTGTGTTATGGTCGAAACGTCGTGAGAATTGTTATTGTTTTATATATATTTTATTATTTTATTGTTTCCCTTCAACACGACTTTACCGAAAGAAATAAGAATATGAATTACTGCAGTCACGAAAGCTTCAAATCAAAACGTTAATTAGTATTTACATAACAGTAGACATTAACTAATAGACAAACCCTTGACAATGGTAATTGAAAAATGCATTGCTTCTTAAATAAGCTCATTTTCATTAAACGTAAAGTTATAAATTGATTCTGGCACACTGCATTATGGGTAGCCCTGTATTCTCGAGCCTCAATTATCAATACCTGTCAACCCCTTATCAGTGCCCTACCTTATTACAGCCCAATTCAGAACTTATTGGTCACCCCGTGCCCCTTATAAATCTCAAGGTTCATCCTACAAAGTCCCATCACAAGGGAGAAACACAATCAAATAAACAAAAAAATGCCCTATTGAAACGGCTTTAAGCCGTGAGGACCTGAAAACTGAATTTCCCTCTACAAGCATAGGGGTAAACCGTATGGGTTGACATGTATGATTATCGGATAAAATTGGCTTTCCAAGAAAGTTGAGATAAAAGGGACTTTAAAATGTTTTAATTTCCTAAAACCGTGCAAGCAGGGATCGGGGAATTTATGGGAGAAAGTGTTTTTGTTAATCTGCGTGTCTCTTTAGCCTTTGTTTTCCAAGGTTGCTGATCAATCAGATGTGCTACGTAAACAGATTTGTGTTCTGAGCGATAGAGCAGCCAGGTGAGCCCAGAGCAGACGAGTGGGACAGGTGAAGCGCTCCGCTAATTCGTGAGACCCTCGAGAGAGAGAGAGGAGCGAGAGCGCTTCATTTTCTGAATCCTCCGAATCAAATTCCATTTTTCGCTATCGCCATCGCGTCGAGAGACAAAGGAAAGTCTTTAAATCACATCGTTAGCACGGACGCCGATCCCGTTTAGACGGTTTCTCGACTGATTTTACAACCAGGAGATCCGTGACTGATGCGTGAGCTCACTAGCAGCAGCAGCAGCGAGAGCGACACAAACGTCGACATTGCAGAGAACGAGTACAGAGCAGGGGGGGCCTTCAGGGCATGTTGCACAAGTAACAAACGAGGTATTTGAACGGTCGTAAACGACACACTCGAGTCGAAAACAAAAGTGCGAAATATAATGTCAGGAAGAGGCGACAGAGAGGTGGAATATGACAACATCCTTCCTGAGTTCGCTCCCCTTCAATGTTCAATCCTCTCCCCCACAGTTCCAGCCCCAAATCTAAACCTCGGCCACTCTCAACTCTTTTAAAGCGCCCCAGGCAATGTAAACCGTGACTCCCGGGCCACCGGTAACGCGAACTCTCACAAGAGGCGCGTGTCTCAGCCACCCTTGGTCTATCATCACAACTGTGCACTATTCTGGTTATTTTTATTAGTAATCCGCTGGAGCTAAGCACTTTTAGGCCCAGATTGAAAACGCATTTATTTAAAACTGCGTTTTGTGTTTAGTTTGTTGTCCTCCGCCCCTCCCCCCGATTCGCACGGTGTATACGTTGAAAGGTATGTTGAAGGAAGTTCAACACACATACATTTCATTCCGCAATAAAAGTCAAAACACACTACCGGTAAACAAGGGGAGGGGGAGGGGGGGGGTGGGGGGGGGAGTGCTGCACGGTGTGCGCGACGATTCTCTCATTCGGCGCGTGTAGGCCACGATTCGCCGCATCTCCGATTCTGTGAGATCCTCCGAGCAGTCGGGGGTCCACCTCTAGCTCTGACATTTCTCACGACCACCCCACGCGCGCTATCGCGGACACACGCATGCAAGGACACGCGCGGAAGCGGCACACATTATCGCAAGCACGCACTCGTCATAAGCATTAAGCACGCACCCATCATAAGCCATTAAGTGGCGGTGATGTCACAACGGCATTTGCGCCATGCGAGGTGCACCCTGAGGCCACGTGAACTGTCGAAGGCTCGTTTGCAGGTCACAACCGGCCCCAGGTGCCATGGGCTGACTGAAATGACAGGCAGATGCACCACCTGTGCTCCCCCCACAGCGCAGCATCGCTGCCTTCTATCGACCTGGCGCTACCCTCGCTGTTGTTTGGGGGGCGACTGCCTCCAACTTCCCAGCAGCGTACTTTACAAACCTCCTCCAGAGGGTTATCTTGACACCGCTGGTACCAGTCATTGGCACGGCAATTCAGCTCCACGTCCTTCTGTACCACATCTTTCCATCTCTTCTCCAGCTCGTGCCGCCCCTGTTTAGCCTCCTCTGTCCGGCCATACAAAAAGCTCATTGAGCATACGGTGGATGGGCATTCGAGCTTCATGTCCCAACCAACGCAGCAACCACACCTACCGGAGGAACTCACTGATGGGAATGTGTCTAGATCCTTCAAGAATCTGCGAGCTCCTCACACAATACAGTCTTGAAGAACCCAAGATGGATAGTCGGCAGGGCAGCCTTAATGTTTCAAATCGTGGCAGATGTTCCTTTAAGGGGCTTCACGTGTCGCAAGCATGGAGAAGGGAGGGCTGCCCATCGGGCAGTCCAGACGGCAAATGCCTGGTGGGCCAGTCCATTGTGAGTGCCGGTGGGCTGGTCTTTTTGGGGAAATAGCAAATGTGATCAGGGTAAAAATAATGCAAATATTTTATTACCTCTAATGTGTATGCTTCATTGCTTATTTACGCTCTCAGTTAGCATTGAATCTTATATTTGGCAGCCCCCAAGATTCTTCCTCACTGGCCAATTTGTTGTTTTTTTGCACCAGCTCAAATGGGCAAATGAGGATCGCACAGAAGAAATCACGCTAATAGATCGTCACATCGCAAATCTCGCTACTGTAGTACTACACCGTTTGTAATCGCATAACAAAACATTTAACAAAAAATAAAAATTCCATAGCCCGAATATGGCCCGGTTAGATTACAAATGCCGGACCTTCGGTGACACCCGGAGGGGCTTTCCACAACGAGGAAGGTGCCACAGACGAGTTTACACAACAATAGCCAGATATCTTGATTTGAATATTCCGTGCAATCTCGAATAACAATAAATTCCTCTCTCAACCTAGAATCTTCTTAACACCGCGACATCGGTGTGGACCCTTGTCGGCTTCCCTAAAGCCGATCAGGTTCCTTCCAGCGGTTGCCCCCACGTGCTGATAACCCGGCCGTGTCCCAAATCTTTCTCCAGGCAGTACATTGGCGCTTGGCGCGGTGTGTAAACCCCCGGCGCTGGGCAGCCAAAGGGGCCTGGACGTGGTGATGTCCACCCACCCACCCACTCGTACGCCTTACCGGCCTTCACCAGTCTGTCTAACGAAACTATTTACCGGGTTAAGGCCCACTGAACTATGTATATATTTTTCAGAAGCGACCTGGCCACAAATGATAGCTCAATGAAGTGGCTTATAATGTGGAAATGTATAGCAGCCACATATTCTAAACGCATTTTTTTAAATGTGGAGGGAAAACCCGGTGGACCCGGATAAAAATCCACGTGACCACGGCGAGAACATGGAAACTCCAAATATATAGGGCAGGGTCTTTTTATTTGTCCTTTGTGTATGTATTTGTTTGTGAGGTTTGTTTGTGTGGTGTACGTACCATGATTGTGTGCTGCGTGGGTTGGGTCATATGGCCAACGCATGCCCAGCCACCGCATGCCCAAGCAGCTTCCGTTTAGCTGGATAGAGGGGGCTAAACGGCCGCGACACGGGCTGGAGAAGAGATTGGGTTGATGCGGTACAGAAGTAAGTGGAGCTGAGTGGACTTGCTGATGAAAGGTATCAACCGTGGAGGAGGCATATATATGTGTTTTTTGATGTGCAGGTTTTATCATGGGAAGCTGCCAAGACACAATGCCGAGGCCCTGCTGCTTGCGAATGGGACAACGGGGAGTTTCCTCCTGAGGAGGAGCAAGGAGCCAGGGAAGTATGTGGTGTCAGTCAGGTGCGGAGGGACTCTACACACACACACATCATTATCGGCCATTCACCATTGAGTGGTATTGATATCTGCATGGCGCTTGTCCCAGGCTAGGGGTACTCTTAGTTACGTGACGTGTCGAAGTCTCGCTGGAAGGAGTTCATGGGACATACCCAGGTGTTGTGGGTTAAATTACTGAGATGACTGGTACACCCACATATACAACAGATGGTTGGCAGATGCACCACCTGTACCCGCTGTGTTTTAGCCATCCGGCACGCTGTCCGTCACTGTGAGCATTGCCCCTCCGCCTCCAATTTAATTTTACAAGCCCCCTCCACAGAGGCCGTGCTTGAATCATTGATGTTAGTCCTCCGCAAGTCCACTCAGCTCCCAAGTCCACTTGCATCGTAGTGGCCCATGTTCTCTCTAGGGCATTTGGTTCATTGTTACCTTCCTTTATTCCGCCAAGCCAGAAGCTGCTTGATCATTCGTGGTTGGGCGTGCAGGTAACGTTGCCCGCGAGAGTTCACTGACGGAACGTCAATATATTTTAAGGATCTTCAGAGGAACTGTGATCTCACACAGTTCAGTATGGATATTCATAACAACAGCATGAATAACAATCCACAATCCTAATGAGAATGGTGATAATATTGATAATAATGGTCGTATTGATGTTGAGATTGATGGTGGTGATGATGATGAGTACCATAACGAGGATGATACCAACCATTATTATGATGCTGCCAGTGATGATGACGACGATGATGATGATACACTTGTGATACTGCAGATGATATAGGTGATGCTGACAATGATTATGAAGCTGAGAAGGGAGAAGGATGAGGATGATAAGAATGCCAATGCTGCCGATGATGATACTGGCGATGACAATGTTGTTGTTGTTGTTGCTTCTGCTGATGGTGTTCACATGCAGGACCAGCAGTAACGTCCTCCACTTTGTAGTGGAACTCAATGTCGACGGGGAGGTCACCTTCGGAGAAAAGAAGTTCTCCAACATGGAGAAGTTCATGATTCACCTGCAGGGGCAGCCCATGGTCGGCAGCACCGAAGGTATAACACATGCACCTAGCCTGGCACGAGTACAAAGCCTAATTCTATCAAGATGTCATCGTGGCCCACATCATTCATGGCATCACCGCACGTCAGCGAAACTCTCTGCCCTCGTCAGATCCCGCAGCTGCTGCGTAGTCGAGACACGCAGGGTACCTCCAAGATATGCCCGGAATGTCTCCCACCATGTGCCCTTAGATTCTTCCCCTTGTAACCTAACGACATAGCATCGGCAATATGACCAGCAAATGGTTGTCATACGTGCACACAAGCACCGTGACAACCCTTTGAAGCTACTTTATAACACGAGTTCTAACACCATGACGAGTCCTTACCACCGAAGGGGCCGTCCATAAATGACGTCACGCGATTTTTGAACCCCCCTCCCCTTCGTCACACGGCGTCACAAAGTCAGACCCCCCCCCCCCCTCAAATATGACGTCACAAAGCTCTGCCGCCCCCCCCAAAAAATCTAAAACATGCTTCAAATCGCTATTGTCATTGCACTCTGATGTTGTAAGAGAAAACATTTATTCAAAAGTATATTGAATAGAGTAGAACGTGTTGTCTATATTTATTTAAAGTTGCGCATTTTGATGTGACGTCACATTTCTCAACCCCCCCCCCCCTCGTCACAAATGTCTGACCACCCCCCCCCTCTACGTGCGTGGCGTCATTTATGGACGGCCCCTAAGGTATCAAAAACCCCGGTCGTATCGACTTATTTACACGGCCGATGAGAGTTATTCTTAGCACCGGTCATTTCAAACCGTTATCACGTAATTCATCGTTATTGGCCACGTGGGGAAATTGAAACCCCAAAGTGATGGCACTTTCAGGTGGTATGGACAAGTGAAGTGTCTCGTCTGGGCTCATGGGATGGTTTGGCTATACAGTACAGTATTCTCTTGTGCCGGATGACTTGCGTGTGCGTGCGTGTGGGGAGCTGTAGTGGAGTGGTTAGCGCGATGCGCTATGAACCCGGTGACCCGAGTTCACTTCTCGCTCACGGCCAACGCGTGACGATTATCTAAACCCGTCCTGGGCATTCCCCTAGGTCGACTCAGCCACAAATGAGTACCTGGTGCGATATGTAAACATCGCCACTGGGGAGACAAAGGCACCCGGGCGTGATTGTTGGCCACCCACCCCCTCGTGTGCCGTGCCGGCCTTCACAGGTGCTCGCTAACAGCACTTGCCCCTACAGTGTGTTAAGGTTACACGGCGGGATCTTTGTGTTGTGTAGCAGGCACGGTGGTTTTCTTGTCAACGCCGTACCCAGGCGTCGTGGACGAGCCCAGCATCTACACCCGCCTCAGCGTCCACCACGAGGGAGGGACGTTTCCCTTGAAAATGCCCATGACCCCTGACCGCGTGTACTCGGTGAGATGGTTGGGGGGGGGCACCCAGGGCAACTTCATGCACGGGGTGGGTGGCATGGCCTCGCGTCAGGGGTGGGACCCCTACGGCTCCTCCTCCGCATGCCGCCCTTTGGCTTCCCAAACTCTGCGGTTCTTTGGCTGCCACCCCCCCCCCCCCCTTGTTAGGCAGTCGTTTTTATTGTTGTTGTTGAAAAACAATCCGCACCCCACCCCCGCCCCCGTAAATATTAAATATAATTTAACGTAGAGATAATTGGTTAAATATGGCAGGGAATGGGTCACTGTGGAATGTCTTGGTGACGGCAAAATGCACGACAGTCAAACTGTGTTGTTAAAGATTAACTCAGGGGGCGATATAAACTAAACAGACGCAGTTTGTTCCACCACCCAAATTGTTTATTGAAGTCAGAATGTGTGTTGTCACCCGCTTGTATTCCTGCTTTGGAGAGCGGTAGCGTAGCAGTTAGCGCGCCGCGCTACGAACCTGGCGATTCCCTCTCACGGCCAACACCAGTGACGATTATTATCTGAACCGGTCCTGGGCCTCCCCTAGGCCGACTCAGCCTCAAATGAGTACCTGGTGCGATATGTAAACATCAACACTGGGGAGACAAAGGTGGCTGGGCATGGCGTTGGCCACCCACCCCCTCGTGTGCTGTGGCGGCCTTCATAGGTGCTCGCTGACAGCACATGCCCCAGCAGTCTCTTACAGGCTATACGGGGGATCTTTGTCTTTGTATACCTGCTGCTGTTTGTGAACAAGTAGCTCTGTGCGTGTGATGCGGCTGTCGGACTATTTTTTTCACGTCAAAGATTGAACAAAACCAAAGAAACGGCTCTTCTTCTTCTTTCTTACCTATAAAAGGTTACCGACCGCTGACCTCGTGACAGCGAGTTCGCTGCTTGACGCGGAGGTTCGAAGTCTTCGGAAAAGCAGCGGCCGCCCCTGGCCCACCGCTCTCGTTGAGCGTAGCCACCGTGGCGATAGCCAAACGCCGCCTGTTCTACGGCGGACGTTAAAGATTCCCGTGACGTCGTTCGCAAGAGGAAGCCGGCCATTGTCCGCGCCACGGTCCGATCAGCACGCCCGGCTACGTACGGTGCGAAAGAAGTTCAACCGCAGGAGGCGTTTGACTTCTATATTTGGGGTCGTGGGGCAGGGGTTCGCTTCGTCCCTCACATTATGAATCGCGGGTGCACGCAATTATTTAGCGTTTTAAACAGTAAACGACTGAAAATAAATTAATAACAGTGGAAGATGCAACTCACTGGCTGTGGGTCCTTCGCAGCCAGCGAGTGGCAGCAGTAGCTCTGTGCGGGAGGCCACCATGTGGCAGAGGGTCAGTGCAAGCCGACATCCAAATTCGCATTTTCACTTCTTGTTGCTCCCCGCATCCACCAATTTGTACGGACCACGGCACGGTGGGTGCAGTCAGCGGTGGTCAACTGGACCATCGTGGTCTTCACGGCGTGCTTCCCAGCAGTTGCAATCTACGAGAGGGATGCACGCGTGACAATGTAACGTGGGATTGTTTAAGCCAGGGGTCCGGCAAAACCTGCGGCTCTAAGAGTCGCACGCGAGTCTTCAATGACTGCTTCGTGGCGTCATTTAAAAAAAAAAGAATTAAGAACCGCCGTATCGTATTTTCACCACAGCGCATTACGGCCCTTTATATAGAGGATTTTTAAAATATACCAAATTCGAAAAAAAAATGCTACTCATGTTATTTTGGTTGGGGACCCCCCTGGGTTTTAAGTTAAACACAGGGTCGCTCGGTTGAGGGACGCTGTAGCCGAGGGGGTGATCACTCGGAGGCCTCGGTTAAACAAGCGAAGACCAATGGGTTCAGTGTATAACTCGATCCCTAACCCAGACACCTCTAAACCGAACTGTTTAACCCTTCACCAAAACCAAAAAGGCGGAGGCCCTTAATACTTCCTGTGATTGGATGAGAATTTGGTGTATTATTGGATGAAAACATATTGGTATATCATGTGGCCCCGGGCCGTATAGAATAACGTTCGAGAAGGTAGACATGACAAGTCTACTGCTGGATGAAGGCATCTGGAGGCCTTCATTGGGTAACTGGACGATGACTTGTCTGGGCACCATTTTAAGGCAGCTCAATAAATATCTGGACGTTGGCGAGAGGGGTGGGGGTGGAGGCAGCCTTGGAATGCGGAGTTGGTGGTGGGGTAAAGCGCCACGGTGGAGAGATGTTATCTGCCTCGCCTGATATACAGAAAACCATGGGTTCGATCCCGATCCCGACGCCTGTATATTTGGAGGTCTCTTTCCCCGTGGTCGCGTGGATTTTTCCTCCTCGTCCTCCGGTTCCACCCCCCCCCGACCCCCGCCACATTTAGAAACGTGCGTTTAGATTATTTGGCTGCTATCCATTTACACGTGACAGGCCACTTAGCCGAGCTATTATTTGTGATAGTCAGGTCGCTTATGAACAAGAGCTATATAGCTCAGTGGGCCTTACTTGGTTAAAACTTTTTTTGTGTTTTTGCCTGCGTGTGATAACGATGTAACATTATTGCCCGCCCCCCTTCCCCACCGCACCATTCCCTTTTAAGAAGGGGGGCTTCCCTGACGTCGCCCGTGCGTGTTTGTGTGTATTGTGTGCGGTCACAGCTGGCAGGCAAGTCTGGCTACATGGTGAAACAGGGGGGCCGCGTGAAGGTGAGTCAGCCGCACGGGGGGGGGGGGTACAGGGGGGGAGCTATCGCCCCCCCCCCGTCGTTAGCTCCACCACTTCGCATCGTGGGGCAGAGGGCCACACGGAAAGGCTGTCGCCCTCCTCCCGTTCAATGCATGTGGACAGGAAGATAGGCGGCATGTACGATTACATCCCACGATAAGTTACCATCAGTGCCGGATTTAGGCATAAACTAATTTAAGCTACAGCTTAGGGTCTTATATTATGAAAGAAGGGGGGGGGGGGGGGTTCTAAATACGAAAAGATAATTATACGAAGTTTAAAGTTTCACATAATCTGTTGAAAAATAAAGATAGGGGGAAAAAAAGACACGATAAAAATCGGTTATTTTCACAACCATGTGACAAAATATAGACGCATTCCTCGACCTACAAAGCCTAAGGTTCCACATTGCTGAGGTTTCACAGCATCATCCGACCCCGGTTATAACAACCCCTTTTGTCAATCCACTAACGAACGAATGCATTCCCACGCCTTGTAGATGATGGTTGTTTGACCATACTTCAGACTCGGTGAAACTAAGCCACGCCGCGTCCCGTCACCAGCTCCTCCACAAAGTTAAACCAAACCATCACGTCGGCTCCAGCTGCAGTATAAAACACACTCATGAGAACTGATTTTTGTGTTTAGTTTTGTCCTTCCGACCGCACCTACGATCAACACGGTTTGCTACGAATGCTGTGATAATTGTTCAACAAACAGTACAGACAACACTGCCAACTTATGTTATGCTTCATGGTGACCGATCCAAGCACTTTCAATTCAACTCCTGCTTGGCTTCTTGAAGTTCAGATGTCAACTATGCAGCAGCTGGGGAGGCCCAGCAGAGGACAGCGAGGCGTGGTGGTCACTTCCGAGAGGATCGGCAGTGGACACTGAATGTATATTGGAGGAATCCGATGAGCTATGAAGCTCTTATTTTCACAGTGCACAGAGCCATAAGCTGAACCACAACTTCCCTCCCCCCTACGCTGTGCACAGAGCTGGAAAAAGCGCTGGTTTGTTCTGGAACGCAACGAGCTCAAGTACTACAATAATCGAGAGGTGAGTTCATATCATTGTTGGTGCGTTGTCTGTACGTTCCTACTTTGTACCCTTTACAAATCCACATTTTTTTAAAAGTACGTGAACAAATATGGCATGGAATGGAAGCCCGTCATCTGTAGATGTGCGCGACCTTATGGGTGCGAGCAAAAAAAGACAAACCACTTATGTGGACTACAAAATGCAAAACCCCCGGAAGGCTTACATACTAGTGCGCATTACGAAATCAAACCGTTTCCTCTGCTGGTCGCGAGGACCAACCGCCACCCTAGCAACAGGTACTCTCCTAGCAACGGCTTCCATAGCAACGGCCGGCCCTGCAGGAGAGTCGCAACGGATGACGTCGTTGTAGCTTTGCGTGCAGGAAGTTTGGTGGGAAGTGCTGATGGCATCACTCATTGTAAATGCCACGTGTCCATCACGATAGGTTTGGTTTTTTTAATCGCTGTTGTATCGACAATATAATTCGAACACTTTTTTTTTGGTACGTAATATTTAGCTGGTGCTGGTTTTACTCGATTCATTTCACGCGCGAACACCCCTGTGAAGCGTTCTGTAGGGGGGGGGGGGGGGGGGGGTCAAGACTCGTCACGTGTCACCCGGTGATTATAACGTGCTTTTCTGTATAATCATCTGATAACGTACAGCTAGCTCTCCCATTATCCGTCGATTGCCTGGGTTGCGGACTCGGCGTGGACATCCGTGCCGTTCGTTTGAACCCAAGCGCTGCTGCTCTCTAGTCCACGACTGTGCCCACGTAAAAAAAAATCCAGACGACGCATTGTATCATCACCCCCATTCTACAAAGCAATAAATACACTTCTGAAGCCAAACTTGCATGTTGTGCACGATTTGCGTTTTTGTTTTATACGGGCCATCCATCTCCCCCCCCCAGTTACGCCAGATAATTGAGTAGTCGACTGCACAACGTTGCCACGTGAGGATGTTTAATGTGACCACATGAGGATGTGTTTAATGTGACCACGTGACCCCGCGTGACGGTAGGATACAAAGCCGATCGACACCTTGCTTATATCACGGTGCTCTAAAGTGCAGCAGGACATCAGCCAGAACAAGAGCAACTGCTTCAGGTGAGGGCATCCCCCACATCAATATCTCCCTCGTCTCACCACCAATTCTCAGCCCCCCTTGCTCCTAGAGTCTCGCCCAGATACCCCCCCCCCATCACTTGAAGTATCATTATTACACTTTTTCTCAGGAAAGCCTCATTAATTCACTATTTTAAAGAGGGTACCATCAAGTTTTCCCAACAGGAGGTGAAGATTGCAGTTGTGTGTGTAATGAAATCGAGTAATTTGTGGGTTAGTTTTTTTTTCCAATTCGGCATATTTGAACCATGACGGCCGCAAAACGGCCTTACCACTTGCGAATTACATCACAGCATTTTTTTATATTCACTGTATGCATAACTTATTTTTCAGACAACCGTACCCTTTTGTAAATCCACTTCTGGATGAGGGCCCTTAGCACACTGTGTGGGTCATGGGTGTTTATTTATCCATACCTCACACTGGCCACTGCAGTTTGTGAAGACTTTGGAGCAGCGTCCAATATATTTATATTTTCTGCACGGCCCTCTGCTGCCTACAACGTAGCCCCGCAGCAACCTATAGCACCTGTTTCGTGCACGGTGGTCACTCGTCCGAGAACTATGCAGGCTCCATCCCGCTTAGCTTCCCAGATGCGATGAGGTCAGGCACATTTCCGTGCAATTTGGTTAAATTCGGTAGACTGCTTTCCTGAGGACAATGATGAACGATGTTGAAACGATTGACGAGGTAGGAGGTTGAAGACACGGACGTAAAAATGTATTGTTGTTGCTGCCTATGATGCGGATGTCACCGTTGTTGTACTGGCCCAGCTTGGTATTTCCGGAACGGACTTACTACATGCAGACAACCACATCCGAAGAGCGACAGCAGTGGATGGAGCTCATACAGTTCAAGATGGTGAGACCTCGCTTTCGTTTCTACGACGCAGCGCTAAGTCTGGATCTTCTGCAATTACCGTATTTCCCGCATATAACCCGCGGGATGTTCCACTTTTTACAAACAAGACCTTGCGGGGTATATGGAGGTGCCTGCTATCCCAAAAATAGTGTACATGTGTGACATGTCATAACTCGTATAATTTTTTTCATGGTAGGACTATCCACTATGCAACACTTACCTTTGAGTAAAGCACTGCTGAATAAACCAATCACACAAATTGCACATGTTATCACGTTTTAAATGTTTCGAATTCTTTGTACTGTACAATGAAACGACAATGTTTGAAGTGGGCGCACTTTGTTTACCGGCGACGGGAGAGCTGGGGGGAGAGAGAGGTGAGGGGGGGTTGGGGGGGGAGGCGATGGCGTTACCGTAGTGCCGCTATTGTCTGCGCAGTGCGCAATCTACCAGTGCTAAAACTGTACCGACTCATCTACCAGTAATGTATTACTTATTTATTGGATATTTACTTTTGTTACTTATTTACTGTTTTAAGTTCATGCGTTTCCGGTTAGTTTGGTTTCTTTGTGCACATTATGATTTAAACGTTAACAATTGATAGTGGAATGTATTACAAATGTAAACTTCGTATTAATGATGGAATTAAGCTGCGGTAACGACGTTAAAGATATGAATGCATACGGGGTAATATGGAGGTGCGGGCTATCTGAAATTTGTTTAACACAAAACGCTATTTTGCGGGGTAAATGCGTCTGCGGTTATATGCGTATGCGGGAAAATACGGTATTTCAAGTACAGAAAAGCATTGAACGGTCTCTACTCGCAAACGTTCGACCAAGCTTCTTGAGGAAATTTGCTTTCCTCGACACCAATACCAATCCCCGCTATTCGCTACCAAGTAACGGTGACGTCACCACGGCACCTGTGCCAGGTGCACTTTGAGGCACCTGGCCTGGCATTATTGTCCTTTGCTCAAAAAACTCTATCGAACAGCGACACCGCCGCATGAAACCCAAATGAATTAACCCTCTGGTTACAATGTCTGCAGTTGAGAAAGTCACATCACACCCCTCGCCTGGTTTCAGTTAAGACATCGCACCACACGTGGGCAAACCAGCAACACTGGGCTCATCCGTTCAAATTCAGCTTCTAGCCGCTCACATTTAAACCAGGTTCTAAAGTGAGACAAATTGATAGCCTCAGCCTGGGCACAAATGACATTGTTTGATTGGCATGCAACAAAACGTCTCTTAGAGGTGGCATATAAAATCACTGTTCAAATTGGTGGAGAGACACAGGCTTTGGAAGGTAACTTCGACATAGTTTTGAAACATCACTATATTCCGGGGCAATTGTCGAACACAGGGTGGTGCACTGCTCGCTGTGAGAGCTCCGAATGGTGATGTAACGATGGAACACACGAAAACCATCCATTTTTGAAAACGAATAAGCATTCGGCGACCACGAATGATAAAGAAAAGTTGCGGGCGGACAGCATTATCGCTACCGTGAATCAATTAATTGGCGGTGGTGGTGCTGTTGTGTTCCAGAACCCGGGGAACAAGCACAACTGCCTATGAAGCCCTGCCCACGTGGCCCACAGCTTCACCCTCCCACCAGCTTCCAACTACAGCTTTGCCCTGTCCACAACCGCCCCCCTGTGGAACCTCTTCCTGGCCAGGGTTGACACCAGTGATAAGTGATACCAGAACTGGTCCCAAGCAGCTTTATGTGTGTTCAACAGACTCACACGACCGACAAGGCGTGGGGAGAGTCAAGCTGCAGTGGACTGACAAATGACTGTAAACTATGAATACAATTTAAACAAAACTTATAAGCAAGAGTATAACATTGAGTATATATGTTTGGTGCAAACTATAGCCTTGGTAACCTATACAAAATCATTAAAGATTTCTATTCCAGTATTTAACAATCGTCATATTGACTTAAAGCTTTCGTGACTGAAGGAATTCATATTCTTTGGGTCTTTCGGTAAAGTCACTTAGCTAGAACAATAAAATACAAAAAATAATACAAATATCATGTCATCAGGAGAAAAAAGGGACGATTGCTTGTGTTGTGATCGAAACGTCGTGATAGTTTTATTAATTTGTATTCACTTTTTCATTTTTATTATTTTGTTCTATGTGACTTTTCCAAGAGACCCAAAAGAATAATCGTATTATTAATAAAGCACATAACTGTACTGTAAAAAGCTTTACTCAAGAATGAATACATTTAACATTGTGGAAATTTGGTTTTTAAATAAGAGCAGTTGCAGAGGTCATGTGAAACCATTAAATGTACAAATAAAAAGCGTACTCTTATACTCGTGCAGTTATATGCATGTATCGGGAGCTTAAGAATAAATAATTAATGCATTTCATCCACCTCGATTGGTTTGGTGTTTTTGTAATAACCCGCACAGGTGAGGCAGTTGATGGCAATGAGGGCTTATTCTGCTACTGCAAATGAGGATTCTGGTACTGCTGCTGTTAGTATTGACAATGCTGATGCTGGAGCTAAACAAGCAAAAAATGTTTTTGAAAGTAAAAAAAAACCTCAACAGTAAGCACTCATCCCCCACGTGACTCATCTCACCCATGTGACTCCCATCAAAGCCCCCACTTACGAGAAAAATAATAAAGACAAGTTACTGACTCCTCTCTCTACCAGTCTCCCTCATCCTGCCCGCATCTCCCTCATCCTCCCCATGTCTCCCTCCTCCCCTTATATCCCTCCATCTCGTCTCCCTCCTCCTCGGTGTAGGCTAAGTATGCGTGTACCGTATGTGCGATGCTACTTGTGGGGAGCGGTGGCGTAGCGGTTAGTGCGCTTTGCTACAAACCCGGGTCCTGGGTTCCCGCTCACGGTCGACACCAGTGACAATTATCTGAACTGGTATTGGGCCTCACCTCGGTCAACTTGTGTAAACATCAACACTAGGGAGACGAAGGTAGATGGGCATGGCGTTGGCCACCCACCCTCATGTGTCGTGGCGGCCTTCATAGGTGTTCGCTAACAGCACTTGCTCCAACTGTCCATTACGGCTATACGGGGGGGATCTTTGTCTTTGCGATGCTACTCCTGCTGCTGATGATGTTGCTCATGTTTTTCTTTTCGGATATTGTTGTCGATGATGAAGTTTTACTTTCGCGATTGCGGATTTTTCTGAAGCTGCCGATTCATCAGCAGGATTAGAGTGGAGGAGAGACGGGAAGCTCAGCGGGTACTGAGTTTATTCTCCAGACGAGCATTCATGGAGGCGAGGTTTTGAGCCCCAGAGAGGACAAGGTGAGCGTCTACGAGAAGAGACGAGAGGGAGGAAGGCTGTGGGACACAGAGACAGACACAGATATACGCATTATGATCACTCATAGATAGACATACACAATCACAGAAAAACACACTGAAACACGCACAATGGCACAGAAACATAATCTCAGACAGATGGGATGAGGAGACAGATACTTCAACAGATACAGAAAAACAATCAAAAATATACACACGTGTGTACTGTGTGCATGTATGTGTGCATCCGAGTATCACCGGAGAATTGGTGATTAACTTGACTCTTAATCATGAACATGGATCACCAATGATCAGTATAGATAGCAATACCGAACATTAATTATTAATATTGAATCTCAATAGTTAATGTTTTTTACTCTTAAGAAGTAATATCTGTACTTAACAATTAGGGAGACAAAGGTGGCTGGGCGAGGTGCTGGCCAGCCACCTCAATGTCCCGTGGCAGCCTTCATAGGTGCTTGCTAACAGCACTTGCTCCTACAGTCTGTTAAGGATATATGGTAGGATCTTTGTCCATAACAGGTTTTTTTGGGTTAGATTGGATAAATGTGTCGTTAAACCTACCACCGCCCGACACAGCCAATTAGTAATGTGTCACAAAAAGAGCATGCGTGCATGTGTGTCTGTCTGTGTCTCCGTGTCTGTGTTTTGTCACTCAAATGTCACACTTAACTTCGAATTTTGAAATATTTAGAAGAACGTAATCAACCAGGCTATGCGTTAACTGTGTGTTAACAGACTCTGTGTTTTATTGGATTACATTTCCAAATTTTACTAAGTTTGTTTTCTCAAACTTCCTATTTGTCAATCTTAGTTCTTTCGGTAAAGTCACGTTGAAGGGAAACAACAAAATAATAAAATATATATAAAACAATAAAAATTCTCACGACGTTTCGACCATAACTCAAACGGTCGTCTTCAGGTGTGAAGACAGGTGTGAAGACGACCGTTTGTGTTATGGTCGAAACGTCGTGAGAATTTTTTATTGTTTTATATATATTTTATTATTTTGTCATTTCCCTTCAACGTGACTTTACCGAAAGAACTAAGAATATGAATTACTGCAGTCATGAAAGCTTTAAATCAAAATTCCTATTTCTCTTTAAAAATTTGGCAGGTTTGTTTGTATATAGGTCCATGCTACAGGGTGGATTTACACACAACTCTCTCATTGACATACTAATTTCTCTACCCCCCCCCCTCTCTATTTAAGGCCTCAACACAGAGGCGTTGTTTCTCTGTGTGCCTGTGTCTCTGTGTTGTCTCTCTCTGCTTGTGTGTCTGTGTTTCGTCTCTCTCAAATTTAGCAATCTTTGGAAGAACGTAATCAACCAGGTAGGGTGTTGTGACTGTTGTGTTAGCCGACTCTGTGTTGTATTGCATTATATTTCTAAGTTTATTAGGTTTAAATTTTGATTTAAAGCTTTCGTGACTGCAGTAATTCATATTCTTAGTTTTTTCGGTAAAGTCACGTTGAAGAGAAACAACAAAATATATATAAAACAATAAAAAATTCTCACGACGTTTCGACCATAACTCAAACGGTCATCATCAGGTGTGTCGGTTTGCATAAATTTATTTTGAAAACGGCATATTTATTTATATATATAAATAACGTTTGCGTCACGCGCAACGATGGCAGTTTGCCAGGACTAGTCCATCTATTTTTTGAAAAGAGGAGGGGGGAGACGAAATTTGTTTTTATGTATGCTGTCTGAAAGGCACTGTAAGCGTGAACAATCAATCAAGAACTGAAATGATTTATCAAATCTTTCCAATGATTGCTAAGATAGAATCCATCTTCTCGGTTGAAATTGTCTCTGTGTTTGTATATGTGGATAGCCTCATGAACGAATCTCTCATGGAAGCCAGATGGCTTACAAAGAACCTCCGTCTTGGAAAAGTCAATGGCATGTGAGCCTACTGAATTAGAACAATGATCTGCTACGGCCGAGGTGTTGGTCCTACCGTGTTTAAGGTCTGCTTTATGTTCACGAATGCGGTCCGAGATATGGCGTTTGGTTTCTCCAATGTAACTACTACCACAGAGGCAACTTAGTTTGTAGACACCAGGGTATTGTATGTCCGGAATCACATCTTTTACAGACGGAACCAGATCACGGATTTTATGTAATGTGTTGAAACGGACCTGGATCTTGTGTTTATTCAAGATTTTGGAGATCTTTTTTGTGATCCCAGCAATGTAGGGTAAAGTGATGGTTTTGAAAGGCTCCTCAAGAGGGTTCTTCTTCATGGTTTGAGTGATAGCTTTGCGGATTGTATAGTCGGAGTAACCATTAGCCCTAAGAGCTTGGTGTACGTGCTTGAGTTCACTGCTTATGTGTTCCTGGTCGGATATGCATTGGGCTCTATGATACAGAGTCTTGATGAGAGAATTATTCTGTGATGGATGGTGGTGGGAATCCGGTTTCAGATAAGCATCCGTATGGGTAGCTTTCCTGTAGACAGAGTGGCTCATTGAACCATCAGGTCTCTTTTTAATTAGGACATCCAAAAAAGGTATCTTGCCATCTATTTCGACTTCCATGGTAAATCTGATGGCTGGGTGTATGGAATTGATGTGGTCGAAGAATTGGTCTAGAGCAGGCCGGCCATGTGGCCAGATGACAAAAGTGTCATCCACGTACCTCTTCCATAAGGTTGGGCGCAGAGTGGCAGTCTGGATGGCGTCAGTCTCAAATTTCTCCATGAAAATGTTAGCTATAACTGGAGAAAGGGGGGAGCCCATTGTCATCTGGCCACATGGCCGGCCTGCTCTAGACCAATTCTTCGACCACATCAATTCCATACACCCAGCCATCAGATTTACCATGGAAGTCGAAATAGATGGCAAGATACCTTTTTTGGATGTCCTAATTAAAAAGAGACCTGATGGTTCAATGAGCCACTCTGTCTACAGGAAAGCTACCCATACGGATGCTTATCTGAAACCGGATTCCCACCACCATCCATCACAGAATAATTCTCTCATCAAGACTCTGTATCATAGAGCCCAATGCATATCCGACCAGGAACACATAAGCAGTGAACTCAAGCACGTACACCAAGCTCTTAGGGCTAATGGTTACTCCGACTATACAATCCGCAAAGCTATCACTCAAACCATGAAGAAGAACCCTCTTGAGGAGCCTTTCAAAACCATCACTTTACCCTACATTGCTGGGATCACAAAAAAGATCTCCAAAATCTTGAATAAACACAAGATCCAGGTCCGTTTCAACACATTACATAAAATCCGTGATCTGGTTCCGTCTGTAAAAGATGTGATTCCGGACATACAATACCCTGGTGTCTACAAACTAAGTTGCCTCTGTGGTAGTAGTTACATTGGAGAAACCAAACGCCATATCTCGGACCGCATTCGTGAACATAAAGCAGACCTTAAACACGGTAGGACCAACACCTCGGCCGTAGCAGATCATTGTTCTAATTCAGTAGGCTCACATGCCATTGACTTTTCCAAGACGGAGGTTCTTTGTAAGCCATCTGGCTTCCATGAGAGATTCGTTCATGAGGCTATCCACATATACAAACACAGAGACAATTTCAACCGAGAAGATGGATTCTATCTTAGCAATCATTGGAAAGATTTGATAAATCATTTCAGTTCTTGATTGATTGTTCACGCTTACAGTGCCTTTCAGACAGCATACATAAAAACAAATTTCGTCTCCCCCCTCCTCTTTTCAAAAAATAGATGGACTAGTCCTGGCAAACTGCCATCGTTGCGCGTGACGCAAACGTTATTTATATATATAAATAAATATGCCGTTTTCAAAATAAATTTATGCAAACCGACACACCTGATGATGACTGTTTGAGTTATGGTCGAAACGTCGTGAGAATTTTTTATTGTTTTATATATATTTTGTTATTTTGTTGTTTCTCTTCAACGTGACTTTACCGAAAAAACTAAGAATATTTATTAGGTTTGTTTTCTCATTCATTCTCACCTGATGACGATTGCTTGTGTTGCAATCGAAACGTCGTATTCTATTATTTAATTTATTTTCTTTCTACGTGACTTTACCGAAAGAACCAAAGAGTAATTCCTGCAGTCACGAAAGCTTCAAATCAAGTTAGAACATGCCAATTCGTTACACCGGTGTGTTGGAGAGCAAATCCACAACATTTACAAACGGAGTACGACATTTCGCCAGTAATTACAACTAGCTTCGTCAGGCGACAGCCAGATTTGTGGAGAAGTCCTGTTTCGTTCTCTAAATAGAGGGGTAGATGTGATGACAACACTTGTGTGCTCTTCTTGGCCGAAGTGAGAGGGAGGATTAATGAATGCATATAAATGACTATGGGTATCCATTGGGTTATTTATATGGTAATCAACGCACATTATGCATGCGCCTTATGACAGCCCATTGTTCTTGTAATTCCTATTGATTGTACTAAAATAGCCGGACTAACGGTAATCCCTACTGAAGTATGGTGACCTGTATAGGCATGCATTTAAACTGTTATTTAATTATTCGCTTCCAAGCAGCACTAAGTCGGTTAAAACATTTTTTATTTCTCTCAATTTCGATAGATTATCTAATTAGTATTGGCCAGTAGTAACTAGTTTTGCATAGAACTTCAACATTACCAAAATGAATTGAGTGTCCTTGTTGGCACACGTGTTCTGCCACTGCTGACAGTTGTATTTGGGAGTTTTTAATATTTTTTGGTGTTCTTTTAGTCTCGTGCTGATCATTCGTCCTGTTTGTCCAACATAGCATTTGCCACAAGTGCAATTAATCCGGTACACACCTTCTGTTAATAGCTTCGGTAATACATATTTTGGACCAGATATAAATTTCTGTATTTTATGTATCGTGCTAAATCTGACTCGCATGTTTTGTTTTTCCAAACATCTGGTTAGTTTATCAGTTACTCCCACAATGTACGCTATTTTAAATCACTTGGTCAGTTTCAATGCTCGTGTTATTTGATTTGTTTTGGCATTCAATGCCCTGTTAATTTGTGCATCATTGTAACTGTTGATTTGCAGTGCTTCTTTAGCATGTTTAATTTTACTTCTCAGACTATCACCATCTGGCACTTTCTTAGCCCGATGTATGAGCATCTTGATGAGAGCGGATTTCTGTGTGGGGTGATGGTGTGACTTCATTCAGATTGGTGTCAGTGTGAATTTTCTTTCAGTACACGCTGTGTTAGTTTACCATTTTGACCACGTCTGAGCAGAATCTCCAGAAATGGTAGAGTTTTGTGAGCTTCTACTTATGGTGAACTGGATGGATGGGTTTTGCGAGTTGAGATTATTTAGAGGTTCGTTAAGTGTATCTTCGCCATGTGGCCAGACGACCCACATGTCATCCCACAGATCGAAACCAAGCAGACGGTTTTGGTGTGCTTGAAGCTATTGCTTTTGTTAAAAAATCTTCCATGTACAAATGCACTATCCGATCCTTTTGTTTATAGAAGTTACCTTTCCACAACAAATAGGTGTTCTTTAGACAGTGTTCAGCTAGTCGTGGGATATCTTTGGCTAAGACTGTGTTCGTTACCAGTGTCGAGTAATTGAATGGACTCATTGACCGGAACCCTCGTGAACAGAGGTCACATCAAAACTTACAAGAATATCATTAGGATTAAGCTTAATATATTTAATTTTATTTACGATATGTTCAGAGTTTATAATGAACGAAGAGGTCCTACCGATGTAGGGCTGTATTTGTTGCATTACGTATTGTGCTGATTTGTATGTGGCAGAGTCTATTGTATTAACTATGGGTCTTAATGGGACATCAGGTTTGTGAATCTTTGGTAGCCCATAAAGTCTTGGTGGTTTTGACGCCCTTGGTTTGATCAGGTATTGCTCTTTCTTGGGAATTGATGACTTAATAATACATTTTGGTACTGGCAAAGGAGGTCTAATGATGTAGATGCTCACCCCGAGCCCTCATTACTTTGATAGTGCATTGTCTTTGAGCTGTACGCCTTTTGGCGTCATCTGGTCGAGTAACAATTGGGTCGAGGCTCAAAAGAAAGCCGTCTCTTGGTGTGGACCAATCAGTTTCAAGGACAATGCATATATATAATCATAGTATGTGTTTTTGCATTTTGACTGCAGGTAGTGGTTAATGCAGACATGAATCCTCGTAAAAAAAGGTTTCAGTTTTGTTGCCAGAAAAAAAGGGGAAAAACCCTATTATTAAATTTTGGTACTGGCAAAGGAGGTTTAATGATGATGAAATTAATGACTTGCCAATGATTACCGTTGTTTTACGTTGCAAGGTGTTGTTTGGGTCTCGTTTAATTTTAAAGTCGGTACCATTATCAATTAAATCTTAGATTTTATTATCGTAATCCTCACGGGCCATCAACAGTTGATCGGCCCTTATCAACAACAAGAATTTGGATATCTTTATTGTGTCGGGTGGTGGTGGGTTTAACGACACATTTATATATTTACATGATCTAACCCAAAAAAACTGTATTATGGATGACTAGCAGGAAGTACCCGGCTTTGCCCGGGGGTAAAATATTTTTGAAAACTTGTCTTCTCATAAAAACATAACATACATACACAAATACAAAGCTATTGTGAAAGTCCAGCGTTCCGTTTGTCTGTTCATTTGTCCATCAACAAAATTATAAGAAGCTTGCAGCAGCCCTCATTCAAAAAGTAATAGAAAGTGGGGGGTAAATAGTTGATCTAAAAGGTTTCCAAAAATTGTCAACCCCCCCATCTCATCCAATTTTGATTTTGTAGGCATATATATCTACACACAAGTCAGTAGTATCGAGTGACTCTATAGTAGTACCTACTGACTGTACAGTAGTATCTCTTGACTCTATAGTAGTATCTACGGACTCTTCAGTAGTATTTACTGACTATAATCGTATTTACTAAGGGGCCGTCCATAAATGACGTCACGCGATTTTGGACGATTTTTTACCTCCCCTCCCCCCCCCTTCGTCACACGGCGTCACAAAAAATCAGACCCCCTCCTCAAATATGACGTCACAAAGCTCTGCCCCCCCCCAAAAAAATAAAACATGCTTCAAATCGCTTTAAACTATTGTAATTTTAATGCGTATTTAATGTGCCGCTGCAATCTGATGTTGTAGGAGAAACATTTATTAAAAAGTCTATTAAATTAAATAGAACGTTTTGTCTATATTTATTTAAAGTTGCTGGATGTAATTGCCAACACACCGGTGGGCTGAAGTATCAACTATTTGGCGTTTTGTTTACGTGACAAATCCCTTACTAATTGGCTGTCGGGTAGTGGAGGGTTACGCCACATTTATACTTACGTGATCTAACTTAAAAACCTTTATTATGAATGTTATTTTATAAGTTTAGAGTTGACGGAGGGGAAAAACAAATAGCGCGTTTTCTTCCGGGGGCTTAGTGTGTTGTATCTGTGTACTTTGTTGAAATGTAAACTCAATAGTTTTTCAGTTAAAAGCGTTGCAAGGCGTGCGCAGACAGACAAAAAATTAGGTTTATAGGTAAGATATTGGTCACGAAAGCCTACGTCTTAAACTTGGATCGTTGTGTACCACACTATAAACTCAAGAAGCGGAATTTTATTACCGACCATGGCTAACATATGTACCTGCCATGGGCCTCCGTGAGGTAGGCTCAGTCTTAAATGAGTACAGGTAGTCCCAGAGTTACGATGGTCCGACTTACGATATTTCGATCTTACGATGGCGATACGACAAAATTGCTATCAACAACCTAACATCGTTCAAGTATGCAGACGACGGACAGAATCTTGGTGAGTACGGTACAATATGATACGTTACATTACGTTCAATGCATGTTAAAAGTTTTTATAGCAGATAGGATTGTTTCCTGAAAAAAACTTTCTATTAAATTGCAGTTCATATAGGTAGGCTAAGAATTTACCTTGTTTTTTTACTTTACATTTTACTGTGCAATACGGTATTGTAATTAATAAATACATACAGTAGATAGTTTCTACAGGACGGTACTGTAAATTGCTCTGTTTTGCTCAATTATCACCATTCTTTAAGACTCCTGGGTAGGCTAGGCCATCTTCGACTTACGATATTTTCGACTTACGATGGGGTCGTCGTAACGCATCTCCATCGTAAGTAGGGGACTACCTGTATTGTACGATGTCGCATATCTGACTCATTGGAGACGGAGGTATAGATAGACGTGAGCATCTATAGACAATGACAGTTACACCATCATGGACAAATACCGCACTGGGTGTGGGCGGTTAATTGGTCAGGGTGGATACGCGATGGTCCTATATGCAACATAGTGTATCTTAAATGGTCCAGACTCACCACTTCCTCCTCCTCCTCCTCTTCCCCGTGCATTCTCTGTCCCCGTGTCTCTTTCTCTGTTTTGTAAAAGTTGGAAAGAGACTCTAAAGTTGTGGCGGCGTCAGCCAGGGCCAGGTCATGTATGTCCCCCAACTCCAAAGCCTCCTGCCTGAGCCTACACAGCATCACCATTAAGCAGTGTCATTCTCATCAACAGCATTATCAGTAACATCAACATTTTAGTAATCAGCAACAATATAAGCAGTAGCATCATCAGCAGCTTAGGCAGCAGCTTCTTCATCGGTAGCATCAGCTTCATCATCAGTAAGAGCAATAGCAGCAGTCGCAAGATAAGATCAAGTACACCAATAACAGCAGCAAAGTCATCATCATCATTCTAAAAACACAGCATCTTAATAATTACGATTGGTGATAGGGTTGTTATAACCAATGATCATGATGCTGCTGCTGCTGACGATACATTAGCCGATTCCCACCTCTCTTTCTCCATCCTCATAGCGAGTATCTTCTTGCGAATTCTCACCAAATCCAACTCAACCTGAGATACAAAGAAGCCACATTCGTCACCAGGACGTCAGTTATTCACTACCTATCATCATTAATAGTTAATTACTGATAATTAGTATCAATTTTCATAATTAATATTCAATATTGCTATCTATACTAATTGTTGGTGATCCATGTTCACAATTAAGAGTCCAAGTTAATCACCAACTCTCAGTATTAAGCCTTAAGAATAATCACTCAATGTCACACCTGTCAACCCTATATCAGTATCTATCTTATTACAGACCAATTCAGACCTTACTGGTCACCCCCGTGCCCTTATAAATCTCAACGTTCATCCTACAAAGTCCCATCACAAGGGAGAAACACAAAGAGACATTTTTTGTGCCCGTAATGAAACGTCTTTACGCCATATGGACCTGAAAACACAATTTCCCTGTACAAGAATACGGGTAAACCGTATGGGTCGACATGATGCAATGTTAAACATCAATTAACATATTATCTCTAAAGGAAAATCTTAATAATTGGATCGTGAGGTGGTGGCAACTTAATGAGGTCTTTAATCAGCAGTGGATTGACCACGGCCGATGGTAACGAATTGACATTATGGCAAGTCCTCAATGTTGTGTTCACACGACGCGTTTTTTCAATAACGCGCTTCCTCCATACGGGAACCCCATTCGCACAATGCGGAACGCGCATCTTAATAACGAGGAAGGCGCGCCGTTATACTGCGGGACGCGTGCCGTTATAACGAGGAACGTGCGCCATTATAACACAGGACACGTCGTTATAACATGGGATGCGTGGTTGTAACGAGGAATGTGCATCGTTATAACGCGAGGCACGCGCCGTCATGAGGAATGCGTGCTTTTATAACGTGGCACGTGCAGCCGAGCGGTGTGATAAAATCCGCGGACTGATACAGTAACGCAGCGGCGTACCCTCAGTTATTCGTCCTGCCATCTGTCTGTGCGTGCATTGTATCTCGACAAACTTTATCATTGCGTTATTTATGGGGAAATGGTTTTTCGCTTAACGTGGCACTTTTCAGGAACACGTCCCATCGCACTAAACGAGGACTTTCTGTACTCGTTAATTTCTCTACCCGTCACGTCTCACCCTGCGTGACTTGGAATTCAATTTCTTCCATTCTTCACTTTTAAGAGCCTGCGACACGGAACACAAGCGCAGTGAATTCACCCAAAGCACGGAAAAACCATCAACAAATAATGCGTTACATTAACGAACAATGAATCAATGCATCGACAAACTAATCTATAAAAACTCAACAATAATCTATGAACTAAACGATTTTTATCTTGCCAGGTAGGGCTCACCGAGCTACATAGCTCTTTTTCAGAAGAGAACTGGCCACAAATGATAGCTCAACGAAGGGGCTTGCCATGTGGACATTTATAGCAAACACTCTACACACGTTTCTAAATGGCGGGAAAAATCGCAGGACCCGGAGAAAAATCCACGCGATCCATGTGAAGAGACATGCAAACTCCAAATATACAAGCGTCGGGTTGGGATCGAACCAATGACTTCCTGTCGTCCAATAATCAACGAAGTAATCAATAAGGCTTAACTCCGCTGGCATTGCTGCCGGTCACACATTCATTGCCGAAATAAAATTTTGCTCATTTGTTTAAAAAAAAAAACACGATTTTGCTTCATCATCATCAGGATCAGCCATGGTCGATCCACTGCTCAATGAGGGCCTCCTCACACCGTGCAGGTCGTGGGGGCTGTGTGGTCATACCTCACCACGCTAAGGCTTTGATCGACTAAGGCTGTGATGTTGCCACAGATGTCACGGGGGTCAGGCAAATCGTGAATTTTATTTAACTCTCAAGTGAAATCTTGGAAATAGTATCTCAAAAACGGATAACGCGCTTTATTTATTTCCTTTAAAAACTGCCGTACATCATGCACTGACAATAAAAATCTGTGTTTTTAGCATATGAATCAATTGGCGGTGACCCGTGTCACCATCGTGACCCTGGGGTGCCAAAACCTCCATAACTCCGAAACCAGAAGGCCTATGAAGACGGGAGATGTCACGGAGCCCGATACGCACGCCAAATATGGAAATTAAAAACATGCAAAACACCCATAAAAAAGGGGGGCTGCTGGGGATTTGTGCGTGGCAATGGCTGTTTATTGCTTGTTTTGAAAGTACATCAGGATGCTGGTCTGGTCATTCCCCAGCACGTTCTGCTTCTTACGGGGGCGGTCACCCCCTTGGCTTCGGGAGCGAGACCACTTGGAGGCAATGGCGCACCAGGCGCTCTCTTGGTACAGCCGGCGGTCACGGTCGTGCTGGCGGGATCGACATCGTCGTCATCATCGCTCCCAGCGTCACCCTCCGGCAGTACAGGGTAGTACCAGCGATGCTCCCAGAAAAAAACCTTAAACTATGCCCAGCCCACCAATATTTTGCGGTGACCCGGGCTACCGCCAATCGATTCATATGGACAGAGAATAAATTGCAGCTCAGTCAATAAGATTCACAGCTATGGCCGTAAAACTTGCAAAAACTTTCAATCCCAAAATTATATCCTCATGAATGATTAACAGCGATTCATATAAGTATTAATAATCCATGGTTCAAATGTATTAATAATAGTCTCGCCATCCATAAGGATTGTTAATGATATTGATTTTTATCGATTATTCTAGAAAGTTAAAGATAAATCATCTCACCAAGTTATCAAATTCCACCTGCAAGTTCTTATGAAGCTCTTGAAGGAAAGCAACACACTCTTCAGATGTCACCTCCTCCCTAGAGACGCACGCAGAAATATACAAACATTCCCCGAATAGCGTGAACAGACTGTTGGGGCAAGTGCGTTTAGTGAGCACCTACGGAGGACAGCACAGTACACGGCAGCACCACACCCCAGCAGCCTTTGTCTCCCCAGTGGCGTTGTTTACACACCGCACCAGGTACTCATTTGAGGCCGAGTCGACCTGGGAGAGGCCCAGGACTAGTTCAAATAGTCGTCACTGCTGTTGGTGGCCGTGAGAGGGTATCAAACTCGTGTTGCCGGGTTTGTAGCGAGCGCACGAATCGTTGCGCCACTGCTCCCATGAAATATATACAAAAACACACAGCCATATATACCACCATATCTGTGTGTGCGCATATCTTTGTGTGTGTGTGTCTCTTGAGTGTCTGAGTGTCACTAACATGTAGGTCTCAATTGACGCTGTATATGTGGAGTAGTGTGTAGCGGTGGTGGTTAGTGTGCTGTGCTTCAAACCCGGCAACCATAGTTCGATTCCCGTGCACAGCTCACACCAGTGATGATTATAATGATCTGAACCAGTCCAAGGCTACCCCTAGGTCTACTCAGCCTCAAATTAGTACCTGGTGCGATGTGACAAAGGCGGTCGAGCGTGGTGCTGGTCACCCACACCCTCATGTGCCATGCTAGTTTTCATACATGCCTAACAGCACTTGCTCCAACAGTCTGTGAAGGCTATTCAGGGGATGGTATTCATATGTGTGGGTGTCAGAGTATTTCATTAATGTGGAGGACTTCGTGATGCTATATATGTAGGTGAATGCTTGTGTGTGCCATGCTGGCCTTAATAGGTGCTCGCCAACAGCACTTGCCCCAAAGGTCTATGGAAGGCCATACAGGAGATCTTTGTCTATGTTTGTCTGTGTAGAGGAGTGTTGATGGATGAGTGTCTGTGTGAGTTTGGGTGTCTATGGGAGTTTCACTGACATGTAGGACTCAAGGACGTTGTGGATGTAGGTGAGGATGACATCAAGCGCGGTGAGTTGGCGAACTCCTCTCTTTCGTTCTCCTACACACACTCGCACAGTGCGCACTAACACATAGATACACGTTAATAAACACACTCAACAACAACAGCAGCCATTCGCCACTAAGCTGTGATGGTGTTACCACGGCACTTGTGCCAGACGCACTCCGAGGCTCGTTGGCAGGTCACGGGTCAGATTCAGGTTCCATGAGTTGACAGAGATGACCGGTAGGTGCACCATCTGCTCCTTCTCCCGCACCTCTGATTAATATGGGAGGCTACATATGGTGCGAAAGAAGTTCAACATACATACGTGCCTCCTACTCTGCCAACTTTATGTGTTTTAGCCACCCGGCGCTCCGCTCATTGTTGCGATCAAAACACTCGCTCACACATTCACACACTCGCCATCACTTGCACTTACGTTTTATCATCGAAGCACTCCCTTCACTGCTGGGGTGGTCCCTAGTTCTCCTCCGTGGACGCAGTTTCTCCAAAGTTTTGGGCTGTTGCCGTTGCACCGCAAAAGAGCGTCGTGCCGGGCCGCTGTGCAGGGACTGGGTGCCCTGTTAAGAGATTGAGAGTTTTCAACTCGGTGCACCGTATCACCGTAAAAGGCCAAATACCCTCTAAAGGGACTCTTTATAGGCCCTTCTGTCAGCAGTGGCATGAGAAAGCAATTTGAAGACTGGACCTTGACCCTTCATTCACACCAACCTTTATCCACCACATACCAATAGAGTAAAACAATCAGGACGACCAGTAAGATGTGTGACCTGTAACATATGGAGCAAAAGGACAATGAAAAAGGGACCAAGTGTAAAAATTTGAATGGTCCAAATTGTTACTGCCAAAACAGTTCCCAGCAAATTTTATTTCCATCCATTCGTGTTACCATGCTGGAATTTGCAAGCCAAGAGGTCGCCTGTTCGATCTTCTGGCAGGCTTATAAGCTCATCGGATTCCTCCAGTGTAAATATTCTGATTCTGAAAACAATGACACGCGACGCCATTGGGAAAGGGGAAAAAGTGACCTGTGACATCATCGCCTTGGCTGAAGCGGCTTATTAGATTGCCGTTTCTTTTTTAAGTCGACAAGTTTCGGGGCAACCCTTCGTTCAATTTAGCCGGATCATCTTAACGAGAGTTATCATGCCTCACCATGTTATATCCAGACATAGTTAATGCACAAATGTTATCAACCTTAAGTTTTGAAGCGTGAATGATATATAACCAAACAAGGTGAGGTGTGAGAAAGTTTGAACATTTCAGCATTTATAACAATAAAACTAAATTGTTTTTTTGTTAAATCGAGAATTTGAGAATGTTGACAATTTATGTAAATAAGATGCTAATATTACGTTCAGGGTAATATAACGAGATTGACATTAAAAATGTGACAATATAAACGAGACAAGACAGTGTATGTTGAACTTCTTTCTCACCGTAGCCAACGGTGTTAATCGGAGGTGCGGGAATACAAACGGAATGGGAAAAAAAGTGACTGGATAAAAATGAAAGGATAATTTAGGCAGAACAAACAACAAACAAGATGGGACAGAAAAAACGAGACTGCCAATATGACAGACACGATGAATGAGACAGCCAGCAATAGACGTATAATTTCTCATCTCACCGATTTGTGTCCATAGTTGGCAGGTGTCTGCGAGGTCGGTCCAAGTTTTTGTGAAACTCGTTTTTTCAAAATCTTTCCAATGGAATAATCAACTTCTCCCACTTCCTGTTCTACTTCCTCTTCTTCCAAGATTCTGGCTTTTTTCGAAGAATGTCCATGTGGTATCAAAGTTCCAACACCTTCCATTCCTTCCGCCTCCTCCTGAATCTCACACTCCCCAGATTGTTCCAGACTTGCGCTTTCAAGGTCCGGCATTCTTTCCTGCGCATTTTCAAGGTCACCTTCATCACTGTCACGATCACTTTCACCAACATCTTCATCATTATCCGGAGGAGTTGGCTGTACAGTTTTTGACTCTGAACCTCGGCTCTCTGAAGGATTTTCCCCCATAGCTTCACCATCTTGATTTGTGGTTCCAACGGGGCTGTTTTCAGAATTATTTAGGTTTGGACTTGCTAATTCTGCGGTTGGTACTTTCCGAGCACTGCTAGTGGTAGCATCATCTTCTGGAAGAATCTGTGGGGTTCTCTGCAATGATTTCTGTTGAAAGAACAGAGGAAATCAACTATCAAGATTGCAATCCCTATTTTCAAGATCTTCCATGGACTGGCTCCTGCCTATGCTTGTCCCCTGATATTACTTTAACTCCATCTCCATGCACTCTCCTACCTTCCCCCTCTCACCTCACTACACGCCTCTCCACGTGCTCTCTGACCTCACCCTCAACACGAACCCCCAGGGACACAAAGAAACAACCAGAACCAGGGCTCAAAGTCAGGATCTCAGTATCTCCAACATAGACATTATGAAACCGACAGTGATTATGAACCCCCAGAGATACAGAGACATGCATGATTCGAATTCAGGATCTCAGCAGTGCCAGCTAAGCCTCTGACATGGCCGTTAAAAAACCTCTTAAGAGAGAAACAGACACCCAGACCCAGGGCTCGAACTCAGGTTTCACAATGTTGTTGATCTAACCTTGTATTCTGGATGACTTGTGTTAGTCGTTGACTTTGCAGAGTTGGAGATTTCTAAGATCAGAGAACATACGTTACAAACATCATTAGCTCCATCAAGCAGTGGATAGATGGTGTTAATAAAAGCAAGGAAAGGTGCATATGGATAGAAATACACCAAGATAGAAAGAGGAATACATGATAGAGATATAGATCAAATGTATGTATGTGCAGGCGACCCCCACACCTACAATCTAATTGGTTCCTGGACAACATTCGCAATTGGAGCCGTCGTAAGTCGAACCCTTATTACCCATAGGTGCAATGTTACACATTGGGGATCCGTTCCTGGAAACCCATTTACATACCATAAAAATACCAAAATTGACCGCAAAAATAAATAACCCTAACACACATTTATTGTAACTTAACATAACAAACATATTTAAGTAAAAACACACTTTAAAATCTTTAAATACTTTTCTGAATGTGCATCACATTTCCTCTTTTCTGACATAGTGAGTCGAATTTTTTTTTTAAATTTGAAGAAAATTTCCTAAAAAAGTGAAGAGCGTTGCACAAGAGATGCGTTCGCTCGAGGCACAGCTGCAGACTGTAAGGCTATACTGTTCATACGCATACGGCGGAAACGCAAAACAGCGCCAGCAGGCGGCACGTGTGCGCATATCATGCGCAGATTCGTCGCCAATCGACTCGGCGTTGGGGGTCATAGATGAGTTTTAGTCGGCGTGGGGGTTTTATTTACGAGAAGGTCGTAAAAACCGGGGGGTTGCAAGTCGAGCCGTCGTAAAACAGGGGTTTTACCTGTATGTAGAACTTCTTTCGAACCGTGTGTAGCCAATCGTTTTAATCGGATGTACGGGGATAGTCTTCCCCGACCAGGAATCGAACTCCGGTCGTGGCGGTCAGAGTGCTGCATCATAACTACTAGACCATTAGAGAAGGGAAATATGTGCAGGTTAAATGTATGAATGTTGCACGTCTTTTGCACCAGGCCAATGGTATATCGCTACATCCTATGCTCTTTCAAGATTGAGCCACATAGAGGTGATTAAATGTCGAGTGAGTTCACAAACATCCACACATACAACAAAGATCCCCGCCCACCTCATATAGCCTCAACAAACTATAGGAGCAAGTACTGTTCACGAGTAGCACCTATGAAGGTCGGCACAGTACATGAGGGGGTGGGTGCACAGCACTACGCCCTTTGTCTTCTTCATGGCGATTTTTACAGAATGCACCAGGTGCTCATTTGAGGCTGAGTCGAGTCGATCTAGGAGAGACCCAGGATCGGTTCAGATAATCTTCACTGGTGTTGGCCGTGAGTGGGAATCGAACTTCGGTCGCTGGGTTCGTAGTGCAAACGTGTTAACCCGCTACCCCACTGAACCTTATCCACACATGCACACACATACTTGGACGTACTGCACAGCTAAACAAATGTACCTTCTTCTTCAGAGTAGTCATGTGTGCTGGCCAGCATCAGAGTCATCGAGCCATTCTCATCGTTGGTGGACACAGAGGGCTGGGCATGGAGAAGAAGAGACCCAAAGACTCACGTAGACACTCAAGAGACCCACAGACTTACACAGACACCCAAAGTGAAACAGAGACTCATAGTCTTCCATTAATACCCACTCACGCAAAGTCTCATATACAAGTATGTGAGTTTCTGTGCAAGTCTGTGGGTATCTATGCAAGTCAATGGATATTCATGCCTGCGAGTCAGACATAGAACCACGGCTTAAACAGTTTCTCAGTGTATCTGACATGGCCATTATGAATCAGAAATTGGCATTATTAATTTAAGATGATGACCATTATGAACCTCTTACCTGCTTCTGTAAATGAGCACTTTGTCTTGTCGAAGACTTTTCCACAGCATCAGTGTCTGTAACGTCAACAGTTACATAGAGACCCCTAGACCAGACATGGACAAAGTACGGCCCCCGGGCCGTATACGGCCCGTTGGGCTTTTTAATCCGGCCCGCCGAACTTGTCCAAATATTATTAAATTAAATTTTACCTTTCTCATGTAATGCCCCCATTAGATGGCGCACTTTGACCGGGAGTTACGACATGTTTTTGTATTGTTCATGTTCGTGCAATTTGTTAAATTGCCTTGCAAATACATGCTTTGCTACCTGTTAAAGGCCAAATCCTTTCATGTAATGATTTTTACATGTCATTGATATTAGTTCGCACAAACACTCCATCCATATGTTCCTGGCCCGGCCCCTCTGTCAAATTTTAGAACCCATTGTGGCCCGCGAGTCAAAAAATTTGCCCACCCCTGCCCTAAACTCGCATACAGGCCAGGTTTGGTACCAGCGTTAATAGATGCTCACTAACGTTACACCAGTGTTTGAGCTACACGAGGGCTCTTGGCCTTTCTACATGTCTGTGGGGAGGGGGGGAGGTGGTAATGTAGTGGTTAGTGCCCTGCACTACGAACCCAGCGACCCGAGTTTGATCATAGCTAATATCAGTGGAGTATCCAGGGCTGTGTGTAAACATCACCACTGGGGACCCAAAGATAGTCGGGCGTGGTTCTTGCCACAACACTCCCCCGTGTGCCGGTCTTAATAGGTATCCCCTAACAGCACTTGCCCCAACATTCTGTCGAGGCTATATGGGGGATCTTTGTCTACAGTATGTGCGTATATGTGTATCTCTCACCTGGAGGTTCCTCCTCCACCTGTGGTTGTTCTTGCACAGCAAAATCAAATTTTCGTTTTGTGGGCTCTCTCGTGCTGTTCACACAACGCACAGACAGTTGTCAAGTTGATTTTTGTTCAACCAGGTGAGAACTCAAGAGACCAGGGCGGTCTCATTTGTAAGGGTGAGGAGCTGGGTCACCAACATGCCAAAAGCAATGACGTAAAATTACGAAGTAATGTTCCACAATACTATAAGCTGAATCGATGCATGTATGATTGCTTGTGTTGCAGTCGAAACGTCGTGAGAATTTTATTGTTTTATATTTTTATTATTTTATTGTTTCCCTTCTACGTGACTTTACCGAAAGAACCAAGAATATGAATCCCTGCAGTCACGAAGGCTTTAAATAAAAAAAATACTATGCATGTATGTTGAACTTCTTTCGCACCGTGCGTAGCCAGCGGTGCTAATCGGAGGTGCGAGAAAATATATACAGTATATAGTGCCTTACTTATTACAGACCTATCCAGACCTTATTGGACACCCCGTGCCTTTATAAATCTCAACCTTCATCCTACAAAGTCCCATCATGAGGGATGAAACACAAACAAAGACGCAAACATATGATTTGTTTGCCCGAATTTAAACGGCTGGAACCAACAACAAAAAAAACACAATCAAATAAAATAAACAAATCCTCCGTCCACAGAAGCCGATCTTGACACGGCTGGCCGTAGCCGGTCATGTGCGAGTCCACTCGGCTCCACGTCCTTCCGCACCAGCTCCATCTCGTCTCCAGCCCGTGCTGCGCCGGGTTAAGCCCCCCACCACCACAGCCCCCCACCACCACAGCCCCCCACCACCACAGCCCACCACCCCCCTCCACCACCCCCCTCCACCACAGCCCTCCACCACCCCCCTCCACCACAGCCCTCCACCACCCCCCTCCACCACAGCCCTCCACCACAGCCCTCCACCACCCCCCTCCACCACAGCCCTCCACCACCCCCCTCCACCACAGCCCTCCACCACCCCCCTCCACCACCCCCCCCTCCACCACAGCCCCTCACGACCCCCCCCCACCACCCCCCTCCACCACCCCCCTCCACCACCCCCCCCTCCACCACAGCCCCTCACGACCCCCCTCCACCACCCCCCTCCACCACAGCCCTCCACCACCCTCCTCCACCACCCTCCTCCACCACCCCCCCTCCACCACCCCCCCGCCACCACCCCCCCTCCACGAACCCTCAACGCGGCTCCGCGTTCGCCAGGCGTGGAGGAAGCGAGCGCGTGGCCGGAGAAGAGGAACGCTGCTTCCGTTCTGGGTAGCCATAGGCCAAGGTACTGCGGCTTCCATGGAAGATCACTACCACCCGTCACCGTCGCCCAAAAGTTAATTCGCCGCGGACGGCACGGACCTGTCCTTCCGCCCGCGCCCTGCTCACCGCAACTCACCTCAGAGGGCGCGTTGCGAGCCGCCTCAGCGGCTTCAGAGGCTCCATCGCAACGGGGAGAAGGCGACGTTGGGAGCCTCCGCCTCTCCTCTCGCGTCTCCTCTCGCGCTTCTCCCGCCAAAAAATTAAGCTCCTTCCCCACCCACCACGTGACGGCACCGGAATCGATTCCCAGGAAACCGTGATGAGTTTGCCGGGGGTTCGATTCCTCCGCTTGGATCGATTTGTAAATACATTTTGATTTAAAGCTTTCGTGACTGCAGTAATTCATATTCTTAGTTCTTTCTTTTATTATTTTGTTGTTTCCCTTCAACGTGACTTTACCGAAAGAACTAAGAATACGATTTGTAAATAGTTTGGATTTTTCCGTTGCAGTACCGTGCCCCTTCGAATGGACGTTGGATTTCTTAAAATTGCTTTTAAACGTCAAGAATCCAGAATTATTATTTATCCGGGAGAAATCCGTGGCGTCCGAGCAGAATCCGTTATTAAAGGACCGGGTTTCGATTTATCAACGTGTGGGTTTTTATTCACGAGGAAATAAAATCGATTCATGAAGTTCGGCTCGTATTGACTAGCTTTTGATTTCACGTTGTCCTATCAAGGAATGTGAAATATATTCAACGGAGATTTCTTGTTAAAACGCCTTAAACGTGAGCGGGGATTTCAGACGTCACGTACACGCCTTGGGACTATGATGTCATCACGCAACATTATTCGATACGTGTTACGTCACCGCAGGGGAGGGGGAATGTTAGCCATTAGAAACTACTGGACATCTGTGGGGTGAAAAAAGCCTTGTAGCTCATCGGATTCCTCCAGTTTACAGTAAATAAATAGGCTGATAAATGACGAATACCGCTAAGGGCGGGATGACGTCATCGCGCAATGGGATTCCGATTTGCGTGACGTCACGCGCGTCCCCAGCGAGAACTCGTTGTTTAGTGACGTCGCACGCCAACATGAATTAGTCGATTTTATTTAAACTAAGAAAGGAATCGATTCTCTCCCAACAGCTGCACCCCCTAACGTTTCCATTTTATTCAAAAATCAGCTCAGTAGGAATCGATTCCAAGCTCTTCGAAGCGATTCCAGCGCTGGTGCTCTTCCCTCGGGAATCGACAGTTGGTGATTACGAATCGATTCCTTTCGTGTTAGAAGTCAACTCAGCCGGACAAGGCCACCAGAAGGTTTGTGCCTTCTGCCGATTAGTTACCGCGGCTGATAATTTTCTGTCCTTGCCGATGATGTATATCATCATTATCATCGTCGTTATTATTGTTACCATCACCAACCACAGTCCACCCGCCTTGAGGCCGCCGCTCCGTGTGATGTTTCCCGACCACCAAGACCAGTTTTATTATTAACAGCGACTTCTTGAGCCCCTTGCTGATGCTTCGGATGTTGCTGATTGAGCGTTGTCTGTTGATGATTACTGTAGGACTGGTGAAGACTGCTAGACTCCCCGTGTAGTGATGATGCCGACGATGATGTTTACTGTAGGCCGAGTTTGAGAATATTGCTCCTGATGATGATGATGCTGCCGCTATTGATGTTACTATTTGAGGATGAGTAAGACTGCGATGCTGCTTCTGATTATAGTCATACAGAGTACGCAAATTACAATCACAAATATGGCTGTCACCTGGTGATGCCGGTTGTAATTACTGGCGAAACGTCGTACTCCACTTGTAAATGTTGTGGGTTTACTCTCCAACACACCGGTGTGCTGTACTAGTAACGAATTTGCACATTCTGTTTACGTGCCAACCCTTGTTAATTAGCTGTGTCGGGTGGTGGCGGGTTTAACGACACATGCGACCCAACCCAAAAACACCTCTGATGGATAATGTCTGGTCGCGAAAGCCCTCCTACGTGTTAAACTACGATTGTGTTACTGCTTCTAAAACAATGGTAATGACGATGCTGATATTTATTTCAGGATGAACGAGGAGGTGGAATCTGTGAGGCTCCGTGCTGAGCGCAGGAGAAATCGACTCCTGCAGAACCCAGAGGAGAGAATGAGGAAAATCCTTGGGCATGGAGACAAGAAGGCGAGAGACACTGGGAGACCGCAGGGTGAGATACACGGGGAGAGAGATGAGGGGTGAGAGATATACACAGGGAAATTGAATGAAATGACTGAGACATACACGGAGAGAGACGGAGACACGGAGAGACAGATCATACATGGTAAGAGAGAGAGACACGAAGAGAGAGTATGGGGGGGGGGGAGATATACACAGTTGAGTGTCACTGACTTTCTACGTCTGTGTCGATATCTGTCTTTCTCTCTGCATCTGTCTCTTTATCTCTCTTTGTCTCTCTGTTTCTGTCTCTCCATTTCTGTCTGCGTCTCTCTCCCTTTATCTCTGTCACTGTGTGTTTCTCTCTCCGTGTGCGTCTATGCGGCTCCGTCTCTCTTCTTCCCCCAGACCCTGAGAAGGAGGGGGAGGAGGGGATCAAGGGGGACGTGTCTCCACCACAGACTCAGCCAAAGATGCAGACGAAGGAGCAGAATGAGGAGAAGGGGGGGTCCCCCACCCACCCCGCCCATGCCACTGAGCATAGCCCCACCCCTCGACTCAGACTTCCACGTACGCGTGGGCCAAGCAGGGCCGAACTTGGCGAGAGGTCTCTAAGCGGTGGGCAAACCCCTCCGGTGAGTACACGCACCGTGGTTGCACCCGATTCAAGAGCCGAATGGCTCACAGGGCTATACCAATTAAATGAAACTGAAACATGCATATACACATGTACGGTATAAAATACGTGCCTGGGCGCATGCACAAATACATATTGATACGTACGAACGCACACAAAGGTGGTACTTGGCTCTAGGGCTCTCTCAAGCGGAGGCCCTTCTGACAGCAGTGGTATGAGCAAGCCATTGCAGGGCTGCACCTTCACCTCATCCCCCCGCCCCCTTTCCTTTGTCTCTCCTGCACAGAGCGGCCTCGAGAATTACTTTGCTCAGCTCGACCAAGTCCTGAGGGCGGAGGGATATGGTGGTGGTGGTGGTGGTGGAACAGAGGAGGGATTTTTCCGGCGTCGTAAAGAGGTTGGAGGTGGCGTGGAGGAGGAGGACGAGGAAGACGAGGGGGAGGTTTTCCGTCTGCTACGTTTGCTCTGCAGTGCGATGCTGGCCCTATTCGTACGGATTTTCGTCGTCCAGTACCTGGTGAGTGAGGCGTGTCTCCCCGTTTGACTCCTCGTCCAGGATTGAAATACAAATTTAGTTACGACGTTGGAGTGATATGCAGGTACTAAGTGGATTGTTGCATTGCAAGATCCTGGGAGTTGGCGACAGCTTGGGAAGGGGGAGGACTTAATTCAGCAATGGATAAATCATGGCCAATGATGATGATTGTGTGTATCTGTGTGCTGCAGTCCATATTCGCTCCGTTCCTGACTCTACAAGTCGCTCTGATGGGCATTGGAAAATTCTTCCCACAGGTACAAACATTTTCACACCAATGGTATCTTACACAAATGTAGAGGACTAGTTGCGGACATCTCGTCTCCGGGGGCGGTGACGTCACAGGAAGTGACATCACGGGAAGTGACGTTATACGCGCCTGGGGGCGGGATGATGTCATGTCCCGCAAGGGTACTTAAGGGAGAGCCCGTGACGTAAGCGGAGTCGTAACTGGAGTCTAGGGTCGGAAGAGAGTGGGACGGGGAGCCAGGGACAAGAGGGTAGGAATAGGGGATAGCAGTGCCAGGGCTGGAGGTGGCTGTGCTCCTCGGTCGGCCGTGTTGGCTGAACCCACGGCCGGCGAAGAGGGCGCAGCACAGAGCAGCCGGCTGTGACGGGAGTTAGTGGGACCTAGCCCGGGACCCCTAACCCCTGGGAAGTTGTTCACCCTTTGTGTTATCGGTTGTAACGATAATAAACTTACAGCGAAAGCCCTCTCTACACAGAGAAAGACACAGGGAGAGATGCACAATTTGATAGAGATATGGGGAGACAGACAGACACAGGTAGAGAGGAATAGAGAGGTGGGGGGGAGGGGGAGAGAGGCACAGCGAGAGAAAGAAGCAGAATATTTATTTATACTGGAGGAATCCGATAAGCTATAAAGCTCTTTCACGGATGTCCAGTAGGGCGGGTCAGAAAGTTACAACATTAAACAGTACAAACACACGACAGGAGTGCAATGTATAGGAAAGGTAAGCAAATCACCAAAAAAATTGCTTTTTATTTCACCAAGTAAAGCCCACTGAGCTACAGAGAGACCTACATATAGAGAGACACAAAGGGAGAGGTATAGGGACACACAGAAATGGAGAGAGACAACCAATGAGGACAAAATTAGTTGTAAACGTACGGAGTTCAGATAAAGGATACCCCTCCCCGTGTCTCCCTTCTCTTCCTCATGTCTCCCATCTCCCCGTGTCTCCCACACTCTCCCTTGTGTGTCCGTCCTCTCCTTCCCATATATCTCTCATCTCCATGCCTCCCTTCCGTCTTTCCCTCCACTCAGTACGAGCGGAGGGTTCCCAGATGGATGCCCACGGAGCTCACTCGCATCCTCACGGGGAACTCGAGGCAGCGAAGTGTATCCACGGGAGACTGCCCGACCAGCCCCTCCGCCACCACCCCCTCCGCCACCGCATTCCCCCCGTCGGCCGCCACCGCCCTGCGGAACCTCTGGAGCCCGTCGGCTATCGGCATCGCCGGCCAGGGCAGCTCGCTCTCGGCCCTGCTCCCTCGGCTCTTGCGCTTCTACGCGCGTCTCACGGACGCCTGCGCCGACCTTGCCGTCTATTTCTTCACAATCCTGGTTTGCCACGAGGGCATGCGGGCGCTCGGCGCGGAGATGGAGCAGGAAGAGTAGGGGTAAGGAGGGGCAGGGGTGGAGGAAAAGGAGGGTGTGAGGGAACAGGATGAGATGAAACAACGGCACGAGAGGGAGGTGGAGGGAGTTCGAGTCCATTACAACTAGGTCTGCCACAGTATTCCTCACGATGTCAGATTTCGCGATATGATTCTCACGATATCTGTTTTCCATTAGTTTGTGGTATTTATTATTGTGTTGTTTTGTGCTTTGCTGTCATTTCAGTCAAAGTTCTTCAACTGCAGTGCACACAACATCAGCCTGCCATGAGTCTTTCTATTCATTACAATCTGCAGTGCACATGCTGTCAGCTACACAATAAATAAGCAATTACAATAACTTCTAAACCTATGACATCGGTTACTCCGGAAAACTTTTTGTAAAGCACTAATTTAATTCGCGAGAGCTATTTATTTAGAACGTGGTTAATTGTGCTTTTCATTTTGTATATATTTTGTCAGGAAAGTAAAATTTTGATTTAGAATATGTTGGCCAAAGTAACCACGATGTCACGATACTTTGCATAGTGGGCGATACGATTCTCGTGGTCCTTGTATCATACGCCATCATAGTATCGCCACACCACAGAAACCCTCGTCAGAAGTAGAGAATGATAGTAGATTAGGAGGGAATGAGAAGATTACATTCGGAGAGAAGTGGAAGACTAAAAGGAGAGAATGAGAAGGCATATACTAGAGAATGAATATATTAGGAGGGAATGAGTAGATTAAAGGAGGAAATTAGGGAAGCGTTTATTAGAAGTACGGAAGTAGGGAGGGGGTGATACCTTTTTCCTTTGAGACTAAGGTAAGTTTTACTACAGCTATCCGTCTTGCATGCGACAAAAGTAAAATGGAAATTACTGAAGGTTGAACCAATGGTCTGCAACGACACGATGATAATAAAGGTCATAAAAATGAAATAACGTGCTGCCCTTTGTCGATTCACTATCATGAGATGAAACACCAACGTCATAGCGGAGAGCGTGGGGAAGTGCTCGAGGATCCATTGCCATCCTTGGATGCACAAAGGCACTGCTCACTGCTTTCCTCATGGATTCTTCTAATGACTGCTCCATCAATTTCAGTGAATGGAGAGATACATTTGAAAGCGTATGCTGTGTAACTTAGGGCAACAATTACGCCTATCCGTTCTGGCCACTGCGGAAGAGTAGGCCAAGATACCGTCTAGAGGGGCTGCATTAAAGCTCCCGTTAGTGGAGGCCCTTTCTGCCAGCAGTGGTGTGAGCAAGCGGTTGCAGCCTTATCTCCTTTCGGCCCGCAATGCAGTTCCCACGTGCTAGGGGTAAATGCAGCACCCGATTACAGCTTGCCCGTTATCACCATCTCAGCTGATTGCTGAATTTATCCATATCCTGCCTGACAATTCTAAACCAAAACACAGAACTCGCATTTAGATCAAAGTCTTAAGTAGTTCCCCTCCTGCCACAATGCCATTACGACAGCCATGACACGAACCAAAGCTATCACTGCAGAGGCAATGAACACTTTTAATATTTAACTTTTGATTTTCCCAGGTAAGGCCCACTGAGATATGTAGCTCTTTTTTAGAAGCGAGCTGGCCACAAATGATAGCTCAACGAAGTGGCTCATCAAGTGGAAATGTAAAGCGGCCGTTGTGGCGCTCTTCCGATTAGCACGCTTGGCTACGCACGGTGCGAAAGAAGTTCAACACTCTTAAAAGGGGTGACACGCGGACGACCCTAAAGGGAGGTGAACCCGCTCCCATGCTCTTGACACCAGTGGTCCTCCAGGACCTATGCTGAGTCACTATTCTATCAAACATTGCCTTGCACAACCGAGGTCTAACCCGGCCTCCCCCCCCAGAACCGTGCCTAAATGGATTAATGCCTACAAGGAGGGCCATAATCTTTAAGGGGCACCGTGGTGTCTCGAGACTTAGCATTGGCCTTTTTTTGTTGAAGGGTGGTGTCGCGTTTTATGTCACGACTTAATGGCTCAATCATGTTTTATTGCCGTGTTATTGTGACTGGGTGACCGCGGGGTGACTGGGTGATTGTTGACCTCCTGGGTGGTTGGGTGATTGGGTGAAGGGGTTACTGGTTGATCGTTAAACCCAGAATTACTGAAATGACTGGATTGGTTGTGGTGACGGCTGAATCAGGAGTGTGTGTAGAGTGGAATGTGACTCAGGCTTGTGTGAATTTGAGATGGTTAATACTTTCACCATTTTATCCATATGCCCCGTATTTCTTCAATCAATTCGGATTAATTTTGCATGGGGTTCCTGTTTTGAAAGGTTTGGTCAATTCTTTACCCACTGAAATGTGTTCCAGTGGGATGAAATCAGTTTTACTACCCTGGACAAAATACACATGACACACACACCTTCGATAAGCACGGTTGGCTAACTACGGTGCGAAATAAGTTCCATATACATACGTACACACCCATGCAGACAGATTCAAAGTCTATTTACTGGGCTGCAATGCATTGGCGAAAGAAAAGTTATTGTTGCGCAAACGTACCTGTAAAAGTCAATGTTAAGTTAACCGTGCGGGCGCGCGTGACGTGAAGAAGGGACTTTGTCCCACCAGTAATCCCACTGTCCAGTCCCCTCACCATATAAACCCTGGCGACCCATGAGTCCGGAACGAGAGATGATCGAGGACAAAGCTTCATCTCAACTTCCAAGGTCTGTTGTGCTCCTTATCACGGGAGTGCCGTGTCGCGTGCTGTCCAGGCTCCCCCACGTCTGTTCCCGTGCTGTCTGGCACGGGAACAGACGTCTGTTGTTGTTGTTGTGTTTTTCTGTTGGATGTTTTTGAGTGAGCCCGATGACATCCAAGTGTGATACAGAATTCGGCAGGATGCGAATTTTTGCGTTTTCATGTGGCTAACGTTGACACAATCTTTGACGTGCTTAAATCAAGATGATGACGACGACGTGCATAGCAGTTTTGCGTCATTTACTGCGGGATGAGAGGTCTCCTCACATCGTGCGGACTACGGGGGTTGTTTGATCACACTTCACCACACTCTCCACTGTGGTGAATATGTGCAGTGCAAACGTAGGAGCATAGAAAGTATGGTACAACAGATGTTGGCTACACTGCCCTTTGCTGTGCGCAACTTTGCATCGCTGCACAGCTTCCTTTGACAGCCTGGCGTGCATGCTGGTCACCCATCAAAGCACGATCCACTACCCAGGCTCAAACACTGCTTAGCTTACGAGACCTGAGAAGATCTGGGGCATTTTGCAGGTGATGTGGTCATGGTGATGATGATGCCACAGAGATCCACGTTTGTAAGTCGCTGAAGAAGAATACTGCAACACGTCTAGGTCGTATAGACATGCAACACCTGCCTACAAACACAAAAGCTGTAACACACCTGTGTACACGCACCTGTAACACTCCTGTTTATAAACACTGCAACGTACCTGTGCGCACGCACCTGTGTACACGCACCTGTAACACCCCTGTTCATAAACACTGCAACACACCTGTGCACGCACACTTGTGTACACGCACCTGTAACACCCCTGTTCATAAACACTGCAACACACCTGTGGGCGCACACTTGTGTACACGCACCTGTAACACCCCTGTTCATAAACACTGCAACACACCTGTGCGCACGCACCTGTGTGCGAATGCAAACACCTGCACCACACACCACATGCAAGCACACCTGCGTCTCGTTAAGGCGACCACTGCCCGCGGACCCGCGATCTCATCCCATTATTGATCCCGCTAACCCCCGAATCACCTCCTCCCCATGCTCCCTAACATTCCAGGAAGAACCCTTGGAGCCTCCAGGATGGATGTAGAGATGAAGGGGTCAGACTCGGCCCAGGAGATGCAGGGCTCCGTGCTCAGCTTCCACGACATCGGCTACGGCGTCACCTTGTCGAGTGGCCCGCCCTGGCGTCGCTCGTCCCAACGCAAGGACATCCTGGTGAACGTGAGGTGAGGCGGGCGAAGAAGGCTGCCCGGGTTTGTGTTGGGGAACGCCCGGATGGATCTCAGCGAACGGGGCAGCATTCCTGCCATCCTGACTTCTCCTGCAACGCGGTCGCCTCTGCTCCGATTTCTATCCGGTGGTTTGTTCCCCCCCTCCCCGCCCCCCTCGGATTTCGAATTGCTTCATTGTTGTTGTACCAGTTTTTATGGTATTGTTGTACCCGTTATTATGTTATTGTTGTAGCAGTTATTGTACCTGTTTTTTTTACGTAATTGCTTTTGTAATATTGGTGACCCTGGTCAGACCATCCTTGCTTCTTGAGTTCTCACCTTGTTAAACAAAACAACCTTGAACCCCTTCCGATTTAGGGGGAGGCTGCTGATTTATATATATAAAAAAGCTAAAATACATGTTTAACTAAAATGTTATAAAGCAATACGAATGGCTTAAAGCTTTCGTGACTGCAGGAATTCATATTCTTGGGTCTTTCGGTAAAATCACGTAGATAGGTTCAAAGAAAATAATCAAAAATAACAGAAAACTACGACGTTTCGATCGCAACGCAAGCGGTCGTCTTCAGGAAGACGTCGTAGTTTTGTTATTTTTTAAGTTATTTTTCTTTGAACCTATCTACGTAACTTTACCGAAAGACCCAAGAAGATCAATACGAATGGCTTTGAAAAATCAGTATGCGGCAACAGAATTAAAAACATTATCGCCTCTTCTTCCACGCGTCTGTCCCACTCATGGAGGTGTTCGTCTGTACTTGCCAACCATCTCCACGCTGCCCTGTCTCCACACTGCCCTGTCTCCACGCTCTCCCTGTCTCCACGCTCCCCTGTCTCCACACTCTCCCTGTCTCCACGCTGCCCTGTCTCCACACTCTCCCTGTCTCCACGCTCCCCTGTCTCCACACTCTCCATGTCACCACGCTGCCCTGTCTCCACGCTCCCCTGTCTCCACACTCTCCCTGTCTCCGCGCTGCCCTGTCCTGCACCATCTCTCTTTCCGCTCCTCGAGCCACCGTGTCCGATCGCCCCCCCTCCCCCACCTCTTCTTCTGCCATCCTTCCACTTGCATCACTTGCCACCTTCTGACTCGCATCATCATCTTTCTGTTGTCTCTCAACATGACCGATCATTTGACAATTATCTGCCTACCGCCTAACACTGTCCGATAATTACAATGCCTCGTCTCTAGAGGGCAGCCCGACCTGTGGGAAGGGTGAATCTTCCCCGTCGACCTGTGGGAAGGGTGAATCTTCCCCGTCGACCTGTGGGAAGGGTGAATCTTCCCCGTCGACCTGTGGGAAGGGTGAATCTTCCCCGTCGACCTGTGGGAAGGGTGAATCTTCCCCGTCGACCTGTGGGAAGGGTGAATCTTCCCCGTCGACCTGTGGGAAGGGTGAATCTTCCCCGTCGACCTGTGGGAAGGGTGAATCTTCCCCGTCGACCTGTGGGAAGGGTGAATCTTCCCCGTCGACCTGTGGGAAGGGTGAATCTTCCCCGTCGACCTGTGGGAAGGGTGAATCTTCCCCGTCGACCTGTGGGAAGGGTGAATCTTCCCCGTCGACCTGTGGGAAGGGTGAATCTTCCCCGTCGACCTGTGGGAAGGGTGAATCTTCCCCGTCGACCTGTGGGAAGGGTGAATCTTCCCCGTCGACCTGTGGGAAGGGTGAATCTTCCCCGTCGACCTGTGGGAAGGGTGAATCTTCCCCGTCGACCTGTGGGAAGGGTGAATCTTCCCCGTCGACCTGTGGGAAGGGTGAATCTTCCCCGTCGACCTGTGGGAAGGGTGAATCTTCCCCGTCGACCTGTGGGAAGGGTGAATCTTCCCCGTCGACCTGTGGGAAGGGTGAATCTTCCCCGTCGACCTGTGGGAAGGGTGAATCTTCCCCGTCGACCTGTGGGAAGGGTGAATCTTCCCCATCGACCTGTGGGAAGGGTGAATCTTCCCCGTCGACCTGTGGGAAGGGTGAATCTTCCCCGTCGACCTGTGGGAAGGGTGAATCTTCCCCGTCGACCTGTGGGAAGGGTGAATCTTCCCCGTCGACCTGTGGGAAGGGTGAATCTTCCCCGTCGACCTGTGGGAAGGGTGAATCTTTCCCGTCGACCTGTGGGAAGGGTGAATCTTCCCCGTCGACCTGTGGGAAGGGTGAATCTTCCCCGTCGACCCGCTTCCTCCGGCAACATGCAAACGTTGGACCAACGTTCCATGTTGCCTGGGTCCCTCCTTGTTTGACCTCTCCAGTGATGGTCTCACCCTTTCACTTCGTGGCCTCGAAGTAACGCGATCGGATATACCGTGTCCCGTACATACATATAGAGCGGTGTACAAAGCCACTCGGCCTGGCTTGTGAGCTCCAACTTCCCAGTGCCGGATTAAGCTAGTGTGGGGCCTGTAGCATATGTTATAAAGGGCCCCTAAATAAAATAAAAAAACACGTAAATATTAAACGGCATACATATTTAACTTGCATAGTAAAGTGATTGTATTTTTAATCTAGATTTAATTCGCTATACAGCCAGCTAATACGACAAATCGCTAACCTCAAACACCCAGTCGTTCATAAAAGTTGAAGGCGGTATCGTACTATAGTAATAGAGCAAGTGCAGAATCACTGAACCGGAATTGATAGTTTGAAAGCATTTAGCGCGGGGGCCTTCAAAGTGCGGGGCCCGTAGCATTTGCTACTTTTTCATCCGGCAGTGCCAACGCCACGTTCCGCAGACGCGATACGGCCCGGGCATCCCCGCTTCAGTCTCACACTCCACAGTAACTCCTGCAGGTTGTTGCAGTCTTGGAATCCGCCTGTTAACTTTTTGGTTAATTTCCTTGAGTGTTGGCAGTTTACACAGATTTAGATTATTGTTGTATTTTTTTTGTAAGCAATAGAAATGGACGAAATTAGGTACTCATGGAAATAATGGGGTTTTGTGAACGATATGGGACTCCAATTAACCCGATATTTCAAAGAGAGTGTGTATGTGTACGCACGGGCTAGAGAAGAGATGGACTGATGTGGTACAGAAGGATGTGGAGCTGATTGGCCTTGCCCACGACTGATACCCGCAGTGTCACGATCGGCCTCTGTGGAGGAGGCTCATGAAGGACACCGCTGGGTAGCTGGAGGCAGTCGCCCTCCAGCAGAGCAAGCGACGCTCACAACAACGAGCGGAGCGCCGGGCGGATAAAACGCAGAAAGTTGGCACAGTGCGGAGCACAGGTGATGTGCATCTGCCAGTCATCTCGGTCAGTCATCCCATGGCACCTGGGTTTGTTCCGAGACCTTCTGGCAGTGGGCCCTTCGACACTTCACGTGGCCTCAAAGTGCACATAGCCTGGCACAACCGCCGTGTTGAAGTCACCGCCACTTAGTGGCGAACGGCGGTTGTTGTTGTTGTTGTACGTACTCTCGAAACATGTCAACGTTGGGCCAATGTTGACACGTGGTTTGAGGCTTTGGATCAACTTTGACCCGACGTTGTTTGTCTGCTGGGAACGTGCACGATTATTTTAAGGAAATATTAACACGGACCAAAGGGTTCCTTTCATCCGTGTGTTCACATTAGCACAGGCCCAAGTGTTAGAGTTACAGAGCAACAGTTACAAGGTTACTCCAGAGCCTTAACTGTTACCAGGGCCGTATTATCCAATAGGCCACATTAGGCACTGTGCCTTGTGACCAAGTGCAACCAATATATCTTGTTGAATAAATGTATTTATATAGCAAGGATAGGTGAGAGAAATTAACACCTTTTCATTGCAAAAATCGTAATAACTTATTTAAATGCTGTCTTTCACGCAATCTCATTCTCAAGAGAGACAGAGAGTGTCGCAAGGGAAGACAAAGGCGGCGTTGTTGTCCTATGGTTGATCGGAGACAGTTTTTGTTCTCAGCTTCAGCAAGTGACAGCGGCGGTAGTCGTGATATGGGGCAGCAGCAGCAGCACCAACTGCAGAGAGTTATCGCTGAAGTCCTACGGATGCCTGTCAACCCCTTATCAGTGCCTACCTTATTACAGACCAATTCAAACCTTATTGGTCACCCCGTGCCCACTTATAAATCTCCACGTTCATCCTACAAAGTCCCACCACTATTGGAGAAACAGGCACATTCCCCCCCCCCCCATACCCCCCGTCTTGAAACGGCTGTACGCCGTATTGGACCTATAAACTCAATTTCCCAGTACAAGAATACGGGTAAACCGTATGCGTTGACAGATATGCTGCTAAACACGACACTATACACGACTCTATACACTACTACAAGCCTGTCAACCCCTTATCAGTGTCTACCTTATTACAGACCAATTCAGACCTTATTGGTCACCCCGTGCCCCTTATACATCTCAACGTTCATCCTACAAAGTCCCATCACAAGGGAGAAACACAGACAACATGTTTTTTCCCCGTATTGAAACGGCTGTACACAATATGGACATGAAAACGTAATTTTCCTGCACAAGAATACAGGGTTAAACCGTGTGGGTTGATAGCGATGCCTACAATTGCTACCGTGCATATTTTATTTCGTGACAATTTGTAGAGTTAACCTTCGCCGAAGTGTGCTTAAGTCAGACCATCTCGACTTCTACGAAACGGTGAAGAGAAAAAAAATATACAGCGGCTTTGTAGTAAATGAGCACCCAGATCTTTAATAATTAACAGTGAAGGCTGGAGGCCCGACCCGCACCCTCCCCTCGGCCCAGCCCAGGGCACTCGGCAGGCTATGTTATCCAAAGGTACCCTTCTGGCCACACGAGTTAAATGAAGTCTCGATGATCCGCCCTAATGACGAGGATGGCCACGGATAATTCAAAATCGCGGATAATCCAAAACTGTAAAGTTAAGGTAATGGAGTTGCTCAGTGATAACACTGACTGTGTTGAACATTCACACAGTACACTGCTTATACGACCAAGTTATTCCTTGAACAATACATAGACTTTGGTCTCCACGGGCTCTCACCTGGTCAAAATAAAGGTTCTGTTTGTCTGTGTGTCTGCGTGCGTTTCCCAACAGTGGCCTCATGAGGCCAGGAATGAATGCCATCTTGGGACCGACCGGCAGTGGAAAATCTTCGTGAGTGAAACTGCGAACTCTCCGTTACTTTGCGCTCATCTCCTTCGTAAGTAGAAAATTAAAGCCATCGCCACAGGAGGCTGGTCGTGGCCACATGACCCAAACTATGGACCATATAACTGAACTGTAGTCTGTGCTCCTTTGAATGCATTTAGCTCCTGGACAAATTGCTATGCGCAAAAATATAATTAATACAAAAAGGCACCTTCAAGGGTGTCCAGGTGATTAACCTATTAAGATCCTGCAGTAATGTAGACCCTGGGAGCAATATTTCGTCAGTCCAATGGTGGATGAGGGCCTCGCCACACCACCAGGATAATGGGAGTTATGCCAAACTTCACCGATCGTGCCCACGCTGGTGACTGCGGGGTTGTGAAGGCGGGGTGCATAGATGGAGCAGAGTACAGAAGCACAATGGATTTTGCAGAACAGCCCTCTGCTGCTGTGGATGCTGTCATCCACATTGCTGATGGGCGCCACGGTCGTGAGATGGTAACTCCCTCGCCTGGTATGGAGGAGGTCGTGGGTTGCATCTCGACCTTGACGCCTGTTTATTTGGAGTTTGCGTGTCTCTCTCCTCGTGGTCGCGTGGATTTTTTCTCCAGGTCCTCCGGGTTTTCCCTCCACATTTAGAAACACGCGTTTAGATTATTTGGCTGTGATACATTTCTACATGATGAACCACTTCGTTGAGCTATCATTTGTCATAGCCAGGTCGCTTGTGAAAAATATCTTTATAGCTCAGTGGACCTTACCTGGTAAAAATAAAGCCTAGTTTAGTTTTTTTGTTTGATTCTATAGATGTATGGACGTTAAGCTTCTATTACACCGTAGCCAACCGTGCTAATCGGAGGTGCGATTGCTGATGCCACTGCTCCCCGCTGCTGCTGCTGCTGCTGGAGACGCTGCCGATGTCGCCCCTGCCGCGATAGATGCCGCCGTAGCTTCCACCTGTGTAATGACAAAGTAATAAGAAGAGCCACTCTTATTTAAAGACTTCCACAATAAGGAACCCTACTAAAGACTTACACAATAAGGGACCCTAGGCTTCGTTCTTGTCTTCCCGCTTGTATCGTCCTCCAAGCGTCCCCACTCCTCGTGCTCTCCCCGTATATCTCCCTCGGCCCCCTTTCTCGGACCTTCTCGTTCTTGTCTTTACCTTTAGCCAATCTGTGTCCTTTCCCTTTAACGGATCCTTTCCGTTAAAGGGAACGGATCCTTTCCGTTTGCCCGTTCAACCCCTTATTCTGCAATCCCTTTAAAAGTCTGCCTCCCGACCAATCACCGTGGAGGACTCTTGCTTCCAATTGGAGACCGTTTGTTTATTTTTAAATGGCCTTTAGGCTGCATATGGCTTGGGGTCATTTATCGGTCATTACGCTTGTATGGCCTCGCTGTTCTCTGCGTGCTCAGGCTGCTCGATGTGCTGGCCGATCGGAAAGACCCCTCGGGGCTCACGGGCGAGGTGCTGCTCAACGGTGACCCCCTGCCCCCCGACTTCAAGTTCATATCGGGATACGTGGTGCAGGTGAGGGAGATCCCCTACATCAGGGGGTGGTCAACCTGTAACAGACCAAGAGCCATAGAGTACACATGAGTGTTGCAAAGAGCCACGTGTACATAGATATGTGTATATCCATAATAGAGTGTTTTTTGGGGTTAGATTGCACGAATATAAATGGGTTGTTAAGCCCGCCACCAACCGACACGGCCAATTAGTAAGGTTTGTCACGTAAACAGAACATGCCAATTCGCGACGCGCGAACCGCTACACTATCGCTCCCCACACCTACCCACACCCCATACCTCCGATTAGCACGGTTGGCTACGTATGGTGCGGAAGAAGTTCAACATACATACATACATAATTACATACACACACTTTTATACATAAACACAAAACCGCAGAAATAAACCACTGCTGCTGCTGCCCCTATTACTGAATGCCACTCCTGTTGCTGCTGCCCGGTGCCGCAGGACGATGTGGTTATGGGCAGCCTCACCGTGAGAGAGAATTTCCAATTCTCGGCCGCGCTGCGTCTCCCGACATCTGTGAGCCACACGGAGAAGGAGCAGCGCGTGGAGCGAATCATCTCGGAGTTGGGACTCACCAAGGTGGCCGACTCCAAGGTCTGTGTCACCCACGGAGATCCGCCACAATGTCGACCACGTGTTGCCCGAGGTGCCAACCGCAATGTCTACCGCACCGCCGAGACGATGCTCGCGATGGGCGCGGTGTCATCCAACTCGTCAACCCACGTTTCCAATCCCAGTGTCAACCTTGCATCACCAACGGTCTCACCGTTGTGTCACCCACGTGCCACCCACGTGTCACCCGGGGTCCCACCCACGTGCCACCCACGTGTCACCACGCGCGTCAGCCATGCGTAACACACGCACGTTACCGGCTGGTCTCAGCCAGCTGTCACGTTGTCGCCCACGTTGTCACCCATGACATCGCGACGTTGCACGGGATGGCGCAACGTCACCCGTGTGCGTCACCCGCTGCTGTCACCCGCTGCTGTCACCCCATTTTGTCCATCCTCCCCGCGCCCCCCACTGGCCGTCAGGTGGGCACGGAGCTGGTGCGGGGCGTGTCGGGCGGGGAGCGCAAGCGAACGAACATCGGCATGGAGCTCATCACGGATCCCTCGGTGCTCTTCCTGGATGAGCCAACCACGGGGCTCGACTCCAGCACCGCCAGCGCCGTTCTGCTGCTGCTGCGCCGGTGAGATGCCATGCCACACCGGGGGTTGCCTCCACGAGGATAGCTGTTGTCGGGCGCGGGTCCGGGTGTGTCCCACGTCGAGTCCGGGTGTCTCGGCCTCGCTTTGCGCTGCGTTGCACCACTATCCGAGTAGTTAACCTGGCATTCAAGAAACCTTCAGAGCCAGGGTGAACATTCGCCTCCAACGTATTTAATGCATGAAACGAGGTAAAACTGATGGGAAAACACAACACACAATACAGCATCTGTTAATACTTCCAATATCAATACAATGAATGAACATTGCAGCATCATAACATTGTCTTAGATAACATGCATCTCAACAATAGGTCCTGGATGGACCAGGCACCTACATTAGCACTGAATAGCGATACAACAAGAGAATAAGCTACTGTGTTAAATAAGGTCACTTTGTGTAATCACCATACTGTAGCCTAAATGTACAGCGCTGCACATAACACTGAACTGTGGATGAGATGCTTCTTCATCCTTTCTCTCAAGAACGCATTAAAGTGAAATGGGCACAAGTCTGGCTGAACTCATCCAACTACAAATAACATTCACAATCTTGACTTAAAGCTTTCGTGACTGCAGGAATTGATATTCTTTAGCTATTTCGGTAAAGTCACGTAGATAGGTTCAAAGAAAAAAATGTGCTTTTTGTTATGTTCTTTGAACGTATCTACGTGACTTTACGGAAAGACCCAAAGTATATAACATTCACAATAATGCAAGTGGCAGGCTTCGTTGTTAACTAGGCCCCATATTCATCATAACAATTTAACAGCATTATAACAGCAATCCTAACATTATAACAGCATTCTCAGTATTATAAGAACATAAACAAACTTGCAGACAATGCTTCTTAAGGTCCCGCAATGAACAGATGCACCCGTCTTCACTGAGATGCTAATTGTGCCTCCATTTTGTACGCTATGGAATGGCTGACACCCCTGCCTGGCCTCGTGACTTAAAGACCCTTAACTCGTAATTTTCTGGTCACGTGACCAAACTCAACACCGTTATATCAGCAAGTTCCTGTGTAAACATACCCCCATATCTGCCATGGGACAGAATACCCAGTGTTGGAGGAGAGTCTGGGTGTACACATGTGGAGTCCGGGTGTTGTCGGGGAGAGTCGGAGTGTACGCATGTGGAGTCTGGGTGTTGTCGGAGAGAGTCTGGGTGTACACATGGGTAGTCCGGGTGTTGTTGGGGAGAGTCTGGGTGTACACATGTGGAGTCTGGGTGTTGTCGGGGAGAGTCTGAGTGTAAACGTGGAATCCGGGTGTTGTTGGGGAGAATCCGGGTGTGCACATGTGGAGTCCGGGTGTTGTCGGGGAGAGTCTGGGTGTACACATGTGGAGTCCGGGTGTTGTTGGGGAGAGCCCGAGTGTACGCATGTGGAATACGTGTGTTGCCGGGGAGAGTCTGGGTGTACACATGTGTAGTCCGGGTGCTGCCGGGGAGAGTCTATGTGTACACATGTAGAGTCTGGGTGATTGTCCAGGAGAGTCCGGGTGTATGCATGGGTAGGCCGGGTGTTGCCGGGGAGAGTCTAAGTATACACATGTGGAGTCCGGGTGTTGTTGGGCGGAGTTAGGGAGTCCGGGTGTTGTCCTCTTGTCCGCTCGGCCGCCCGCCCTGCGAGTTGCACTCTCTCGCTCGCCGTGACTCGACTCTGGCCTGCAGGCTCTCCCGCCGCGGCCGCACCATCATCTTCTCCATCCACCAGCCGCGCTACTCCATCTTCCGCCTGTTTGACAGCCTCACGCTGCTCGTGAGCGGCCACACGGTGTACCACGGCCCCTCGTCGCAGGCCATTATTTACTTCAAGTCCATCGGTGGGTGGGTGGGCGGTTGGGTGGGTGGGCGGGTGGGTGGTTGGGTGGGTAGATGGGTTTTTGGGTAGGTGGTTTGGTGGGTGGGCCACAATTGTTGTAGACATCTGGAAATGGAGGGTTGATGATCATGGCTTTTGTAATGGCTGTGATGATGACCGTAATAATGTCAACAATAACATGACAATTATGAGTGATGATGATAATAATGATGATCAAGATGTTGATGCCTTTGATGACGATGAGAATATTGATGGTGATAATTATCATGATGATGATAAGACGATGATGATGATGATGATGATGTGAGTCAGGCTACGAGTGTGAGCCGTTCAACAACCCGGCCGACTTCTTCCTGGACGTTCTCAACGGAGACTCCACGGCAGTGATGGCAACCGCAGACACGGCCGTCGAGACCGGTCGGTCACATCGCCCACATCGCCATATCTCCACATCACCCACGTAGCCCAAATTACCCACATCGTCCACATCAGCCACGTCGCCCACATCACCCACATCGTCGCATCGACACAATGCCCACATCCGCCACGTCGCCCACATCAGCCACGTCACCCACATCGTCATATCAACACATTACCCACATCACCCACATCATCACATCAACACATCACCCATGTCGCCCACATCGTCACACTAACACGTCGCCCACATCAACACATCGTCACATCGCCCACAGTGGGGCCTTACCTGATCAAGTAAAACAAAAAAAGGTCGAGCGACATCGTCGTAACCGCTCACCCAGGAGACGCGGAGGCGGGCGCCGGCTCCGTGTGCCAGCGCCTCGCCGAGAGCTACGCGGCGTCGTTCTTCTGCCGGGACGCGGAGTCCGCCCTGCGCGCCATCGAGCTCCGGGGCTCGGAGTCGCACGGCGGAGACGGAGACGGCAAGAAGAGGAAGGGGAGGGTGGGGCGAGCCCTGGCGAGGGACAAGTGTGCCACCTCGTTCCTGCACCAGTTCGCGTGGCTCAGCAAGCGCAACGTGAAGAACCTCATCGGAAACCCGCAGGCCTCGCTGGCGCAGGTGACGTCGCGTAGGCGGTTTGGGGCAGGGACGTGCGGTCAGGGGAGGCAGGGGAGGCAGAGCCTCAGGTGTCATACTCCAATGAAAAGAGCTGTTACGAAAAGTAAAAAAAAAGAGAATAATCAAATGAAATTAATATTAAGATTTTTCCACTGATCTGTGTTATAAATGTCATTTCTGTACGATTCCAATCATTTTTATAGTCAAAATCTCCAAATTTGCGGAGCTCCGCTGCAAATGCAGGAAGAGACGAGAGGTGAGGCAGCGACGAGCTCAGCCTCCCCTCTGATTGCGCAACCCCTCAGTAATTGTTACTATCTCAGTATGTCACCAATGTAATGTTTGCAGACCCCTTAATTTCATGTCCTCGCCTTCCATACTCCAGGTAACTTATTTCACGTATGTGTATAAAGATATTTAGGCTCGCTGGTCTCGTCATGAAACTGCAATGAAAAAGCACCAGGGGAGGCAGTTATCACATCTGCCTCACTGAGGGGGACGTGTCTAACACGCCCCCTCAGTGAGGCCACGCCCCCTCCGTGAGGCCACGCCCCCTCCGTGTGTGAATCTGGCTCTGACACTAGCTAGTGCCTCCCCAGCCATTGACCTCACGGCACATCACTGGTTTGGGGGGGCATCGGGGGGGGGGGCACCCTTACTCAGTGCCCAGCCTCAGCCGCAACGGTGCCGAACGCCACTCAGCAGAATGATGTTGGCACGCCACATCCGTCTCGCCTCTTGTCCTTCCTTGGGAGACTGGGCTGGTGTGTGGGGCGTGGTGCGTGGGGTGTGATGGAGTGTGGTGGTGCGTGGGGTGGTGGTGCGTGGGGTGTGATGGGGTGTGGTGGTGCGTGGGGGGTGGTGCGCGTGGTGTTGGTAACCTGCATATGTAGGAATATAGAGTAAAATAAAATTCCTATTAATAATAGGGTTTTTCCTCTTTTTTCTGGCAACAAAACTGAAACCTTTTTACAAGGATTAATGTCTGCATTAACCACAATGCATATATTATCATAGTACAAAAAACATACTATGATAATATATGCATTGTCCCTTGGTGTGGACCAATCAGTTTCAAGGACAATGCATATATTATCATAGTATGTTTTTTGTTTGCATTTTGACTGCAGCTATTGTGGTTAATGCAGACATGAATCCTCGTAAAAAGGTTTCAGTTTTGTTGCCAGAAAAAAGGGGAAAAACCCTTATTATTACATTTTGGTACTGGCAAAGGAGGTCTAATGAAAATTCCTATTTTTCCGACTTCCTTGACCTTGTCCCAAAGATCGCGAAACGCCGTTCCTAGAGAATTGTTCTCCAACTCACTGGCGCGGGCTGCAGCGGTAATAATCGGCGCGCTCGACGCTCGCCCGCCACGCGACAGCCTGGCGGTGGAGGGTATGACGACACACATTTGGCCAGATAATTACGTCACCTAATAACCCCCCCCCCCCCCCCCCCCCAAATACAATTATGCGACAATAATATAGGGCTAGGATTATCATGGATAGGCATGCCTTGTAGCTCTCGCGGGCAGTGCCGTACGTCGATAAATCCCCGCTCCAAGGCATCCCGGCAGCATTGCGGAGCACGCCGATTGAGACCTCAAATCCCCGTGGGGTCGCCGCGTCGAGTGGCCTCGCCGTGAGCTCCGCGCCGCTCACGCGGCGCTCTCCGCACGCTGCCGCCGTTTCGCTGGCGACGCCACAGGTCGTGGTGACGTTGGTGCTGGGGCTCGTGGTGGGAGCGCTCTTCTTCGACGTGAAGCAGGACAACGCGGGCATCCAGAACCGGTGAGGGCCGTCCAAAGGGCCGGCGGCAATTGCCACGTTGCCACACGGCCGGGCGGTCAAGTCTGCCCATCGGACGAGCGAACGCCGTTATTGATAAACCACAGGGCGATGGGGGGCCGAGACGATTCCCCAACCGGGAATTGAACTCGTGACCTGTCATAATGCCCCCCGAGTCTCCATGCCCTGAAGTGGCAATGCCAGCCTTGCCCTCTGTCTAAATGTCCCACCTATCCCAATGCCCCCATGTCTCAATTCCCACATCTCTCAATGCAACGTATCTCAATGCCCCATACTGCCGTGTCTCAATGCCCCATACTGCCGTGTCTCAATGCCCCGTACTGCCGTGTCTCAATGTCCCCGTACTGCCGTGTGTCAATGCCCCATACTGGTGTGTCTCAATGCCCCATACTGGTGTGTCTCAATGCCCCATACTGCCGTGTCTCAATGCCCCATACTGCCGTGTCTCAATGCCCCGTACTGCCGTGTCTCAATGCCCCGTACTGCCGTGTCTCAATGTCCCATACTGCCGTGTCTCAATGCCCCATACTGCCGTGTCTCAATGCCCCATACTGCCGTGTCTCAATGCCCCATACTGCCGTGTCTCAATGCCCCATACTGCCGTGTCTCAATGCCCCGTACTGCCGTGTCTCAATGCCCCGTACTGCCGTGTCTCAATGTCCCATACTGCCGTGTCTCAATGCCCCATACTGCCGTGTCTCAATGCCCCATACTGCCGTGTCTCAATGCCCCATACTGCCGTGTCTCAATGCCCCATACTGCCGTGTCTCAATGCCCCATACTGCCGTGTCTCAATGCCCCATACTGCCGTGTCTCAATGCCCCATACTGCCGTGTCTCAATGCCCCATACTGCCGTGTCTCAATGCCCCATACTGCCGTGTCTCAATGCCCCATACTGCCGTGTCTCAATGCCCCATACTGCCGTGTCTCAATGCCCCATACTGCCGTGTCTCAATGCCCCATACTGCCGTGTCTCAATGCCCCATACTGCCGTGTCGCAATGCCCCATACTGCCGTGTCGCAATGCCCCATACTGCCGTGTCTCAATGCCCCGTACTGCCGTGTCTCAACGCCCCATACTGCCGTGTCTCAATGCCCCGTACTGCCGTGTCTCAATGCCCCATACTGCCGTGTCTCAATGCCCCATACTGCCGTGTCTCAATGCCCCATGCTGGTGTGTCTCAATGCCCCATACTGCCGTGTCTCAATGCCCCATACTGCCGTGTCTCAATGCCCCATACTGCCGTGTCTCAATGCCCCATACTGCCGTGTCTCAATGCCCCATACTGCCGTGTCTCAATGCCCCATACTGCCGTGTCTCAATGCCTTCCTCCCCACCCCGTGTCTCTCAGGATGGGCTCGCTGTTCTTCATGATCACGAACCAGATGTTCGGGAGTCTCTCGGCCATCGAGCTGTTCGTCCGAGAGCACAAGATCTTCATGTGAGTCGGGGGCACACAGACACACGAGGGTGGGGGGGGGGGGTGAGCGCGGTATGGTGGTGGCACTCACACTGATAATGCTGATGCTGATAATACTGATGACGCTGATGCCGATGATACTGATGACGCTGATGCCGATGATACTGATGATACTGATGATGCCGATGCTGATGATACTGCTGGTGCCGATTATGCTGATGCCTATGATACTGATGATGCTGATGATACCGATGCTGATGATGCTGCTGGTGCCGATTATGCTGATGATGCTGATTATGATGCTGATGATGTCGATGCTGATGATGCTGGTGATGATGATGCTGATGAGAATGCCGCCGACGATGACGACGACGACGATGCCCTGTGCCCAGCCACGAGTACGTGAGCGGGTACTACCACGTGTCCGCGTACTTCTTCTCCAAGATTCTCTCCGACCTCATCCCCATGCGCACGATCCCCGGCATCATCTTCTCCTGCGTCACCTTCTGGATGATCGGTAGGGCTCCCTCGCTCCTTCACTCGTCCGCTCGTTCGCTCGCTCGTTCAAACAAGTCTTTTCGCTTCTACAGCCGGTTATGTATGTGTGTCGTGATGAAAAAAGAATGGGCTTTCCGGCAATTATGTGGCCGATTATTTTTTCCAGAATTTTTATACCGGCAAAAAAAAAACGGTCTTGTAGATAGGGGCCGTCCATAAATGACGTCATGCACCTAGGGGGGGGGGAGGGGTCAGACATTTGTGACGATGTGTGACGAGGGGGGGGGGGGGGTTTGAGAAATGTGACGTCACATCAAAATGCGCAACTTTTAATAAATATAGACAACACGTTCTACTTAATTCTATATACTTTTAATAAATGTTTTCTCCTACAACATCAGAGTGCTGCGGCACATTAAATACCCACTACAATGACAATAGTTTAAAGCGATTTGAAGCATGTTTTATTTTGGGGGGGGGGGGCAGAGCTTTGTGACGTCATATTTGAGGGGGGGGGTCTGTCTTTTTGTGACGTCGTGTGACGATGGGGGGGGGGGGTCAAAAATCGTTCAAAATCGCGTGACGTCATTTATGGACGGCCCCATATGTGTGTCATGTATGAATATGTGCGATCCAGCCTTCTGTGACCAGGTCACGCACTTGCCACGTGCTTGATCAGGTCACGTGTGCGTCACGTATGACCGTGTCGCGTGTTCCGCATCCCGGGGTTCCAGGAGGAATAAAAGTTGATGACTGCGCGTGTCACGTGCGTGTCCCGAGTGAGTCACGTGCGCGTCACGAGAGAGTCACGCACGTGTCACGCTTGTGTCTCGTGCGCCAGGGCTCCAGGCGCGAGTGGACAAGTTCTTCATCCACATGCTCACGGTGGTGATGACCGCATACGGCGCCGTGAGCCTGGCCCTCGCCGTGAGCGCTGGCACCAGCGTTGTCGCCGTTGCCAACGTCTTCATCACCGTCTGCTTCATCTTCATGATTGTACGCCCCACTCGCTCGCTCATTTACCCGCTTGATTACTCACTCACACACCTGCACACTCAATCACTTACCCACCCGCTCACTCACTAACTAACCCGTTTACCCACTTAGCCACCCGCTCACTCACTCACTAACCCGTTTACTCACTTACCCACTCACTCACTAACCTGTTTACCCACTTACCCACCCGCTCACTCACTCACTAACCTGTTTACCCACTTACCCACTCACTCACTAATCTGTTTACCCACTTACCCACTCACTAACCTGTTTACCCACTTACCCACCCGCTCACTCACTAACCCGTTTGCTCACTCACCCACCCGCTCATTGACTCACTAACCTGTTAACCCACTCATCCACCAGCTCACTCACAAACCCGTTTACCCACTTACCCATCCGTTTACTAACCTGTTTACCCAATGACCCACCCGTTCACTGACTAACTTGCTTACCCACACACCCACCCACCCACTCACCCACCCGCTCACTCACTCACTAACCCGTTTATCCACCTGCTCACTCACTTACTCACTAACCCGTTTACCCACTTGCCCACCCAGTCGCTCACTCACTTGCCTGATTGCCCACTCACCCACCCGCTCATTGACTCACTAACCTGTTAACCCACTCACCCACCAGCTCACTAACTAACCCGTTTACCCACTTACCCACCCATTTACTAACCTGATTACCCACACACCCACCCGATCACTGATTAACCTGATTACCCACACACCCACCCGATCACTGATTAACCTGATTACCCACACACCCACCCGATCACTGATTAACCTGATTACCGACACACCCACCCGATCACTGATTAACCTGATTACTCACACACCCACCCGATCACTCACTTTTCCAACCAAAATGGTATTCTCAATTTAACATACGACAGCACTCTTATTTAACGATCACAAAACGCTACCACGGAGACCTTGCTACCTTACATATTCGTGATCTAGAGATAAAATTCGTCAAGAAAATATGTTAGCATTTGTTACCCAGGGTGGGTACGAATGGGAAATGTTTTGGGCCACTGGCTCAAGGTCTAACGCCTGACACCGCACGTTCACGATCCTTGCTCCGTGCGTCCCCGCAGCTTTTCTCCGGGTTCCTGGTGAACCTGCCCAGCGTCATGGCGTGGCTGAGCTGGCTGCAGTATCTGAGCATCCCTGGCTACGGATTCACGGTGAGTGTGGCACCAGGCGGTGGCACCGGCGATCAGTCGCGCTCGCGAACCTCAGGAGTTAGCGACTGAACCGCTCCGTGTTCCGTCAACTTTACTTCTGTTGATTCCAAACACGTTCTACAGCGTGTACACTAAACAGGGAAGGGCTTTAAAGAGTTGTATAATCCCCTATCGATGTAGATGCCACTGGTTCTTTATGTTCTGCAGTTGTAGATGCCACTGGTTCATGTTCTGCAGATGTAGATGCCGCCGGCACCATCTATTGCGCAGTGGTTGAACTAGGAATACGATTATTTGTATCTCTGAAAGTTCGTAAGTCGAACGTTCGTAAGTAGAGGAGTCCCTGTATTCCAAATCCTAACATCTGCAACAGTTCCACGGACCACTAAACAGCGGCCCTGCGGGATAGTGTCGCCACCTGTCAACGGTTTGACCGGAACAGTCGGGGAATTTGGCATCCGTTCTTTGAGTGGCAGCAATGGATTCACACCGAGATGCGTTGACCGGGACCAGCGTTGTGTGGAACTTCGTTACAGAACAACCGACGTGTATGGCGGACTGAGAAATATGGGCTGGTAAAAGGTGGCAACGTAGCCGTCCGCGTTCGCCGTTGTAACTTTGCCGACCCGCCCACACGGGACACCTGCGAGCAAGAGCTTCATAGCTCTTCGGATTCCTCCTTCCAGTCCAAGTAAACATTGCGAGCCGGTTGCGTGACAGCTCGAGTGTGCTGCGATACTGCTGGACTTTGCTCGAATGTGTCTCCGTGATCACTGAAGTCGACCCAGGTCTACCCTCGAGAGCGAGACTGCGCTGGTACGGTCACGCAAAAGAAGCGCGACCTTGACCGCTGTCCCCCACGCGATGCGATAGGCAAGGTCACGGCGGCGCCACGATCATCGTGAGGTCAGCTGCCCACGACAGCCGGCGTCACCCCCCCCCCTCTCATTGTCAGGGCCTCCTCATTAACGAGTTCACGGGACTCGAGTTCCTGTGCCGGGGCGGAGAGAACGCCACGGAGCCCGAGCAATGCCCACCAAACTCCAGCGTCCCGCTCGGCCCCGTGTGAGTAACCCAGCAGCAGAGAGAGAGCATGACCGCGACGCCAACAGCAGCTGCCGAGACGACGACGGGAGACAGACGAGCCCTCGCCCCCCTAACAAGCCCCGCCCATCACCTCCCGTCCAGCGGCACGCGTCGGGAACAGATGCGAGGCATTTTATCACGACCGTGTTCACGTTACGCGATTGGCCATCGAAACCGATAAATCGGCAGAGTCATCGACGGGTTCAATGTGCGGCGAGCTTCTTCCGCGCCGTACGAGAGCCCAGCTCTCACGAACGTGCCCATTAGTTACCCCGCAGAGCGCGGCGCGACAAAATCCATCGTTGTACTGTAGCGTCTGTGCCCCCCCCACCTCCAAAAAAATCCGCACTGACCAGCCTGGTGAAGTATGGTCAAATAATCGCCACGACCCGCACGGTGACCATCCGACAAGGTCGGAGCCACTGGGGGATGAGCGGTGGTCGCGATAGGGGCGGCAGCGTTGGTGGTGTCGTTGACAGTGATGGCGGTAGGAGTGGTGGTAGCGGTAGTGGTGGTGATGGTGTTTGCGGTGGGCATTGAGAGCCGTATGGGTGTTGGTGGTAGGGCCAGAGGCATTGGCAACGTTGGTGTTGATGGCATTAGTGGTAGTGGTGGTGGGGGTGGTGGTGGAAGCAGCAGTGGTAGCTGTCGTGGTGTGGTTCATGACGACGGCGGTTGACGGTGGTGACGGCGGTGCGCTGTGACCCCCGTGGTGACCTCATGTAGGTGCACGGGGGCGGAGCAACTGTGCCGCCTGGGCATCACGACGGACTCGTGGAGCCTCTGGAAGAACCACGTGGCGCTGGGCAGCATGACCCTCATCCTGCTCACCATCGCCTACCTCCGCCTGCGCTTTGTGCGCAAGTACACGTGATCGCCCGCTCACCCGCCCGCTCACCCGTGCACTCACCAACCCGCTCACCCGTCTACTCACCCATCTACTCACCGACCCGCTCACCCGTCTACTCACCCGTCTACTCACCCATCTACTCACCGACCCGCTCACCCGTCTACTCACCCATCTACTCACCGACCCGCTCACCCGTCTACTCACCCATCTACTCACCGACCCGCTCACCCGTCTACTCACCTGCCCACTCACCAGCCTACTCACCCATAGACTCACCCGTCTACTCACCTGCCCACTCACCAGCCTACTCACCCATAGACTCACCCGTCTACTCACCCGCCCACTCACCGGTCTACTCACCAACCCGCTCACCCGTCTACTCACCCGCCCACTCACCCGTCTACTCACCCGCCCACTCACCCGTCTACTCACCCGCCCACTCACCCGTCTACTCACCCGCCCACTCACCGGTCTACTCACCCGCCCACTCACCCGCCCACTCACCTGTCAACTTCCTCAACCCGCTCACCCAACGGTCCACATGCCACGGAGAAGCACGGCGTTTGTACCAAATGATAAACGCCATAATTGCGAGTACGTGCGTATGTACCGTGTGTGTGTGTATATATACGGGAGAGCGAGCAGTGTACGCAATGTATCTCTCACGAGATCGATGTTCTTTTTTTTGTTCGCATGAACGCTGCGTTTGTTGTTTTCCGATGAGCTCGAAGCGCGATGGGCCTTGCTTCGAGCCGTCGCCGCTCGCGTTTGACGCGCCACGCTCCCTTCCCGGCAGCGAATCCCCTCACATCCCCCGGGGGGAGGAGACCGCCAGCCTCCCGTCCCCCGGGTGACGGAGCGATCCGAAAAAACGTCAGATCGAATCGAATCTCGGGCCACGTTTGGCATCGGCGCCGTTTCCGCGGCGCAAAAGGGGGGCGATCGCGAAGGTGCCGCGTTTCGCACGGGAGCAGGGGCGCCGCGGTGACTAGGAGACGTTAACGACCTCGCCCGGTGCGCAGGAGGTCGCGAGTTTAAACCCAACCCTGACGCCTGCTGCTGTATATTTGGAGTTTGCACGTTCTCCCCGTGGTCACGTGGATTTATCGGCGTGCTCCTCTGGTTTTTCACTCCACGTTTAGAGTCAACGTCACGCGTTTAAAGTAATGGGCTCCTATCAATGTCCGCGTGATAAGCCACTTCGTTGGGCTATCATTTGTGATGGCCAGGTCGCTTCTGAATAAGAGCTATGCAGGTCTGTGGGCTTTAAGTGGTAAAAATAAAAAATAGTTAAATAGTTAATAGAGCCTGCAAGTTGAGTAACTTACCAACGTTGGACCAGGCTGCCGGCACGCATGGACGACTGATCTTTAACAACTGCCTTGGTCAATACACGCCACGCGTATTCAACATTGTGGGTGATGATGCTGTGTGTGATGCTGCTGCGTGCGACGACGATGATGATGACGATGAGGACGATGATGACGACGATGATGACGACACACCACAGTGTTAACCAGGGTGGCCGCCACTGGTCTCGAACCGCAAGCCTCCGCAACGGGCGGCGAGCGCGCCATCGCCCGGCCACGTCACTTCAAAGACCGTCAACGAGACGACAATTGGTGAATCCCCACCATTTAATCGCAAACGGCGCAAGCGGAGAGCAAAGCAAAACATTTACGCCCCCCCGCAAGCCACGCGGGGCCAACTATTTTTAAAACAAAATGTATAATCTTCAATAAAAAAAAAATCGATTTCGACGGATTAAAAAAAAAAACGATTTCAACTCCGGCCAAAGAATTGGACGGCCGGCGGCATCGTCGGCAGCAGCATTGTTGGTGGCGGGGTCAGCGGGGGCAGGGGAAAGGGGAGGGCAGCGGTGGCTGGAGGGGGTGATGCTGCTGCTGCTGCTGCCGTGTAAACCCAACTGGGTAGTGTGCGGGAAACGTTTCAGCCGTGGGATGTTTTGACCACTGCCAGTTACATTGTGCGAGCTTTTTTAGTTTGTATCCATGGGTAGAAATTGTAGAACCCGGAGAAAACCCACGCAGAACACAGGAGGAGGACATACAAACTACACAGAGGCACCCGGATAGGGAATCCAACCCAGGTGATTCTTGCTGCGAGGCACAAGCGTTACCTCCGCACGACCACCCTACCCGCTAGTAACTATCGTCTCACCACCGATGACTGAACAGTGAACCCAATAAACTCACCGACTCGCTCACTTAACCCTCAATACAGTGCAACAATGTGGACTAATTACTTTGTTAGTTACCAAGGCTTTACCAGAATCTGAATCTTTATTTATCCTGGAGAAATCCAATGAGCTATTAAGTTATTTTTCACAGATGTCCAGTAGGGACGGTTCAGAAGAAAGCAGGGTACGGGTTTCAATTCCCAGCATCATTAAACATCTAATTAAAAAAATCATTAAACTAAGACCCATCAAGACCAGTTACACACACACATACACAAACACGTAAAAAAACATTAACCAATCAGAGTAGCGCGTGGGGGCGACATACGAATGGCTCACAATGGCCGTGTCAGAGACGCTGAGCCCGCATCGTTGAGACCCTCGGTTGGATATTCATATTCTTGGTTCTTTCGGTATCGTCACGTAGAAGGGAAACAATAAAATAATACAAATTTAAAACAATGAAATTCTCATGACGTTTCGACTGCAACACAAGCAATCATCATCAGGTGTGAAAACCACAACAAGAGAATTTGGTTTTCACACCTGATGATGATTGCTTGTGTTGCAGTCGAAACGTCGTGATAATTTTATTGTTTTAGATTTTTTATCATTTTATTGTTTCCCTTCTACGTGACTTTACCGAAAGAACCAAGAATATGAATCCCTGCAGTCGCGAAAGCTTTAAATCAAAACCCTCGGTTGGAGTCCGGCGTCCCGGCCGCACCGCGAGTCTCGCCCGGGTGTGGCGCGTGCGAGCGGGATTCCTCCGTTCCACTGCGACTCGAGCAACCGGGGGAGGGTTGCCACCCCAGCGTGGAGTGTATCAGAAGGTGGGGGGTGGGGGGGCGGGGGTGGGGGCGGGTTCCCTAAGCTAAAGAGCCGCGCTATGATGAGCGCGGTTGGCTACGTACGGTGGCGAAACAAGTTCGACTTACGTGTGTTACGTCCCGCGACGATTCGTTTCGCTACGCGCGATCGCCGCTCCCCCCCCCCCCCCCCCCCACCACCAACCCGGAGCGCGCATCGCTCTGATCGTCGGTTCTCCCTCGGCAATGTTTTCAAAGCCTCGTGTCTTTATAGCCGAGCAAAAATGTCTCGTTGCTTATTGGTCTCCCGTCCGTGCAATTTCAATAATAACCTTTGTAAAAGCTCTTGTTAAATTGTTTTCTCTGTTTGGTCCCAAGCGAACGTCGGGTCTAACCCTAAACCACAGCCCCTAAACCTAACTCCGATCTCAAAGCCTAACCCCTGGCCTCATTGCAAGTCTTAACCCCTATCTGTAATGTCTCTCTGCTACTCCCTACTCTTACCCCCTCCGATTAGCACGGCTGGCTACGTTCGGTGTGAAAGAAGTTCAACGTACACACATCCCGAATGCCTGACCCTCAATCCTATCCCTAATACCGAACCTGTAACCCTATCCCTAACCCCTACCCGTGATGTGTAACCAGTAACAAAACTATCTGTTTCTGCACCTGAGGACGGCTGCTTGCGTTGTGGCCGAAACGTCGTGAGAATTTTATTTTATTATTTTTAATTTTCATTATTTTATTATTTCCCCTCTACGTGACTTTACCGAAAGAACCAAGAAGATGTATCCCTAAACCCTGTCTCTTAGACATAACCAGAAGCCCTTAAACCACGTCCCCCATAACCCCAAGGATACAGGTGAAAATGAATGAGGTGCAGTGCCCCCCAAATATTTATATATCTATTCGGGGGGCACCGGTACCCCGGTGAACGGTCAGCTGGTCGGTCTCCCATCAACTGGATTCCCCGTGGTTGGTTGGGCAAAACAGCCCGCTGATCTCGCTGCCGCTCACCCCGCTGATCTTGGCGAACGGTTAAGCTGGTTGCTCGGTCAGTTTTCGTTTGGCGATGCAGTTGCCGGTTAAAAAGACGCAGCAACGCTCGCCATGGCGACGCTGCGGTGACATCGCCGTGCGGCGACGGCGTCGCTCCACCGGAACCTTAGAGGCTTTTTATTTTCACTTCTCGTTGAATTAAATTGCAAACTCGTCGCCGTACAGCCTCCGGAACGCAGCCTGGGCTTGCGTAGCTACAAGGTAAGCGCCGTCCGGAGTGGTGTGGCGTTCCTACTACAGCTATCATCGTCATGACAATCATTACACAAGCGGAAAAAAAAAAACCTGGACTGCTCCCGAGAAAACCTCTTACAGATTTCCTTACCCCTCCCCGCCACCCCCCTCCCCCCACCACCACGGGTCGACGTCTACCTCCTCACACCTGGATACAGGCGGCAACGCTCCCCCCCCCCCCCCCCCCCCCCGGTCGGCCTGCGGCCCCGGTGAGTCGGTGCGCCTTGTCGGCCATCGCTGCTCGACTTTACGGTGATCTCTCGGCCGTTGCGCCGTACAAATAACCCGGCGCCGCTCCGGGTCGCCCGTCCGGCGTGCGCCGGGGTCTCCCCGCCACGGCCGCTGCCGCCCGCTTGTTTAGGCGATCTGATTGGTCGGCTTCTTGACCCGGAAGTAGAGCTTGCGGGTCAGCATGGACAGGAAGCAGGGCACCTGCTTCTTGCCCAGCGATTTGATGTCGTTGGAGCGGTCCACGCAGCGCGCGGCCACCATGCGGTTGACGAGCGTCAGCAGCTCCAGCAGCTCGAGCTCCGAGCCGTGGCGCTCCAGCGCCGTCACCAGGTCCTGGATGTACCACGAGCCGTTCACCGTCTCGCGGTGAGAGTAGTAGCCTGCCGCGGGGCGGGCGAGCGAGAGAGAGAGAGAGTCATGGAAAGACAGAGAGATAGAGACTCGCGGAGAGACAGAGAGGGAGGAGTTGTGGAGGGACTGCGGGTGGTCATTGATATTATCACCATCATTGTCATGTTCTTGGTTCTTTCGGTAAAGTCACGTAGAAGGGAAACAATAAAATAATAAAAATATATTGTTTTATATTTTTATTATTTTATTGTTTCCCTTCTACGTGGTGACTTTACCGAAAGAACCAACAATATGAATCCCTGCAGTCACGAAAGCTTTAAATCATCAATGTCATGGTCATCATGTGTTTCATCTTCATTATGGTCATCACTACCACCATCACTGTCACCATCACTATCACCAGCACGAGCACAATCACCATCAACATCACCACGACCACCATCACGACCACCATCACCGCCACCATCACCGCCGCCACCACCCTCACGCACCTTCGGCCACGGAGTAGCAGAGCAGGAAGTCCGCTGCGGAGGGCAGCGTGGGGGCGATGCCGGCGTCGGCCACCACCACGTTCTCCTCGGGTACCAGGTGGTGGTCCACCGCGTCCGTCTCCACCAGCACCGGCTCATCGTGCTTGTCCCCGCGGCACGCCTGCACACGGACGCCCGCACGCGTACGCAAGTGTACGCACGTCACACGCGTACGCAAGCACGTGTGCACGCGTACGCTCGCCACACGTGTATGCACGCCACACACGTGTACGCATGCCACACACGTGTCCGCACCTGGAAGATGAAGATCTTGGGCTTGCCGACGAGCGAGGGGCACTCTGTGCCGCGGAACTGCTCCAGGATGTCGTTGGTTTTGACGAGGCCGTCCTTGGTGTAGAGCGTGCCGGGCTCGCCGTGCGTGAACACCGCGCACACGAAGCAGTCAAAGCCCGAATGGTCCGCCTTGGCAGCTGGCGCGGGCGGGCACGAGGATGCGCATGGGTACAGGGGGGCATGGGCACGCGGACACGTGGGCACGCGGACACGTGGGCACGTGAGCACGTGGGCACGCGGGCACGCGGGCACGTGGGCACGCGGACACGTGGGCACGCGGACACGCGGACACGTGGGCACGCGGGCACGCGGACACGCCGGCACGTGGGCACGCGGACATGTGGGCACGCGGACACAGGCAAACGGACACGTGGCCACGCGGACATGCAGACACACCGCCAGATGCACGGAGAGACAGACGGACAGGCAGTTAAATGGACAGACAGAGGGGCAGGCAGTCTGTTCAATCAGACGAATGGACAGACAGACAGGGCAGATGGACCCAAGGAGAGACAGCCACGTGGAAAGACAGTCAGATGGATGGACAGATGGATGATGCGCAGATGGAGATATCCACGGGCAGACAGTCAAACACACTGTCGGACAGACACGTGGATTGGACGAAGAGAGAGAGACAGATGGAGGCGCGGACAAAAATCTAAGTCAGACGGATGGATGGAGAGAAAACAGACGGACGGGGATAGGGATGGACGGACACGTGGAAGGACGGACTTTACGAGTCAGGGATCTAGCGTGAGGGAGCAAGAGTACAGCTTGACGCTATCGAGAGAATTGGCCGCGGTGGCCTCTCGACCTATTAACCATCACCTATGAGAGCGGGGGGGGGGGGTGGTCAGAGAGCTCACCCTGAAGGATGACCTGGTGGAACTCCGTGGTGCAGATGTCTTTGTGGACGTGCACCGTGAACCCCAGATTACGCAGCCTGGACACAGCGAGGGTCAGGGGTCAAACACTCCGCACCAGTCCAGCACGTCAACCGCTCACGGTCAGTCGCGTCAATCAACGCAGCATGTCAACTAATCACGACATTGGGGGGGTGGTGAGGGGTGTGGGTGTGCTCGCCTGCACTCCAGGTTGATGGAGTCGGCCTGCGTGCCACGGCGCTGGTTCAGACGCAGGGTCCAGTGGAAGTTCTCGTGGTTGAAGATCAGCGCCAGCCCCCGAGATCCATGGTTCATGTTGTACTCCAGCTGAGGGTCCATAATGCTGCGTCACAGAGACAACACGGATGATTTATTTCGATATTATTACGAGTCCGCTCGATTACCCAGCACAGTTGCACTGCACGGAGCCTTTGTCAGGTTGGTGTGTGTGGGCGTATGTGTGTGGTGCGTTTGTGTGTGTGGGGAGCGGTAGTATAGCGGTTAGCGCGCTGCGCTACGAACCCAGTGGCCCGAGTTCGATTCCCGCTCACGGCCAACCACAACCTCGTGTACCATGTTGGCCTTCAAAGGTGCTACTTGCAAACAGCACTTGCCCCAAAAGTAGGTTGTAGGCTATACTGGGGATCTTTGTGTTTATTGTGGTATACACTGCCCGTAGAATGTGCCGGTCCAGGTGGTGCCGATCACCCACCGGACCGGTCGGACGAGTGGCAGGGATGAACATCCAGGAAAGCGGAAGCGGGGTTGTGCAACGCGCACATGTGCGTCTTTGTGTGGGTGTGCATGTGTGTTTGTCTTTGTTGGCGTGGATGTGAGCGTCTGTGGGCCTACGAGTGTGTGTGTGTACGTGACCGTATGTGGGGGAGTCGGGATCGGTAGTGTAGCGGTGAGCGTGCTGCGCTACTAGCTCGATTCCCGCTCACGGCCGACACCAGTGACGATTATCTGAACCCGTCCTGGGCCCCTCCTAGTTTGACTCAGCCTCAAATGAGTACCTGGTGCGGTGTAAACATCGTCGCTGGGGAGACAAAGGCGGCCGGACGTAGTCCTGGTCACCCACCCAATCGTGTGCCGTGCCGGTCATCATAGGTGCTCGCTAACATCACTTACCCCAACAGTTCGTTAAGGCTATACGGGGAATCTTTGTCTTTGTGTAGTGACATAATGGGTCACTACGGCGTCTAGCGCCAGTTACCGTACTGATAGAGAGGGGAACTGGGAGTGTAGTAGCACGGTACGTTATGCCATGGAAAGGGTCCCTCGGGGAGCCTGGATCTGGTGGCTGGCAGAGAGGGGGCATCTGAGGATGTAGCAGCCCGGTTGGCTGGCAAGGGCACGTGACAGGACAGGGTAAGGATGTGGGCCAAAGGGACACGTGGTGTTGGGCCCAGAACCTTCTGGTGAGTTCCAGAAGGGGGCGTGGCCGAGGGCGGAACCAGGCCACGCTGGGGGACTGGAATGGAACCCTCGGTTTCCGGTCTTCCTGCTCGGCATTGTGGGTCAGGCAGTGTGCCGACTCACCTGACCCGTTTATATAGTTACCCCGTGGTGGTTACCGGTTATGTAGTTATCCCGTTGTGGTTACTGGTTATGTAGTTACCCCGTTGTGGTCGTAGAATAAACGCGTTGCCTCCTGAATTAGTGTCTCTCAAGTGAACCCACTACATTTGTATGTGGAGGAGTGGTGGCCCAGCGGTTAGCGTGCTGCGCCGCAAACTCCGCCACCCCAGTTCTAGTCTGGCTCCCGGCCAACACGAGCGACGATTATCTGAACCGGTTCCTAGGGCATCCCCTAGGTCGACTCGGCCTTAAATGAGGGCGTGATGCCGGGCATGTAAACATTAGCAAATTGTGGTTCTAGCCACACCACCCACTCGTGCGTTGTGGTGGCCTTGATAGGCGCTCGATAACAGCACTTGCCAACAATTTATAAAGCCTGCATACCAATGAGTGGTATGCAGTGCGTGGGAGTACAGGATAGGCGATGCTGGTTTGCCTGCTGCCTAATATTGAGCAATAATTTACTTTTAACTCACATGAGTCCAAAGTACTGTATCGTAAAAGTAAATGTATTGTTGAGTCTCTCAGCATATTGGACCAAACGTTAAGCGAGCAGCCAACTCTTGGGCCGGTTTCGAATTTCTGGGCCACATCAGCTGCAGCGGCGGCGGCGGCGGCGGTCTGGCTTTCATTATCCGGGGACGTTGTTGGCACGGGTGTGCATGGATCGTTCCGTTCGGTGGGGATAAAACGCCATACAGCCGGAATTCACCATATCGTGGTCATAATCATCACCACCGTCATCACCAGATGGGTATTTTTTTTCATTAATTCATCCATCGCACATAGTCAGCGCAAGGACCGTTGCACCAAAAACAAAACAAAAACCCTCTTGCGACGGCATTTGTGTAAAAAAAAAAAACTGCTGATGCTGCCGTACACCAGCATCTTAAAAAAAAAACACAATGCAACATTTCTCATACAGCAAACCTCCACTGGTTGTCAACCTCCCACGCCCCGCCAGTGGTCGACCATCAACTGAATGGGGACCGAGGGGGCACGAGGCGGCACGTGGCCGACGCGACCGCCCGATAACGCAGATGGCACCCGTCAAAGCATTTGGCGGACCCGCAAAACCCAAAACCATCATCGACTGCCATCGAACACGAATACCAAAACCATCGACCCACGCCGTAATCACTCCCGCCGCCGCCGCCGCCGGCTTCTTCATTCCTTTAAAGGAGGAATTAACTGTTGATCCGCTCTCGCTTCCGAACAGAAAAACCGAGTTGGATAACAACATCTAAAATTGCATCTTTTAATCTGCCGCGATGAATCTCTACGAAAGAACGAAGTCTGGCCGGCATCTTGAGTGATTTGTTTGAACCAAGGATCACGGATCCGGGGCGGGGGGGGGGGGTGGGGGGAGGGAGGTCGCGATCCACACTGGCGGACGCCGACCGTCAACTGAAGTTGCGCAACTTTTGCCGGCGTTTTCGCAACACGACGGTGGGCGACCGTGAGGTTCCGCAGGGCGAGGGCCAACTCCGTCGGACGCGGCCCGTCTCCCCCTCTCGAACCGAGCTCTCCATCGCTCGGGCGGGACAGGTCGCAGATGCGACAGACAGGTGGCGACATGAAAAGACGAAGCCGAAACCCATATAACAATAGGTTTAACCCTTTCTTGGAAATAAAACAGTTTCGATTTAAAGCTTTCGTGACTGCAAGGATTCATCTTCTTTGGTTCTTTCGGTAAGGTCACGCAGAATGAGAATAAAATAATAAAATTAAACAATAAAATTCTCACGACGTTTCGGCCACAACACAAGTGGCCTTCTTCAGGTGAAAGGAACAAACCTGTCGGGACGACAGAGCTACAATGTCGTCCCGACAGGTTACTTTCACCTGAAGAAGGCCACTTTCACCTGAAGAAGGCCACTTGTGTTGTGGCCGAAACGTCGTGAGAATTTTATTGTTTTATTTTATTATTTTATTCTCATTCTACGTGATTTTACCGAAAGAACCAAAGAAAATAAAACAGTTGTTAAGATGTTAAAACACCAGACAGAATCCACGCGTACTGCATTAACGCCTTCTGGCGTCCTCTGGTCTAACACTGTTTGAGACTAGGCTCTAAAGAAAGCTGTCTCTGGTGTGGACCAATCAGTTGTAAAGACGATGCATCATATTATCAGCGCATGTGTTTTGTTTGCATGTTCACTGCAAGCACCGTGTGTGGTTAATGTAGGCATGATTCTTTGAACAAAAAAATATTGTTTGGTGTTTGAGCATCTTAACACAACTGTTTTTTTTTTGCCAGAAAGGGGTAAGACCTATTGTTATATTTTGATACTGGCAAGAAAGGTCCCTATATTGAAGTCGAACCCCATCGGTATGCCAAGAAGGTGCCTTCTTTGGGCATCGCACGTGGAACGACCGGCAGCCGATATCCAAATCGGCTTGGTAGCAATGCGTAAAGCGTGAAGGCGAAAGTGGCAGAGACACGGTGAGCAATAATGCCGACTCCATCACCACCAGCATCACCACCACCAGCATCACCAGCACCACCAGCATCACCACCACCAGCACCACCAGCACCACCACCAGCAGCATCACCACCACCAGCATCACCACCACCAGCACCACCAGCATCACCACCACCAACACCACCCTCCCCCCCTCTCTCCCACACCCTGGTGCCATGCCCCGCTCCCTGCCAAGGGAACCGCCACTGCGTGGGCGAGTGGAGGAGTGGGCTGTACCACTTCACTCAGGTGGACGGGGAGGAGCTAACCACTGGCGCCACCGCTCCCCCCCCCTCTCTCCCACACCCTGGTGCCATGACCCCGCTCCCTGCCAAGGGAACCGCCACTGCGTTGGCGAGTGGAGGAGTGGGCTGTACCACTTCACTCAGGTGGAAGGGGGGGGGGGTGTCAAAGGTTGGGCCGGACCATTTCCTAAAAAAAAAGGCGCAGCCCTGTGCGCCTCCATTCGAGGCCGTTCTAGAGAGCTCCTCTAAGTGAGAATTTGCAGGGGCTGTGCCTTTATCTTGTTTACGTGAAGTTAGAAACAAATTGGAAACAAACCCAATATTCGTCAGTACCACTGAGTTGTGACCTTAAAAGAAAAGGCATATGAGTCGACGTTTCAGACAATGGCCCTACGCGGCCCTACTTAACATTGAACGATAAAGGCGCAACCCTGCAAGTGCGCCAGCTCACGGCGCGCCCACTGCAACGTCTGGGCGAATGCGGCGAAGGGGTCGAGACAAACGAGAAACCATTCGAACGTCGGCACCCAAAAAAATGTTAAGCGAACAATCAAATTTTTTTTTTAAATCGCAACTTGACAATCCTGTGAATTCTTACGTTCCAAGTTTACATCCAGCGGCGCTGACATTAATAACGCCTCTTCGTTCCGTGTTTGTCTCGTCGCGTTTTAAAACGAGAGAATTGTGCACATCCCATCAGCACGCACGGCATTACGGGAAGCGCATCTCATCAGCAGCACTGGTTCAAGACTTGCACAAAGCAAAACTCTGGACAGGCTTCAACGTGCAAGTGTCTCATCGGCAGGGTCAGGCTCGCATGAAGCTAAGTAAGGACCGTGTTCTACTGTCGAGTAACACAGCACGGAATTACCATCGAGCCTGTGGAACATGCTAATGTACACACATGACATGCTAATTAACGTACTGTATACACATTAGACGTGTACAATGCTCATTAGCATACGAGTGAGGCATTCCTCCCACCCACAGTGTTGACGCCGCAGGGCGTCTCGGGAGAATTGGGGGGGGGATGGGGGAGGATAGTGGGGGGGGGGATAGTGGGGGGTAGTGGGGGGGAGATGGTGGGGGGGGGGATGGTGGGGGGATGATGGGGGGGGATGATGGGGGGGGATGATGGGGGGGGGGATGATGGGGGGAAGATGGGGGGGGGATGATGGGGGGGGATGGGGGAGGGGTGGGGGTGGGGAAGGGATGCGGGGGGGAGGGGTGGGGGTGGGATGCGGGGGGGAGGGATGCGGGGGGGAGGGATGCGGGGGGGAGGGGTGGGGGAGGGATGCGGGGGGGGAGGGGTGGGGGTGGGATGCGGGGGGGAGGGATGGGGGTGGGATGCGGGGGGGAGGGGTGGGGGTGGGATGCGGGGGGGGGATGCGGGGAGGGGGCTCAGGTAGACTTACCTGTTTGAGTCGACTTCGTTAACGTTGGCGGCGTCTGTAAGGGAGCACAGAGACAGTGGGGAATGTTATCCGGCAGGCGCGGCCACGTGGCTCCAACGGGGTTTGGCGATGATGATGATGGTGGTGATGATGGTGGTGGTGATGTTGACTTGAGCGGAGAGTCTTGCATTACAAGCGTCAGCGTTGCGATTTCACACAGTCGCAACACGCCACTCCACTGGGGTTCAGTGATGGTGATCGTAACTGGGGATGGTGATGATTGTGATGATGGTGGTGATGATAATGGTGGTGGTGGTGGTGATGATAATGGTGGTGATTAATGGTGGTTATGTTAATGGTGGTGACAACGGTCGTGGTGATGGTGATGCTAATTTGTAGTGATGATAACGTTTGTGGTGACGGTGGTAGTGATGATGGTGGTAGTGATGTTGATGATGGGTGGTTGTGATGGTGGTAGTGAATTTGATGATGACGGTGGTAGTGATGTTGATGATGGGTGGTAGTGATGTTGATGATAGTGGTAGTGACGGTGATAATGTTGGTATTGATGTTGATGATGGTGGTTGTGATGGTGGTAGTGATGTTGATGGTGATGATGATGGTAGTGATGATGTTGATGGTGATGATGTTGGTAGTGATGGTGATGATGTTGGTAGTGATGTTGATGATGGGTGGATGTGATGGTGGTAGTGATGTTGATGGTGATGATGATGGTAGTGATGATGTTGATGGTGATGATGTTGATGGTGATGATGTTGATAGTGATGATGTTGGTAGTGATGATAGTAGTGATGGTGATGATGGTGGTAGTGATGTTGATTGGTGGTAGTGATTATGTTGATGGTGGTAGTGATGATGTTGATGGTGATGGTGGTAGTGATGATGTTGATGATGTTGGTAGTGATGTTGATGATAGTGGTAGTGATGTTGATGATGATAGTGGTAGTGATGGTGATGATGGTGGTAGTGATGTTGTTGATGATGGTAGTGGTAGTGATGGTGATGATGGTGGTAGTGATGATGGTGATGATAGTGATGTTGATGATAGTGGTAGTGACGGTGATGGTGATGATGGTGGTTGTGATGGTGATGAAAGTGGTAGTGATGGTGATGATGTTGGTAGTGATGATGTTGATGTTAGTGGTAGTGATGATGGTGGTTGTGATAATGTTGATGATGGTAGTGGTAGTGATGATGGTGGTAGTGATGTTGATAGTGGTAGTGATGGTGGTAGTGATGATGTTGATGGTGATGATGTTGGTAGTGATGATAGTGGTAGTGATGTTGATGATGATAGTGGTAGTGACGGTGATGATGGTGGTAGTGATGATGATAGTGGTAGTGATGATGGTGGTAGTGATGGTGATGATGGTGGTAGTGATGATGTTGATGATGGTAGTGGTAGTGATGGTGATGATGGTGGTAGTGATGTTGTTGATGATGGTAGTGGTAGTGATGGTGATGATGGTGGTAGTGATGGTGATGATGATGGTAGTGATGTTGTTGATGATAGTGGTAGTGATGTTGTTGATGATAGTGGTAGTGATGTTGTTGATGATGGTGGTAGTGATGATGTTGATTGATAGTGGTAGTGATGATGGTGGTAGTGATGGTAGTGATGTTTTTGATGATAGTGGTAGTGATGATGATGATGATAGTGGTAGTGATGATGATGATAGTGGTAGTGATGATGATGGTGGTAGTGATGATGTTGATGATAGTGGTAGTGATGGTGATGATGGTAGTGATGTTGTTGATGATAGTGGTAGTGATGTTGTTGATGATAGTGGTAGTGATGATGATGATAGTGGTAGTGATGGTGATGATGGTGGCAGTGATGGTGATGATGGTAGTGATGTTGTTGATGATAGTGGTAGTGATGATGATGATGATAGTGGTAGTGATGGTGATGATAGTGGTAGTGATGAAGATGATGGTGGTAGTGATGGTGATGATGGTAGTGATGTTGTTGATGATAGTGGTAGTGATGATGATGATAGTGGTAGTGATGGTGATGATGGTGGTAGTGATGATGTTGATGATAGTGGTAGTGATGGTGATGATGGTAGTGATGTTGTTGATGATAGTGGTAGTGATGATGATGATGATAGTGGTAGTGATGGTGATGATGGTGGTAGTGATGATGTTGATAGTGATGATGTTGATTGATAGTGGTAGTGATGATGGTGGTAGTGATGGTGATGATGATGGTAGTGATGTTGTTGATGATAGTGGTAGTGATGATGATGATAGTGGTAGTGATGGTTATGATGGTGGTAGTGATGATGTTGATGATGGTGGTAGTGATGATGTTGATGATGATAGTGGTAGTGATGGTGATGATGGTGGTAGTGATGGTGATGATGGTAGTGATGTTGATGATGGTAGTGATGTTGATGATGGTAATGATGTTGATGATGGTAGTGATGTTGATAGTGGTAGTGATGGTGATGATAGTAGTAGTGATGATATTGATGATGTGGTAGTGATGGTGATGATGATGGTAGTGATGTTGATGATGATAGTGGTAGTGATGGTGATGATGATAGTGGTAGTGATGATGTTGTTGATGGTAGTGGTAGTGATGGTGATGATGGTGGTAGTGATGATGTTGATGATGATAGTGATAGTGATGATGGTGGTAGTGATGGTGATGATGATGGTAGTGATTTAAAGCTTTCGTGACTGCAGTAATTCATATTCTTAGCTCTTTCGGTAAAGTCCACGTTGAAGGGAAACAATAATATAATAAAATATATATAAAACAATAAAAATTCTCACCATCGTTTGTGTTATGGTCGAAACGTCGTGAGAATGTTTACTGTTTTATATATATTTTATTATTTTATTGTTTCCCTTCAACGTGACTTTACCGAAAGAGCTAAGAATTTGAATAAAGATGGTAGTGATGTTGATGATGATAGTGGTAGTGACGGTGATGATGGTGGTAGTGATGGTGATGATGATGTGGTAGTGATGGTGATGATGGTGGTAGTGATGATGTTGATGATGTGGTAGTGATGGTGATTATGGTGGCAGTGATGTTGATGATGATAGTGGTAGTGACGGTGATGATGGTGGTAGTGATGATGTTGATGATGGTAGTGATGTTGTTGATGATGGTGGTAGTGATGATGATAGTGGTAGTGACGGTGATGATGGTGGTAGTGATGATGTTGATGATGGTGGTAGTGATGGTGATGATGGTGGTAGTGATGATGTTGATGATTATAGTGGTAGTGACGGTGATGATGGTGGTAGTGATGTTTATGATGGTAGTGATGGTGATGATGGTGGTAGTGATGATGTTGATGATGGTGATAGTGATGGTGATGATGGTGGCAGTGATGATGTTGATGATGATAGTGGTAGTGATGATGGTGGTAGTGATGATGGTAGTGATGATGATGGTAGTGGTAGTGATGATGGTAGTGATGGTGATGATGGTAGTGGTAGTGATGATGGTAGTGATGATGATGGTAGTGATGGTGATGATGACGATGATGGTAGTGATGATGATGGTAGTGATGGTGATGATGATGGTAGTGATGTTGATGGTAATGATGGTGATGATGATGGAAGTGATGTTGATGGTAATGATGGTGATGATGATGGAAGTGATGTTGATGGTAATGATGGTGATGATGATGGAAGTGATGTTCAGCGGATCGTGAGACAGCCACGCGCGCCACCTCACCTGCCCAGGTGCTCGCGGCGTCGCCTCGAGACTCACCTCTCAGTCACGTGATCAACAACAAACATGCCCTTCGCTCGGTTTCGCTTTGTTACCACCCACAGAGGCTTCGTCCATTTCCTCAATGGTGAGTGTGGGCGTGGGGAGGGGGAGTTGCGGAGAGGATGAGGTGGTGGGTGGGTGGGTGGGTTGCGTTTCCTGGTGGGTGCTGGCGGGTCTGGTTGGTTCTGGGGTCGAGGTTTGTTTGGTTCCGTTGACCCGGGGTCAACGAAGCCCGCATGCCCAGCCACCGGATTCCCCGCACGGGTTCTGTTTGGCCAGCCTAGAGGAGGCTCAACGGGCGGTGGTGGCGGCTGCGCACGGGGCTGGAGAAGAGACGGAGTGAAGTGGAGGCGAGTGGACTTGCCGAAGAGCGGTACCAGCGGTGTCAAGATTGGCCTCTGGAGGAGGAGGCTCGTGAAGGACGCTGCTGCTGCTGCTACTGGGCAGTTGGAGACAATCGCCCTCCAGCAACAACGGAGGACAGAGGAGCGATGCTCACAACAACGGACGCGACAGCCGTGCGGTTTAAAACGCAGAAATGTATCTCAGTCGGTCGACCTATGACATCTGGGTCTGCCCTGTGACCTCCTGCAAGCAGCCAGCCTTCAGCACTTCGCATGGCCTCAAAAGTACACCTAGCCTGGCACAAGCGCTGTTGTGACGTCATCGCCACTCAATGGCGAATGTCGGTTGTTGTTTATGGTGGTAATGTTGAGTGTGGTCATGCGGGGGGGGGGGGGGGGGAGTTTGACAGAGGGAGATAGCCCGCGCCGTCTCCCTCCCACGTCTCCACTCACCTGCCAAGACTCCTGTGTCCGCGTGATCTCCAGGTGACGAGACGTCTGCTGCGCCTGCGGCACAGGGGGGGGGGGGGGCACTGTGGAGGTGCCACGTGGCAGAGGAGGGAGGGGGTTGGGGGGGAATCCGACGCGCCCCCTACCACCCCCCCCCCCAATCGAAATAAATTCTCCTCCGCGTAGCCTACACAAGTACTGTGTGTGGTTAATGCAGACAGGATTCCATGCAAAAGGTTTCAGTTTGGTATTTTGACATCTTAACACAAACTGTCTTATTGCCAGAAAGGGTGAAAAAAAACCTATTACATTTTGATATTGGCAATGGAGGTCCCATGATGTGGATGCTCACCCCGAGCTCTCAATGTCCTAATAGTGGCATTGTCTTTGTGCTGTTCGCCTTTTGGCGTCCTCTGGTCTAACGCCGTTTGAGACGAGGCTCTCAAGAAAGCCGTCTCTGGTGTGGACCAATCAGTTTCGAAGACGATGCATTATCATATACTACCAGAGCGTGTGTTTTGAATGCATGCTCACCACAAAGTGTGTGTGGTTAATGCAGACACGATTCCTTGCAAAATAATTCAACTTGGTGTTTTAACATTTCAACACAACTGTTTTATAGCCAGAAAGGGTAAAACCTATTCATATACCGGCCACCTTGGTTCGATTCCCGGCCATGGCAAACATCAGTGGCGAGTATCCAAACCAGTTCTTGGCCTTTACTAGGTCGACTCAACCTTAAGTGAGAACCCGGGTGCAGTGTGTGTAACCATCAGCACTGGTGAGACAAAGGTGGCCGAGCGTTGTGCTGGCCACCCACCCTCGTGCTCCGTACGGGCCTTAATTGGTGCTGCTCGCTAACGGCACTTGCCCCAACAGGTCTGCTCAGGACATTACGGGGGAGCTTTGTCTTTGTGCTGTGGTGGTGGTGGTGGTGGTAATAGTGCTCGTGGTTACCAGATGTCCTTAAGGGCAGTGGTTAAATACGGGGTGCTTTAAAAAAAATGTTAACGCTTCTGAGAATTTGCAACAACACTACGTGACATGTGCTTCTCCCTCCGGGCTCAGGAGGCCCCATGGAGGAGATTCCAGACAACGATGGCGAACACGTGGAGACTTTTTGAAGCTATTGCCATGCATTTGTTATCACGTTACAGTGTATTATCCGTTATTTTTACATTAAAAACGATAGTCCCATATAAGTGTGAAATATTTTTTTAAGCACCCTGTATATGGCACAATACAGTACGGTTGTTGTGTATAGGCGCACTGTAATATAAATAGACAATGCATATTTCATGCATCTCTCCGGGAAACAAAAATAGTACAACGTTATATAATACATGACACACAAGTTATGTGTATTAATTAAATACGTTTGCGTTCAACTAGCACCCCTATCTTCAAGGGAGGCGGAGGCTCTTTGGCGAAACATATTTGGGACATCACCAGCGTTGATTCAAACGAGTGACTGCAGATGAGGCACTGAATGTCGAAACCGGGATATAATTTGTTTTGCTTGCGTCGAAGCAACTCTGCTGCAACGATGCACTTGCAGAGAAGGCTGTGCGGCTGACGGGATGTGTACAACATAAATATATACATACTCTTTTTTATTTAAAGCTTTCGTGACTGGAGGGATTCATATTCTTGGTTCTTTCGGTAAAGTCACGTAGAAGTGAAACAATAAAATAATAAAAATATATGTTTTACTTTATTGTTTCCCTTCTACGTGACTTTACCGAAAGAACCAAGAATATATATACATACTCGTTTGTTTTTATTTACGTGGAGACACCGGTGTATGAAGGAGCTGTGGTTAGTATCTCCATAGCGACTACTCTTAAGGGTTCATGGCAGTGGTTCTGAACTTGGGGGGTAAGTGGCAATGTCCCAGTGGTGGTTGTGGCTGGGGGGGGGGGGTAACGTTCAGGTGGTCAATGAAATGTGTGAAATTATATCGGTGAATAGTCACGTGCGAGTCTGCCAATATGAAATAACTACGATAGCAAGTTGACTCCGTATGGTGACCTGGAGCAATCTAAAATACCTTTCTGAACTCATTGGCCGTAAACATTGCGGGTTTCCAAGCGCGTGCAGTTACCAGCGAGTTTGGATGTCTCACGAAATGGGCAAACGGTTCCAAAAGTATTGACGCTCATTATTCGCACATTTCTTTATCAGAACTAAGTTGTGGTCAGGCAAGGGGTGGGGAGACTTGGTTGAAACAAAATCCAACAAGAAAATAACGTGTGAGGAATAAACGTCTGTCGACTCGACACAGACAATATAATGCTGGATGGGCACTGCCTCATGCCGTGCCAGTCGTGGGGGTAAGGGGCGGGGGGGTGGTTTGACCATACTTCACCACGCCGGTTCGTGTTGAAGGTGGGAAGGTGCACTGCATAGACGTGGATACAAATCACATTTGCAAATGTGATTTGTAAGTTTGATCCTTACCCGTGTATCGATAGCTCAGTTTTAATGTGCAACCGAATCGAGTGACTCCGTGCGTTGTTGTTGTTGTCTTGGTGTGGTCTGGGACGAGTCTCGTTGCTGCTTTGCTGCATTGCTCCACGCTTGCATTTAGTGTTGGAAAATCGTCAGGGATGTTTGCACTTATGCAATGTCTACTTTTATTTATTTAGCGACTTGCCAATCGTTGCCTCGATTTTGCATTCCCATCGTGTTTGTTGCTGTTGTCGTTGTATTCTTTGCCGTTGCAACTTTGCTGAACGCGTGCCCCGACTGGACGTCTGTGAAACAAAGCGCTTCACGGCTCATCTGATTCCTCCTGCACAGTTTAAAATGAAGAAGATTCTCATTCCTGTGCAGCAACACAACGGTTCGTGTTGTTGTGATGCCCTCTACTGCCCAAAGCGCTTAACGTCCGGCGCACGAGAGAACACGACTCCAAACGCGACATCGGTGTTTAACGTGACCCCCATCGATGTTTAACGTGCCCCCCATCGGTGTTTAACGTGACCCCCCATCGGTGTTTAACGTGACCCCCCATCGGTGTTTAACGTGACCCCCCATCGGTGTTTAACGTGACCCCCATCGATGTTTAACGTGACCCCCCATCGGTGTTTAACGTGACCCCCATCGATGTTTAACGTGACCCCCATCGGTGTTTAACGTGACCCCCCATCGGTGTTTAACGTGACCCCCCATCGGTGTTTAACGTGACCCCCCATCGGTGTTTAACGTGACCCCCCATCGGTGTTTAACGTGACCCCCATCGATGTTTAACGTGACCCCCCATCGGTGTTTAACGTGACCCCCATCGATGTTTAACGTGACCCCCATCGGTGTTTAACGTGACCCCCCATCGGTGTTTAACGTGACCCCCATCGGTGTTTAACGTGACCCCCATCGGTGTTTAACGTGACCCCCCATCGGTGTTTAACGTGACCCCCATCGATGTTTAACGTGCCCCCCATCGGTGTTTAACGTGACCCCCATCGGTGTTTAACGTGCCCCCCATCGATGTTTAACGTGACCCCCATCGGTGTTTAACGTGCTCCCCCCCCCCCCCATACTCAATAATTATCGTTCATGCGATTGTGCAAAAAAATAAGAATTAAAGGTCGTGGCAAGTGGAGGAATATACAAAGCGGCTTGGTCTGTGACACGTGCACCACGGGAGGGCGAGAGGAGAGACGCGGAGAGAGTGGACGAGGAGGGGGTTGGAGTAAGAGACCGGAACGCGAGAGAGAAGGGGATGGAGGCCGGGACGGAAGTCCCTCGAGACGGACAAAGAACGGGAGGAGGAAGTGGAAGTCACGGCTCAAGATGCAGACGCGTCTGCTCAAGATACAAACGTGTCTGCTCAAGATGCAGACGTGTCTGCTCAAGATGCAAACGTGTCTGCTCAAGATGCAGACTTGTCTGCTCAAGATGCAAACGTGTCTGCTCAAGATGCGGACGCGTCTGTTCAAGATACGGACGCGTCTGCTAAAGATACAGACTTGTCTGCTCAAGATACAGACTTGTCTGCTCAAGATGCGGACGTGTCTGCTCAAGATGCGGACGTGTCTGCTCAAGATGCGGACGTGTCTGCTCAAGATGCGGACGTGTCTGCTCAAGATGCGGACGTGTCTGCTCAAGATGCGGACGCGTCTGCTCAAGATGCGGACTTGTCTGCTCAAGATGCAGACGCGTCTGCTTAAGATACAAACGTGTCTGCTCAAGATACAGACTTGTCTGTTCAAGATGCAGACGTGTCTGCTCAAGATGCAGACGTGTCTGCTCAAGATGCAGACGTGTCTGCTCAAGATGCGGACGTGTCTGCTCAAGATACAAACGTGTCTGCTCAAGATGCAGACGTGTCTGCTCAAGATACAAACGTGTCTGCTCAAGATGCAGACGTGTCTGCTCAAGATACAAACGTGTCTGCTCAAGATGCAGACGTGCGGGAAGGTGGGAGTGGAGGGAGAAGGAATGACCGCGCCAAGATCTCGGGGAGGATGATGAGAGGGTGGAGACGATGATGATGACGATGAGAGGGGAAGAGAGGGAGATGAGAGGAGAAGAAGCAGCGTCTGTTGTCACAGCGGGGTTGGCGGGTGAGAAGAGCGATTCCGAGTGGAGGTGGCCACAAGGAAATCGCGTGATTAACGGGAGCCTTGAGCTGATTTGGACATTCAGTAGGGAATAGATGATGTACGTATGTTGAACTTGTTTCGCACCATACGTAGCTAACGGTGCTAATCGGAGGCGCGGGATGATGAATACACGCCGCCATATTGAGCGGGGCGGCCTGCTGGGGTCGAACCGCGAATCTCTGCAAGTAGCTGCGAAGCGCTCAACCGCTGGGCCGTGGGTTTTTTTTAATTTGAAGTCCATCAAAGCAGAAAAAACCGATATGAAAAATTGTGAAATTAAATAACGAAGTTAATGAAAAAACTGATATCGCGATAATCTTCGCACTGTCGTCGCATTTGGAGGTTGTCTCGTATCGCGGAAATGATACCCAGAGCTCAGGAGCCGCGATGGGGCTGGGCAGGGCGTTGGTGAACGACCGGCCCACCCACTCACTCACCACTTCAACACAAATCTCAGCCGTGACACAAGAATGGGTGTCATAAAACCTGCCAAACAAATGCCTCGTTACCCCCCGCCCCACCAACACACACAACAGCAGCCCACCCCCACGCCTGGTTTCAACCTCCACAGGAAGGAGTGGTCCACCCTCAACAGGTTCAGAACTGCTCACGGCCCATGCCTCGCCACCCTCCACCGACGGGGCGATAAGAGCGAGCGAGTGAGCGAGCCGCGCGCGATACGGCACCAGTCGGGTGCAGGAAGCCATGCGCCAACATCCGAGAAGTCTGCCCGACCCGACTCACCATCAACGCAGCGGGAACGGAAGCAACCGCTTGGCTTTGGGGACTTTGCATTCGCTAAATGAATCATTGTCACGCAAGAAAAAATATCTCGAATCGACGCAACGTCTGAACACACGCGCACACACGAAAACACAGCGGAGCGTTTGTAGAATGTTGATGTTCTTCGTGACACTACGAAAAAAGATTCCGCATTTTTGCGACAGACAAAAATGCTCGGCTCCTTTGTCTGTTCACTGCTGGATTAAGGCCTCCCCAGGCTAGGGGTTTGTTCACGGTGGCTGTTTGACCATACTTCACCACGACGGTCAATGATGTTAGCCGTGGCCTGGAATCCAACTAACCGTCAGAATGATCATTATTAGACCGCCCTAGCCGCCCATCATCACCATCATCACTCCGAGGTCAATAAAACGGTACCACTTTGTGGTAAGTCAGCAGTGCTTCGTGTTATGGATAAACCCCCCCCCCACCCCGTCATAGGAATGTGGAATTGGCATTCCTGGCTCAGGGCTGTTTTACGTCCCACCACCCCATCTGTCACCTCAAGTCTGTGTCGAACAGCAATCAAATTCAAGACTATTTGTCGTGTTTGTTTAGCCGAAGTAATAATAATAGCAAGACTTTGACACGCAGCCTTTCGCGACCAATAAATATTATCCATCATAGAGGGGTTTTTGGGGGGAGTTAAATCGCGTAAATTTAAATGTGTCGGGTGATGGCGGATTTAACGACACATTAACGCGATCGAACCCTAACATTCCCCTCGATTATGGATAACGACACGGGTAACAGAGGCGAGAGAGTGACACGGAATCGCCGGGGCTTTCTCAAGAAGCAAACAAGAAACGGATACTGAAAAGGCAACAGCGGTGGAAGCGAGAATAGAAATGGGAGCTCTAAACACATTCGCGTCGTCGTCGTCTTCATCATCACGAGGAATCGAAAATATTGCACGAAAATAAAATCACCGCCCGAGTCGTTTTATGGTTATGTTTTGATTCGACTGATCGTCGTCGCTGTGGAGTTACAGAGACACGAAACGGATGAAGAGGGTGAAGATCGTGCTCGCTGTAAAACAGAGGCGATATGTCAATTGGACTATTGAGGCTATGGGACAATGTAAGTCTATGGGCTGTGTTAAGTTTATGGGAAATGTTAAGTTCATGGGCAATGTAAGTTTGTGAGCAATATGAGTCTATGGGCAATGTAAGTTTGTGAGCAATGTAAGTATGGGCAATGTACGTTCATGGGCAATGTTAGTCTATGGGCAATGTTAGTCTATGGGCAATGTAAGTCTATGGGCAATGTTAGTCTATGGGCAATGCTAGTCTATGGGCAATGTTAGTCTATGGGCAATGTACGTTCATGGGCAATGTTAGTCTATGGGCAATGTAAGTCTATGGGCAATGTAAGTCTATGGGCAATGTTAGTCTATGGGCAATGTTAGTCTATGGGCAATGTACGTTCATGGGCAATGTTAGTCTATGGGCAATGTAAGTCTATGGGCAATGTTAGTCTAGGGGCAATGTTAGTCTATGGGCAATGTACGTTCATGGGCAATGTTAGTCTATGGGCAATGTAAGTCTATGGGCAATGTTAGTCTATGGGCAATGTTAGTCTATGGGCAATGTTAGTCTATGGGCAATGTACGTTCATGGGTAATGTTAGTCTATGGGCAATGTAAGTCTATGGGCAATGTTAGTCTATGGGCAATGTTAGTCTATGGGCAATGTACGTTCATGGGCAATGTTAGTCTATGGGCAATGTAAGTCTATGGGCAATGTACGTTCATGGGCAATGTTAGTCTATGGGCAATGTAAGTCTATGGGCAATGTACGTTCATGGGCAATGTGAGTGCACCATATGGTGACTTGCAACTCGTATGTAAACAAACATCGACGTTTGCCAATTAGGCAATGTTAGTTTCCGTGAAATGTAAAAACAAAGGGAAATGCTAGTCTTAACTACCATGCCTTGACCATACTTCACCACGCTGGTCCGAGCGAGTCAGGGAGGGGAAGCCCCGGGTTAGGTTCACATACAGTATGTACAGTATACTCCACTAACTTTAGCCCTGAGCGGGAATCGAACTCGGGTGATCTGGTTGGTAGCGCATTGCGCTAACCACTGCACCACCACTCCACCCCTCAGCTTTGTTATTCCTGTGAATCTGCTGTAATCTCTCAGCTCCTCCCTCCCTCTCACTCTCCCACTCTTCCACTCTCTCGTTCTCACTCTTCCACTCACGGTCTCACTCTCCCACTCACTCTCCCACAATCTCTCCCGCACTCTCCCACTCTCTCACTCTCACGCTCTCACTCTCCCACTATCTCTCCCGCTCTCACCCTCTCACTCACGCTCTCTCTCACTCTCACGCTCTCACTCTCCCACTCTCTCACCCTCCCACTCTCTCACTATCTCACTCTCTCACTCTTCCACTCTCTCACTCTTCCACTCTCTCACTCTCCCACTCTCCCACTCACTCTCCCACTCTCTCACTCTCCCACTCTCTCACTCTCCCACTCACTCTCCCACTCTCTCACTCTCCCACTCTCTCACTACCCCACTCTCTCACTCTCCCACTATCTCTCCCGCTCTCACTCTCTCACTCTCCCACTCACGCTCTCTCTCACTCTCACGCTCTCACTCTCCCACTCTCTCACCCTCCCACGCTCTCACTATCTCACTCTCTCACTCTTCCACTCTCTCACTCTCCCACTCTCTCACTCTTCCACTCTCTCACTCTCCCACTCACTCTCCCACTATCTCACTACCCCACTCTCTCACTCTCCCACTATCTCTCCCGCTCTCACTCTCCCACGCACGCTCTCTCTCCCACTCTCTCACTCTATCTCTCCCGCACTCTCACTCTCTCACTCTCCCACTATCTCACTCTGCATCCCGCTCCCTCTCCACTCTCTCACTCTCCCACTCTCTCACTCACTCACTCTCCCACTCTCCCACTCTCTTGTTCCCACTCTCTCACTCTCCCACTCTCTTGTTCCCACTCTCTCACTCTCTCCCTCCCACTCTCACGCCCTTCGTACCGTCATCGAGCCTCTGCCTCTTCTTCACCTCTTCCGACTCCATGCCCCGGGTGGCTGGACAGCCGTGGAGCGAGCGGATGAAGCGCAACGGGGGTGGAGGAGGGTAGTGGTGGGGGGTTGGAGGGTGGTAGTGGTGGGGGGTTGGAGGGTGGTAGTGGTGGGGGGGTGATGTCCGATCTCTGCGTGGGACGCTGGGGGTAGGGAGGTTCGCGGTGCCACCACCTCTCTCACTCGGCTGATGGAGCTCGCGCGGTCTGAGACGGCGTGGCGAGAAATCTTACAACGAACCCCTGGCTGGTGCGGAGCTCTCCGAGCGAGCGAGGAGCCACCGAGCGAGCGAGGAGCGACCGAGGAGAAGTCTCTGGGAGGTCCCTCGAAGACTTCCGCGTCGCGCCCCGAGATTCTCAGGCGACGGTCAGCCTCCAGTGACGTCACCGGCTGCTCTCGCTTCAAAATCCGAGGGTCCCCGTGCCGTGCGGTGATGCAGGGAGTGGTGGGGGGAGGAGGGGGGGTACGTTGAGAGGGGGGGGGGGAATGGATGAGGGCGCTTGCATATCCCCCATTGAGGGGGCGAGGAGAGAAGGGAGAGCGAAAGACGAGAGGGGAGCGCGTGAGTGGGGGAGGCGTGAGGGTGCGACTCGGGGTGAGGAAGGAGGGAGTGAGGGGGGCATCACAGCCTGGTCCATCACCCCCCCCCCATCACAGCCTGGTCCATCACCCCCCCCCCATCACAACCTGGTCCATCACCCCCCCCCCCATCACAGCCTGGTCCATCAGCCCCCCCCCCCCCCATCACAGCCTGGTCCATCACCCCCCCCCCCCCCATCACAGCCTGGTCCATCAGCACCCCCCCATCACAGCCTGGTCCATCACCCCCCCCCCCCATCACAACCTGGTCCATCACCCCCCCCCCCCCCCATCACAGCCTGGTCCATCACCCCCCCCCCCCATCACAGCCTGGTCCATCAGCACCCCCCCCCCCATCACAACCTGGTCCATCAGCCCCCCCCCCATCACAACCTGGTCCATCAGCACCCCCCCCCATCACAACCTGGCCCATCAGCCCCCCCCATCACAACCTGGTCCATCAGCACCCCCCCCCATCACAACCTGGTTCATAACCCCCCCCCCCCCATCATAACCTGGTCCATCAGCACCCCCCATCACAACCTGGTCCATCAGCACCCCCCCCCCATCACAACCTGGTCCATCACCCCCCCCCCCCATCACAACCTGGTCCATCAGCACCCCCCATCACAGCCTGGTCCATCAGCACCCCCCCCCCCCCCATCACAACCTGGTCCATCACCCCCCCATCACAACCTGGTCCATCAGCACCCCCCCCCCCCATCACAACCTGGTCCATCAGCACCCCCCCCCCATCACAACCTGGTCCATCAGCACCCCCCCCCCTCACCACAACCTGGTCCATCAGCACCCCCCCCCCCCATCGCGTCTGGGACTTCAGCTCCGCGCGACTCTCAGCACAAAGGGGTTTCTTGTTTTTCGTGTTGTTGTTTTTTTATGGTCGTCCACTGGCCCCGTGAGGTTGGTGGTGGTGGTCGTTGTTGTTGTTTCTCGTTCGTGTTCCCCCTTCCTCCGGGCGATTTGTGAACGACTCCGCTTCTCTGAGGGGTGGGAAGGCATCAGAATCGCGTGACTGATTGCTGAGACACGTGACTGATTGCTGAGACACATGACTGATTGCAGAGACACGTGACTGATGTGTCTGTATCTACGCGTGCCTGGGGAGCGGTAGTGCAGCGGTTAGCGCACTGGCCTGCAAAACCCGGCGACCCCAATTCAATTCCCGCTCGCAGCTAAACATCAGTAGCGATATCTGAACTGGTCGCGGGGCTCCCCTGGGTCGACTCGGCCTTAAATGAGTACCTGGTGTGGAGTGTAATCATCGTCATCACTTGGGAGACAAAGGCGGCCGGGCGTGGTGTTGCCCACACCATCACCTCGTGCGCCGTGCCGGCCTTCATAGGTGCTCGCCAACAGCGCTTTTCTCAGCAGCCTATGTCAGGCTACACGGGTGATCTTTGCCTTTGTGTCTCCCAATCGTCTCTGCTATTCCCCCAAAGTTCTTACAACCTCGCTCAATTCAAGAAACGTGTTTAGTCAATCTTGATTTGAAGCTCTCGTGACTGCAGGAATCCATACTCTTTGGTTCTTTCTGTAAAGTCCCGTAGGTATATTTTTTATTTTATTTTATACCAACGTGACTTTACCGAAAGAACCAATGAGTATGTGTTTAGTCGTCTTCTTGCAACTCGGATAGCGCTGTCCGGTACTGGCCGATTGTGGTTTAGGGCCTGTGTGAAGCAACAGTGATTAGGACGCCACGGTGGGAAGATGTTAACTACCTCGCCTGGTATGCAGGAGGTCCGTGGATTCCCGTGGTCGTGTGGATTTTCCTCCGGGTCCTCCGGGTTTTCCCTCCGCATTTAGAATCAACGTGCTTTTTCGAAGAGGCCGCTCTCCTTCTATCTTACAGTTACATGCTAATTTCTCATATTAACATCATGCTAATTTCTCACATGAACATCATGCTAATTTCTCACATCAACATCATGCTAATTTCTCACATCAACATAATGCTAATTTCTCACATTAACATCATGCTAATTTCTCACATTAACATCACGCTAATTTATCACATTAACATCACTAGCCCCGGCCACTTCTTTATGACCCTTGGGCTACACCCATGTCAAACCTTTTAAAACAGTCTGCCTCAGCAGCAGGCCATGCTTTCCCACCTGATGATGAACGCTTGGTGTTGCGCCCGAAACGTCGTGATTTATTTTCTTTTATACCAACGTGACTTTACCGAAAGAACCAGAGTCTGTGTTTTTAGAGGATTTGGCTGCCATAAATGTGCACGTGATAAGCCACTTCGTTGAGCTATTATTTGTGGCCAGGTCGCTATTGAATAAGAGTTACATAGCTCCGTGAGCCTTACCTGGTAAAATAAAAAAAAAACTGTTTAGTTTAGTTGTTGTTGTTGTTGTTGTTAAAAGTCAACGTGGTATTGGGATGCGAGGTAAGGACACGGGATTCAAGACAATCTCTGAGTCGATTTTAATTTTCAACCAGCACTGGACCACTCAGACAGCCAGCACTGACGAAGAACACAAAAAAAACTACCAACTAAAAAGTGCGCAAAGAAGCAAACTTGAAATACAACCCCCGGGACTGCTGAGGGATGGTGCTGGCGGCCTGTGGGAGAGACTAACAGCGGAGTGAAAGCTAAAGGAGGCGACGCGCCTGCTAACGGGGTGAAAGAAGTGCCGGTAATATCCTCGTAGCAAAAGTAGCTACACATGTAGCGACACATGTAGTAGCTACTACACATATAGTAGCTACTACACATGTAGTGTGTAGTAGCTACGGGCCCCGCACTTTCAAGGGCCCCGCGCTAAATGCTTTCAAGCTATCAATTCCGATTCAGTGATTCTGCACTTGCTCTATTACTATAGTACTATACCGCCTTCAACTCTTATGAACGACTGGGTGTTTAAGGTTAGCGATTTGTCGTATTAGCTTGCTGTATAGCAAATGAAAAAAATACAATTACTTTACTGTGCAAGTTAAAATTTGCTTTTAATATTTATGTATATATTTTTTTATTTAGGGCCCCTTTATAACATCACATGCTACAGGCCCCGCACGAGCTTCATCCGGCACTGGCTGTGAGGCTACCAGTGTCAGGCTAGGAGGTGAAGCTGGCGGGGTCGATCAAGTAACGCGGCGCTTCTCAACCCTCCGAAACAAGAGGCCGTACGACATACAACGTCCGGCAATTCCCCGGTCCACAAATACACGAAGGAGCCATCAGAGCGATACACGAACACTCCGTTGCTCCGTGACGCCGTAATCTGGGCTTGGCCACCTGAATGTGAGATTGTAAGTCATTTGCTCTGCGTCTACATCAGCAGCCGTACGAAAGAATAATATTATTTTCGTGCGGGGGCGGGGGGCTTGGGAGAGACCAGGTTGAGAAATATGAAACAAATATATTTTACCCTCTTTGGCATTAAAACAGGTGTTCCGATGTTTAAACACTAAATAGATTCCTTTTTGCGAGGCATCAAGTCTGCATTAACCACAAATACTTGTGGCAAAACATGTAAACGAACATGCTCTGATAATAGTATACGCATCTTTTAAAGCTTGGCCCTACGCCAGAGACAACAGCCTTCTGCGTCTACACCAGCAGCCGCACGCCAAGAAGAACAAGAAGATCACTCCACGGCACACGCGCGCGCGCGCACGCACGCGTGGAGCTCGCTCGCTCCTTCGCCGCCACGCGGAAGCGAACATTGGCCGAGGTGCCCTTGAGCGTTCGGTCTTTGGGCCCCGAGTTGAGATGAACGCGCCCCGGTTCGGGCTCAGGCGCCGTTGCCGAGAGCCGTTCGGCGATTCCGACTGTAGGTGAACTCGTGAACCGCCCGCGCAATGCGACACAGAGCACTGTGGGGTGCTTCACGGGGCCCACGCCGCCTGTCGCCCGCACGCCGGCTTGCCCCGAACTGTGCACGCGCCACCGACGGCGTTGAGAGGGCCGGCGGTGGGGGGCTGACGGTAGCCGCCCGTTGCTGGAATGCGAATGCGCAGCCAATGGAGAGAGGCGGGGGGGGGGATCGGCCACTGAACGGACCGGAGAGTTTGTTTTTTTCTCGTTTGCGAAGCGATGTTCCTTGCTCTCCCGAAATTCAGAAATCACCGCGGCATATCTGCTCGGACTTTGCCGCGTTGGCGCGCTGATGGGTGGAGCGCTGGTCGGGCTGGTCGGGTCGGGCTAGAGGCTTGGGCTAGCGGGGTCAGTTTATTGGGTCGCGGTAATAGGGGCAGGCTTGTGGGGTTAATCTAGTAGGTCGGGATAGTAGGGTCAGGCTAGGGGATTGGGCTAGTGAGGTTAATTTAGTATGTCTGGCGAGTAGGGTCAGGGTAGTGGCCTTAATCTGCTAGGTCGGGCAAGTAGGGTCAGGGTAATGGGGTTAATCTGGTAGGTCGGGCTAGTATGGTCAGGGTAATGGGGTTAATCTGGTAGGTCGGCCTAGTAGGGTCAGGCTAGTGGGGTTAATTTGGTAGGTCGGGCTAGTAGGGTCAGGGTAATGGGGTTAATTTGGTAGGTCGGCCTAGTAGGGTCAGCCTAGTGGGGTTCATCTGGTAGGTCGGGCTAGTAGGGTCAGGCTAGTGGGGTTAATCGGGTAGGTCGGGCTAGTAGGGTCAGGCTAGTGGGGTTAATCTGGTAGGTCGGGCTAGTAGGGTCAGGGTAATGGGGTTAATCTGGTAGGTCGGGCTAGTAGGGTCAGGGTAATCTGGTAGGTCGGCCTAGTAGGGTCAGGCTAGTGGGGTTAATCTGGTAGGTCGGGCTAGTAGGGTCAGGCTCAGGCCAGGGGTCCGTGGCTTGGCACACACACGCACGCCTCCCTC